ACTGTGTCTCTGGATGCTTTTGTTGTTTTAGACATTATTTACATATTTTAATTAGTGTGCATACTTTTTCTTGCTTCGACAAGTCTGTAAATTAATATTTTCCTTGCGCGGTACATCTACACTCTTTATTTCCAATAATATAACATCTCAAAGTCGCGAGGTGGGGGGAATCGCAATTGACGATGCCGGTGCAGTGTTGTCCGGATTCCGTGGCGAGTGTACGGATTCCGTCGCCTGTGTGCAGAATGGGTTTGCCGTTGGCGGTTTCGGTGCAAAATCACCCCGGATCTATTTACCTGTTGGTTTCTGCGATTTGGGGCTCTCAGACCACTACAGATTCTGCCATTTCAATTTACTGTGTGTGGCAGGCCTGGCAGGCCGGCCGGGTGCACCGCGCAGACTACCTGCGCCTTCCCGGCGGCCCAGCCCCGCCCCCGGCTGCATCGCACGGACCAAAAAAATGATGTCAATGGCGCTTCTGCCCCCTTAACAACTTACGTGGACATTTTGTAAATTATTTTTCGCGTAGAAAAGCACGCAATATGACACTATCGACATAAAATAACTAAAATATTACGTATAATGCTCAACAGTACCTATAATATAATAATGCTTCGTACACGGTTCAGGAGTCAGCCCCCCTTGTGGGTTACGAAGGTGCCCGAAGTGAAGTCCCAGAACAACTTCTACGTTTTGATTTCACACAAATGAGTTTTAGATAATCATTCACTACTAGCCAGGGGAAGGCCTTCGGCCTCGATGCTGAGCTGGATTCTGCTGGAGATGGAAATGCATTTTCATCAGTAGTAAATTTGGATGTGTTTATTTTGAAAATGAGCCTCTTTTCTTTTTGGGGGGTGATAGCCAGGAAGTATGCTTTTGCGCAAAGGATTGGGTTCGGCAATGGTTGGTTTCTCCTTGAATCGACGGAAGGCTATTTAATAATCTAAAACTAAATGTTCCAACCAATCCTAACCTAACCTAACGGGCTCGTGACAGATCTTACTCTACTCGTGACAGATCTTACTACCCTACTCTCGACAGATCTTATTCTCAAACTAAATGGTCCAACCAATCCTAACCTAACCTAACGGGCTCGTGACAGATCTTTCTCTACTCGTGACAGATCTTTCCCTACTCTCGACCGATCTTATTCTCAAACTAAATGGTCCTACCAATCCTAACCTAACCCAACGGGCTCGTGACAGATCTTCCTCTACTCGCGAAAGATCATACCCTATTTGCGACAGATCTTATTCTCAAACTAAATGGCCTATGAAGCTTGGCGTACGACTATGGAGCTTGGACTATTGAGCTTGGACTATAATATGGACTATGGAGCTTGGACTATGGAGCTTGGACTATGGAGCTTGGACTATAGAGTTTGGACTATGGAGCTTGGACTATAGAGCTTGGACTATGGAGCTTGGACTATGGAGCTTCGACTATGTATACGCACATGAATATAGTAAAAATAAACAGAGGAAGATACCTCTTGTAAACTAAAGGTATCAGGGGGGGGGGGGGGTCGGACAAATGAGCTATTCAAAATCCCAAACAGGGTGCTTCGCTTCGCTCAGCAAATATGTTTGAAACAGAACCTGCAAACTATTTCTTGAGTTGGATGTTTGTTGCGAGAACCACAAGATGAAGAAGCGGAGAATGCAGAAACGGCCAAAATGGAGATCGGTCTTTGTTCGAGCGACCCGAAGGAGATCAGTCTTTGTTTGAGCGACCCAAAAGACATCGCATCGGTCTTTGTTCATAGGACCCATCGAAACACCATGACCCCCTCACTCTATCTCGCGACTCAAAGTGCTCATGTTCGTCAAACGAAAGTCACCCGCGTTCCGAAACCACCTCCCCCGCGTTTACAAAGTTTGTCAAACGAACCGTCGTGCTGTTTTTACGATGTGAGTAAGAACTGCTCTAGAGAATCGTGGAAAACATGACAAGCGAACCGCAGCCTTTAAAAACAAGCCAAACAATCCAACCTCAGCGAGAATGGAGGGGCAGTTTCAATGCACGACTACTGTTTTTTAAGCGGTCTTGCTACCGCTTCTAGCTCTGCATCCGATCCCACTCATCCCGTCCCATCCATCCATTCATTCAGCACGCTCGGAGGGGACTGCATGGTCGTGTTGGTCGTCTGTCGTCGTCCTCACCTCCCGCCGCGCCAGTGCCCACTCCTCACAGCTACCCCCTCCCTCCTCGCCCCCTCTCTGCCCGGCCTCCCCGGCCGGTCCACGGCAAGACCGCTTTGCTATGCTTGCCTTGGCGGAACTTTTTTTTCAGCCTCGGAATTTTGGAAAGGGCGCAGACGCCGAGAAAATTGTTGCCAACTGTCACGAAAATTAATTTAGTGCGTCCTTTCTGCTACGAACTTTTTACTAATGACAGACTGTAATGATGTTCCAATGTCGGGACACCGTGATATGCGTCAGCATTGGCATTTTCGAATTGCAAGGCGTTTTCATCTCTTTTTATCGGCGACTTTCCATTTTGACGGGTGGCGGCACGATGTGACCGTGCCGTTGCCATGGAGATTTTTTTTCATGTTTTAACCGTTTTGTGGTGGGAGGGTAGGAAGACACAGGGTAGGAAAACACGAGATTGATAGAGAAACGAGGGTTTATTGTATCGGTACAGGGTCATTCCATCTAAGATCTACACGGATCTGGGTCACCTTTGACGATTTCGACCAAATTTGGCACGAAGGTTGCCCTAGTGGTCAGGAACAGGCCCACAAATTTTTAGTTCGATATCTGAATTGGTTTCAAAAGCATTTTAATTTTTTACTCTGATAAAAATTGTAATTTCTTCAAAATGGCTGAAAAAGGCCAATTTTGGTGGGATTTTCTTGCGGTGCAGATATTCTGACGTAAATTTCGACGAGGAATCCGAATCTGCCCTCGGATTTGGTCTAGCAGTGGAGTAGATTGCGAAACAATAAAAGAAAGCCATATTTCACGAGCCTGTCTTCCGTCGTCGAGTAGCCCATCGTGTCTTCGCTCCTCGTCGCCAGTTGCTGTAGCGTAAGTGGAGGGGGAAAATGACCACACTGGAGTCTGGGGAAAGAATGAATTGCTGCCGTGGCGCAGCCAGGGCAGGGCCACTCGAGGGGAGGGGAGTGCTTTGTATGAATAACAGGAAAAGTAGCGGTATACATCGGCAACTTTGGCCCGTCCCGTGCACTAAGAGATGTGCGAATTTTGCCTATGTTTAACCCTGACGGGATTTGAACCTTAGTCTGGAGTCATAGTAGATGTTACTTTCGTCATCAGCACCCTCAAAAACATCAGAAACAATGCAAACACTCGAAAAAAAAAGGATGTTCAAAACCCCGCTAGGATTTGAACCCGGGTCCTAACTTCTCCGATTCGCTTGAAACTGGCACAGTTAGTTTTATCTTGTCGCCCTGATTCCAAAAATACCCCTACATGCCCTGCTAGTTGTACCCGTTGCCGAAATCTTCCGCGACCCCGTGTGGACCATGATGCACCTGCAGCAGCGCCCCCGGGGCTCGGATCGGATTTGCTGCCACCGGGCGGTTCTTAGGATCGCCCAAGGAGGCTCCATATCGAATTTGGTCAAGATCGGACCACGGGAAGTCCTCGGCAGGCAATGTTTGTCCATCATCAGTTCCAATTTGTTGCGTGCTGAGGAACTCCGCACGGTAAAAGCAGTTCCTGGTTTTCCCAGGAACACCCTGGAAATCGCCTATGTCTTCACCATAGGGCTCCTGGGAAAACCAGGTACCGTTTTCGCCGTGCGCCCCCAGCCCCCCTTCATTCTAGATAGAGTTGCTTCATCTACAAATTACACGATATTAACCCTTGTAACTTTTCAGCTTGTCGAGCCTGGGGGGCTCTGCCCCCAGACCCCCCTTTCATCAAGACAGGAGAAATCTACCTGCAGAAAACTCGATTTTTCGCCGTTTTTTAGGTGTCTTTCGGCTCTAAAAACTGAACCAGTTGAGCTAGAATGGTGAAATTTCACGTGTACCGAGCCAAGAACATACCTAATGAGCCTGCAAAGTCTCAGCCAGATCGGCCTAGCCGTTAAGGAGGAGTAGTGCACTGTCAGCGAGGTGAACCCGGGTGAACCGCGGTGCACGCGCCCTCACGCGTTCGGCCCGCTAGAGCACACCTTGAACAGCACGCGCCGACGGAGTGGTGATAAGTCGAAGGAACTTTTTCCCGCGCTTGTAAACGGCTCGCTGATCCCTCCGAGGCATGGTGGGTGGAAATAAAACAGTTTCTTCTTATAGGGATTTTTAGAACATTCAAAGAATGCTCTGAGGCCGCAGCTTGGAATCGCGTAGGCAGAGGGTTAACATTTTGGTTGTCCTGGGGATCAAGATCAGGGTTGGGGTTGGGGGGTTCAGGCAACCTCTGGAGAGCGTTTCGTGCGTCGCTACCGTGGTTAAGTTTAGTTTTAAAATTAGAGGTTAGTAGTGTTCACTAGTGCTAATAACCTCTATCTTCAATGTTATTGACTATGGTATGCCTTCAGATTAATGCCAAAATGCCGTTGAAGCGTGCTGTAAAATCTTAAAGGAAAATTGGTGAAGAACCAGTACAAAACCACAAGACTGACACAGAGAACTCAAACATGTATTTTTACCCAAATGCTGACTGGAACGCCTGAAACATCCCCTACCCTGCCGAGCAACAATATCTAACAACACCTACCCCCACCTCTAGATATATCACGGCGGGGTGTAGTCCTGGTCCGACCGCAGCGCGCTACCTGTCGCACTCTCCAGGCGGGCCGCACTGATAAAAATTTTGTCGTAACTTAGCGACACATTTATCGCTAACTTTTTTAGCGCCAAGATTTGTTGTGGAACGAATAGCTTGTTAAACCGTAGTCGTATTGGAACTAAGGGATAATTTCACAACGACTAACTTGTAATAACGCACCAACAATAATACATCAACGACAAGTATTGAAAGTCCAAAAGAAATTTTGTAATGTCTGCGACAATATTCATAGAGTACTTTTGTCCCTAAATTTATTTTGCATGGTTTTTTTAACAATAGTAATTTCCATATGACGTAAAAGAACAAAATAGATGATTATTCCTAATATGCTTTAATTGAGCAGATAATTGCAAAAGATGTTTGTTTCCACACAAATTGTATCGTAAAGAGTGATAACAAGAATTTTGTTCTTCAACGACAAAATGTCGCTTACTAGACTCAACGACATTTGTTTCGCTTTGGTTCATGATGAAATTCTATGTTTTGGAACGACTAAATTTTCACTCATCTGATTGTTTCTGTACAATCATTTTTTAACAGTGCAGGTAGGCCATCCTGTCGTCACTAGTGCGTTAGAAAAGCAACCCGGAAGCTTGATTTGAGCCGAAAACACCTAAGAGAGCGTCCAGCGTGGTAGCGAGTGCGGCCGTCACTACAATTTGGTGAAATACGTAATTGCAGGGGTTAACGAAAATGGCTCGTTCCCGGGAACGAAGACGAACACATTTTTTGGATTAGGGAAGGGTTTAGCTATCCTTTAAGCCCAGATTGGTCCAAATCGGTTGAGGATCTAGGAAATGGCGCTTATTTTAAAACTTTACTAAAGTTTCAAAGTTATTAAAAGTTTTTGGACATAATATCTTTAAAGACAATGAATCTTTTCATCATCTTTCCAAATCTGGTCTCGGATTTGATCTACGACCAATGGTTGCTGAGATATTACTCTCCAAAGTTGCATTGTTCCAATATTTAGCAAAAAGTAAATTGGCCATAGCCCAGGGGCTGGGGGACCGGACTGCAAACCGATTATTTCATGGGGCCTTAGGGGTAACAAACCCTGAAAACGAGAACCTGATCGGAGCCCATGGTGGCTAAGGCCTGGTTGACTTCACATGGAATGTCCCTTATACTATCGGTCAGGGAAAAACCACAAGTGGCTGGACTCGTAGATAAAAAGATCAATAAGTTAACACGGTCGGTGGCTTAAAGCGCGGTTTCACTCGCCGCCATGTGTCGAAATGATAGTTTATTTAATACGGCTCATGTGCTTGTGTTCACATACTGCGCGACCCCTCTCTATTATTTTGCAAGGGGGCGATTATTTTAGAAACGGAAATGGGTGAGTATCAGAATTCAGTCTCGGCATCCAGGATAACGACAATCATGGTAACTTTTTCAGCTGCATAAAGTGACAAGTGATAGTTTCATAACAGAGTCTCTCTCGTCAGCGTGTCTGCTTGTCCTGCAAACCGCTGTCTGGAACCACAGGCTGCTCAAAGACCGCGCTCCCGACCCGGCGCTCGCACTGACTGCTTCTCGACGGGATTTGGAGCTTTTGATCTGTATTTATGGTACAGATCCTGCCAGAATTGAATCATCGGACCGCTGAAGCTTTCTTGACGCAGGAAAAATGCATCTGTTTTCATCTCTAGGAAGGTGACGTCGTTGCCAGAGGAGGTGTTGGGAGGCCAGTCTGTAGTCAGGACTTGCGGGTCGGTTTTCGGGACGGGCTTGCTGCGGGCACACAAACATATAAACTGTAACACTTCTAGAAAAAAAAGGACAAAACATCCTTTTGGTTTACACAACAGTCGGAACGTGAACAAGCTAATTTAAGGCTGGTTCACACAGTAAAAACTTGACGAGGAACCGCTTTGTAATACGAAGAAAATGAAGGCATTGTAAAACGAAGAAATGCTTCGTATTACGAAGCAAAATCCTTCGCAATACGAAGCATTTCTTCATAATATGAAGCAATTCTACAACGCCTTTATTTTCTTTGTAGTTTTGAAGCAAATGCTTTCGTAGGCTTTTAAGAGTGCACATTAAAACGATTATGACACCATGCTGACACTTCCAACGTGCTCTTGCAATGACTGCGGTAATGCGGACAAGTGCTGAGAGTCCAAACGCTCGTCCCGTTAAATGTAAGCAAAAGTGAAAAAGACTAAAGTTCACCGCATGGTGAATAAGAATAAGAGACCCATTCTTTTGACAAGAAATTGGACGCTGCTTTAATGAGAATGAAGAAGACTTGATCAATACCCAATTTAGGACGAGTTATACTTTATCACCGAATAAGAATAAGAGACCCATTCTTTTGACAATGAATTGGACGCTGCTTTAATGAGAATGAAGAAGACTTGATCAATACCCAATTTAGGACGAGGTATACTTTATCATCAAAATATGGGTGAAGATTATATTCTTACCCAAAATTTGGCGATGAAGAATACCTCACCTCAAAATTGCAGAAGTGATTCTTTCATCCTGTGTTCTGCTAATGACAGCGGCTGAACGAAAAGTGGAAGTACAGGTCAACTCTTATCTGTCAGTGATTTTTGGTGCTGTGTGCATGTGTTATAGTTAGTGTGTGTGCGGACGCTAGAGGTCTGCTGCGGCCTAACAGCGCTGATGATGTGTGCGGACGCTCTCTGCCTCGCCTCGCACGCCTTTATACTCACCCATACTTGATGAAGTTCGTCCACAGCGCGGTCACTCTCCTTATAGCCAAGTCAGCGTCCTGTTTGGGGTCTAAGTCAATGAGTCTTGTCATGTAGTATCCGAGGTCGTCCGCGTGAGTCGCCACTGCAAAAATGATAACATGCTCTGTTAAAAATCCACAGCATATATTACAACACAATTATCTAGAGGAATGTTGTTAAATGAGAACGTTGCTGTTGCGTGTCTGAATAGAAAATCCATCAGAAAGCAACTCTTATGTGTTAACCCACTTTCTGGTCCGGTGTCAAAACTTTCATAGTGGTTAAAAACAGAGATGTTACCGTTCAACAGGTTTTCTGTGATAACAATGCCGCTGAATCTCAAAGCAAATTGTAGAGAGTACAAGGTTGACTCTTAAAAAGTCAACCTGGAGGTTAACGCTTACTATCGCCGACTTGACAGGCATGCTGTTTAAAAGAGAGTATGCACTAATGCGCCTACGTTATTACATGGGGAAGGATAGCCGCAAATTTACTTGCCACTTACACATTCATTTACAGCTTGCCTGTCAAACAGACAAAAGTAGGCGTCAACTCTTTGGTTCACTCTTCGACAGAGTCCAGAGCCGACCATGTACACTCTGCAGAGCATTCATAATTGTAAGAATTCAAGGATCTTTGTTAAATTGCAACACAATGACGATGTTTAAAGTGTGGCGAAGACCTACTTGGAGGCTCGACGATAGTCTTGTTCTACTGACCTATTCATCACAACCTGAGTCTTACAACTTGTGAGCAATAACGAGATGTTCCGCTAAGTTTGATAACTTAACAACATCAGTGTTCTTACAACACGTTTCTGAAGAGTCCCACCGACGTCCTTACCGTCTTTGATGTCCGTCGGGACGTTCAAGGGCTGGTTCACGTCCGTTCTCACACTGAATTTGAAGAGATAAGTCTCCGCTTGGTTTTCTTTGGCCCTGAACATCGCCAGACGATGCATATCCGTAGTTTGCCAGACGTTGTCGAAGTACTGCGAATGGAATCCGGAAGTGACAGCGTGAGTAATTCGGTCTCGGTCAAAGGAGGTCACTACGAAGTAGAAGGCAGCACGATCCACCAAATGTTCCGCTATAAATAGACGAAATCTCACAATTCGCAAATTGACAGGAAATGAAACAAAGGGCCCTACGGAAGCAAGGGCCTGAAATTGGCCTGCAAATCGGGTTTTTTATTTTCTCTGTGTGAGGGCGACGATGAGTACGATCAACACTGAGAAAGCCCTACAAACTATTTTAAGCCTTACAAAGAAAAGGAGCTTGTTATCACAAAGTATTTTAAGCTTCACATCAGCTTACAAAGAAAACACTTAAGTAATTTAAAAACTATTTCTTCGAATAACAAAGTAAATTAGTTTGTACTACGTAAGCTTTAAATACTTAATCAGGTTTTATGCGAGAAGCTCTTCCTTGTTACACTAGAGTATCCCAAGAAAATCTCTTTGAATTCTGAAGTCACGTATTGGTCATATTGATGCGTCCGAATAGAATAATCCTAACTTTAAGAGCTGATCCAAGACAATCCTAACTGTCAGTGCAGATTTAAAACTATCCTAACTGCAGAGGTACCTAAAAGTGTTCATGACGTATCTTCACTGCAAATCAGAGAATCTCAATAGAGCTGAAATACAATGTCCACGTATTTATATTAGGATGAAACTTCGTAACAAGCCCTTCGGTGAGTAATTTTATGAGGTATGTAGCCGTCACGGGCTTTGAGAAAACACCGCTTTCCACGTGATGTGCAGTTAGGTTGGTTCTGCATTGAGACGAAAAGTTAGGATTGTCTTGGATCTGCTCTGACAGTTAGGATTGTCTTGGATCTACCCTGACAGTTAGGATTATTCTTTTAGGACGCGTCGTTAATATTTCTGTTTCAAAATGTCTAAAAAAAAAATTAATTATAGTTAAATCTTACGTTTTAATTAATGATAATGTATATACAAACTTTATCAAATTGAATAGCCAGAAAACACTTAAAATGGAAGTTTCTAAATGAAAGTCTGGTCGGCGGGCAAGAAAAGGCCCCGGTACTGGTATCCCTACACCCTATCGTCCCTTCACGGCAAAAACGGTTCCTGGTTTTCCCACAGCCAACAGTGAAGATACAGACGATTTCCAGGGAGTTCCGGGGAAAACCAGGAACCGTTTTTACCGTGTACACTGCAAGTGCTCACCGTCTTCAGAGTGCATCCAAGGTCGCAGCCAGGTGTCACCGTGGCCGCCTCGCGTACTCCCTTTTTCACTTCCTCAAGTATCGTGTTGTAGTCAATTTGTACATCAGGCAGGCCCAGAATTTTCCGCGTGTCCTGGTAAGGGAGGAGGTCCTTGGGGACGTGGTGGGCTATGTTATCGACTAACTCTTGGTCGATACTGGCTTCTGACCGTGGGTCTAATAAAGGAAAAACATCGTTTAAATGACGCACCTTACCGGCATCAGCCCTTCAGAAAAAAGAACACACGACAAAAGATGCACTGCTCGTTCAAGTGTAGGCCAAGTACACCACACGGCAAAACTAACGTCCGGGTTTCCCAGGCGCACCCTGGAAAAACACTCTGCAAACTGTACAGAGTGCTCAGTACACTCTATTTGGAGTGTACTCATAAGCACACTCCTGTGAGAGTGTGCTCAGCTGAGTACACTCTAACGAAAGTAGGCTTAGCTGAGTACACTCTAACGAAAGTGTGCTTACCTGAGTACACTCTAACGAGAGTGTGCTTAAGTCGGCACAATTCATGCAGCTGAGTACACGTTCGTGGGAGTGTACTTGTGAGTACACGCTGAAGAGAGTGTACTCATGAGTACACGCTAAAGATAGTGTACTCATGAGTACACTCTAAAGAGAGTGTACTGAGTACACTCTAAAGAGAGTGTACTGAGTACACTGTTGAGTTTGCAGAGCAGGGCATTTTTCCAGGGTGCGCCTGGGAAACCCGAACGTTGGTTTTGCCGTGCATTGCGTGCTTCGGCCATTATGTCCTGCACTTTGCAAGTGTCGACAAGTCGTGTCCTACGCCAGCCACAACTGTAAACCACTCCCTTTGCTACGCTTTTAAGTGTCGACCCCGTGTCTTGCACTTTGGAAGCCTCCTGACTTATACTTGGTTGGACAATGACCAAGCTGTGTCCTAAAATGCTTTCAGGCCAGGCAAAATCCGCGGAGTGGTCGACACTTGCAATCGTAGGACGTGACTGATCGCACACTCTCACAAGTACAGTAGGTTTACGCGAGTCTGTCTAACAGGCTTCGCGAGTCCCTGTGTTTCCAGACCGCAGGGCATCTATTCCTGGGTCCCGCCTTTGGGAAACCCAAACGTTGTATTCCGTGCATTGCGGGGCTTCCCGCCATTCTGCCCCTTGTACTTTGCAATTTGTCGGCCCCCCAGTCGCTTCCTCAGGCAGAAACTGTAAACCACTCCCTTTGTACGCTTTTTTAGGTGAGTTCTTGGCACTTGGAAGCCTTGACTTATACTTGGTTGGACAATGACCAAGTGTGCCTAAATGCGATTCAGGGAGGGCAAAATCCGCGGAGTACGTCGACACTTTCAATCCAAAGGAGTGACTGATCGCACACTCACACAAGTATGACATTACACTGGTAAAACAAAGGCATAAAAATTGCGCCCTTTAGGGCATAAATACTCTTTTACGCCCTTGTAAGGGCATAAATCGTTTTATGCCCTTGGGAAGGGCGTAAATGGTATAGGAATTTCAAGCAAAATTTTAATGCCCTTCCCAAAGGCATTAACGATTTATGCCTTTGTTTCACTAGTGTATGGCCTACTCTACAAATCGAAGAGCGTACATTGTATGCTCTAACTGGAGCATGCCTGCCGCCAAGCATGCACTTACTAGTGCAAACATGCCATGTACACGCTAACTGAAGCATGCATCTAGTACATAAGGGATAGGGAATGGCCCACATCAGGAAGCGTGTACATGGCATGTATGCCGAGGGGTGAATCACTCGGCGTTCTGATGTACACATGAGAACATGAGTACGGGTGAGTACACCATATTTTACTCATAAATTTCATATTTGTAAACGTTTTAAGGCTTTATTTAGCGTTTTAAATGGCACTCAACGCCAAATCGGTCGAAAAAGTGGTGATTCTCGCCCCTTTTTAACTTGGGAGTACACTGAGTACGGACTAATTTGTACACATGAGTACACAAGTGATTCACCCCTCGATGTATGCACTAGTAAGTGCATGCTTGGCAGGCATGCACTAGCTAGAGCGTGCTTGCAGGCATGCTCCAGTTAAAGCAAACATTGTACGCTCTTCGATTTGTAGAGTACGTCAGGATGTGTGCACTAATCGTTCACATGAATAAGGAGTGTACTCCAGGTTCCATGGACACAACCATCCCCTAACATTGTTGCAACGGGTGACTTATAACAACAACGTTAGGTGACATTGCCCTTTTTTAAGATCCAAACCCTAAGCAAATAAATGGAGTCCTAGTCTTACTCACTGTTGCTGTAGTAATAGGGAAGCATCTCCTTGTTGGTGCTGCCAATCAACATGGGGATGGCCGGCGCTTCCGGCTGCAGGAAGTAGCTCTCTTTGTCCTTGACGATTAGCAGTGGCTCTCCGCCAGACACACGGGGGCGCCTCTCGGGGGTGGGGACGACGGGCACCTCTGGCTGAGACTGTAACAGCACCCTCAGCATGAAACACGGCATGAAACGTGCACACACTGATTTAAAAAAATGTTCGTACAAGTACGAATTAATCGGACAGAAATATTCTCAGAAAAAAGTCGTAATTTTCAAACAATTTGACGATGAGTTTTTCGTGAACTTTATGAATGATTCGTCGTTGTACGAATTACTCGTAAAATGTGTTGAGTATCTCGTAAAATGCAGGAACAAGTGCTCTACAAATCGAAGAGCGTACATTGTATGCTCTAAGCGGAGCATGCCTGCAAGCACGCTCTAGCTAGCGCATGCTAGGCCAAGCATGCACTTACTAGTGCATACATGCCAGGTACACTCTTCCTGATGCAGGCAACTCCCTATCCCTTCACTAGATGCATGCTTCAGTTAGCGTGTACATGGCATGCACTAGTAAGTGTATGCTTGGCAGGCATGCGCCAGCTAGAGCGTCCTTGCAGGTATGCTGCAGTTAGAGCATACAATCTACGCTCTTCGATTTGTAGAGTGCTTCTTTAATCCATCCATCTTAACAAATAATTTGTAAAAGTTTTGCGAAATTTTCGTAAATTTAGGGATGTTTTGAAAATTAAATACAACATATTCGTTGTGATACAAGTTTTTCGTAATTTTACGAATTTTTCGTTTTTTTTTTTTTTGTTTTTTTTTTTTGGTATGAGTATTCTTATAAGACATTTTGTCTGTACCGTATATATTCGCAATTTTACGATAAATGTTCCGATGAATATAATTCGTTATTTTACGAAAGTTTGGCAGCTTTCGAGCCGTTTTAGCCTATTACAAGAAGAAGGTCACGAAAAATTCGTATTAAGTGTTTTACGAGGGGTTCGTATTTTGAGTCTTACGAGCTATTCGTAAGATTTACGAAGTATTCGTAGCGAAACATTCAGTAAAGTTACGAAAAAAATTTCAGTGCAAGTTTTCTTTGATTTTGTGTTTTAGGACGACGCCGAGCGGCGAGCTATGCCGCAACATATTTTCACCTGTCTTCAGAATACTTATGCTTCGTCAAAAGGCTACAATCCTAACTTTCATCAAACTCGAATGGGTTATACTTCCACCGAGGTATACCCCTTCCCGAGGGGCCCACCGCTCAGCTCAGCCCAACGATCACTGCAGTGAGAATCCAAACGCTATGAATATAGCGTCAAGTGGTTCAATGCTTGGTCAGTTTCGGGACGCATTGCACGTAAGATGCAATTTGGCATTGCACGTTTGGTGCGATATCTCAATGCATTGTACCCTACGTGCCATATATTCATAGCGTTTGGAATCTCAGTGATGATACGTAAAAGATTCGCACTATGAAGAAAGATTGCTTCGCATTATCCATTGTACACACTAACTTCTTGTCGACCTTTTAATGCATAATTATGCATTTAAAAAGTCCTCAAGAGTTTATTGTGCAGCGTAGCTGAAGTTAAGTTTCATTGATAGACCCTCGAAGGGCTGACCTCCGCCACTGCATTGATGGCGAGCATGGCGTTGACGTGCAACTCCTCGATGGACGCGTTCATCAAGTACTGCTCCGCGTCTTTGGTGTCGGTGACGGTCTTGTGGGCGATGTTGGACGCCACCTGGAGGGCCGTCTGCACGTGCGTCTCCGTGTAGGCCCAGTTGTGGAAGGGGGAACCGCTCATGAGGGTGGCCCCGTGAATGATACCTGCAAAAGGCCGCGCAATGCCTCATGGGTAGTTCTTTCTCAAATCGCACGACCCCCGAAATCGATGTCTCGGATTCGGACCAAACTTGGTGGACTCATTGCTTGGGTCACCAAAAAAAATTTTCTGACCACGAAAATTGTTTTTTTGCTCTAAAAATATTTTTCCCCCCTAAAAGTGTTAAAAAATGGGCCAAAACTCGAATTTTCGTCCGATTGACCCTACATTAAGCAAAGTTGTTTTTTCAACGTCTTTTGATCTTATTCTATCCTATTTTATCCTATCCCACTCAGAAAGGATTTTTAGCACCCATAAAAACGGGAGTGGCTCACTGTATCCCCGCACGCCTGAACCAAATCAATCTTTATCATTTTTCCCATTAAACACAAATTAATCATCAAAATTACAAAATTATTTGAAATTATTACAAAATATTGCTAATTAATGAAAATTAATCAGTATTAATACAAGTAATTTTTTTTTGAATTTCAAACGTTTGGAGTAAGGCGATGCTTTGAGTGGACAACTTCCAGGTGGGTGAATTGACATTGCAAGAGTGGCGGTAGAGATCTGTTGGGTCAGGCTATGATTTGTCACGAGTAGCGTAAAATCAGCTGCGTAAGAGAAAGAACTTGTCACGCGAGTGCAAGATCTGCCACGTTAGAGTAGGATCTGTCACGAGTAGCGCAGGGTCTGCCGCGTTAGTGTCAGATCTGTAACGAGAAACGTAAGATCAGCCGCGTAAGACTAAGAACTTGTCACGTGAAGTGAGATCTGCTACCTTAGAGCGTGATCTGTCACGAGCAGCAAAGGATCTGCTGCTTTAGAGTTAGATCTGTAACGAGTAGCGTAAGATCTGCCGCGTTTGAGAATGATCTGTTACGAGTAGCGTGAGATGTGCCACGTTAGAGTAAGATCTATCGCGTTAGAGTATGATCTGTCGCGAGTACGGTAAGATCTGTGGCAAGTCCGTTAGGTTTGGTTAGGATAGGTTGGACCTTCTAGTTTCAGGTGTATATGCCTCCCGCCCGACGGCTAGGTTCAAATTCAAATATCAGGCACAACCAGATTCAGCCTCGAGTCACGCTGTCAGTTCACCCGCCTGGGAGCAGTCCACCAGGCTAGCCTCACCTTACTGCAAACATTTGAGATAAAACAATAATTTAATCGAAAAAATACTGATTAATTTCAATTAATTAGCAATATTGTGTAATAATTTCAGATAATTTTGTAATTTTGATAATTATTTTATGTTCTATGAGTAAATTGATAAATAATGATTTGGTTCAGGCGTGCGGGGATACAGTAAAGCCATCCCATAAAAACCATGAAAAGCGACAAAATTTTAACGTTTTCTTGAATACCCAAAAAATGCGTCTGAATTTTTTCATGAAAATTTGTTTTTAGATTCATCTTTTGGTCCTCTAACATGTGTCAAAAAATTGGGAGAGTTAAATTTGAATTGCCTTTAAAATAATTTTTGCCATTTTTTTTCATTGAAAATTTTCACTGAAATGACTCAATATATCAAGTTTTCAACAAGACTATTCAAGTATCATGGCTCCTGGGTCCTACTGGATGTGCAGGGATGTTGGAAATGTATTACTGAGTAGATAGTAGCCTGAACATGTTGCAGCATATTGTTGGACTAAATAATTTTTAATCTATTGAGAAATGAGGACAATGTGAAATGTTAAAAGTACACCAGGACTCCCCAGTGGTTTTCCCTCTCTTAGGGTTTCTTCTGCTGGAGCTCCTCCTCACAGTTGCCAACATAACTGACAGCGAAAGCACGCCACCAAGGTGAGTTTCCTGGCCTTATTTTGACTTTGCAGGTTGGCTGCCCTTTCTCTGTGTTTACATTCAGAGAGTTGCTGCGGTGGTGGCAGTAGCAGTAGGAAGCAACAGTCGCACGCAGTCGCACCCTACTGTCTGTTTGTTTTTGTGTAAAATGTGTTCTATTGGAGAACACCTTGGTGGCAATTGCTCTCCGTCGATTGAAACCAAAGAAAACTTTTCTACTGATGAGTGGAAATTGCTAAAACTCCGAAGTGGGAGATCAGGGCTGAGAAACGTTTGCCACACTCACAAGCTAGCGTACCTTAACCTCTACGAGAGCCGTCAAACATTGTGCTGTAATCCGCTCCCAAACAGACACGTTCTAAAACCCTGTAAAGGCACCAAGACAATATCTCTGTCTTTGTACAGGAAAGCAAAGGGAACCTTCCCGCTAGTGCCTGGAAAAAAGTTGTGCGTCGCGTGTTTTCGGGCAGTGTGGGACCTGGTCGGTGGCGAAGAGGAGCTACAATCGTCCCAGTCTCTTGATCCCACTCCTGACAATAGTAAAGAGGTTGGCCAGGGACAGGAGCCGTCTGTTGGTGGGGAACAAAAAGAAGTTAATGTGCAAGAAGTTGGGCAGGGACACGAAGGAGTTGCTGGTGAGGGATGCAATGAGGCTGCTGTCATCGAACCAGAAGCGATTAATTTGCAAGAAAGAAGTGATGTGATCAACCAGAAAAATGTTCCTGTTGTATGTTTCAATCTGATGGGGAGTCCATCAGTACCAGCTCGACTACGGCCAAGAACCACCAAGCCAGCAGAACCCGAACATTCGTCTCCATCAAGTGTTGGTACAAGTACTACCCGTACTTCATCATCATCTTCTCCGGGCTTTGTTCCATTTGAAGAAGCACTCAGTGCTCTGAACTCTGCACTAAGAAAATTAGCGTGCTCTGCAGTGGATAAAGATAGACTCAAATCACGAGCTACTTATGGATCACTTAAACTTGAAGAAATAGTTTCTTGTATACATGAGTTTCTTCAAGAGAATGCAGGAGAAAATCAAGTCTTAGTTCCTTTCAAAGAAGACTGTGACAACTTTGACGAGGTCTTGAAGCTGCTCAAGGTCAAGTTCAATTCCGCCACCAGCATTAGTGATAAAGTTTTAGTGCTGTCAGCTTTACCGCCTTCATGGTCTGTAGGGAGAATTCAAGAAGAATTTGGCTCTGATGTCACTAACTACACAATAAGGCTCACAAAAAAATTAGTTAAAGAAAATGGAGTATTGGTTACACCAGGTCAGAAACAGGGTCGCCCCATCAGTGATGCCACAGTGAAAGCAGTTCTTGCGTTTTACGAGCTAGATGAAATTAGCAGCAAGTTAATGCCAGGTTGCAAGGACTAAGTGTGGTTGAAGACGGCAAGAGGGTTCAGAAGCAGAAGAGACTACTCCTCAGCAACCTTGATTCACTTTATGAGGCTTACATTACCAGCCATAGCAAAGAAAACCATCATAGCTTTTCCAAGTTTGCTAAGCTTAGACCTAAGCATTGCGTTCTGTCAGGGTCGCCTGGTACACACTCTGTCTGTGTTTGTATTTATCATGAAACGGTGAACCTCATGTTTGAAGGGGCTCGCTTTAAAGAAGCATCTACCAATGAAGAGAAACCTCTTCAAACTTTCAAAGATTGTTTGGATGAATTAATTTGTGAAGAAAAGCGCCCTGAGTGCTATTTGAGACAGTGCAAACAGTGCCCGTCCAGTAATGAGCTGAAATTGAAGCTCAAAAGGCTACTGAGTGAATCTATGCTGACTTCTGTAGCATACAGAGGCTGGTTTAAAGTTGGAGGTAGATATCACCTAGAAAAGGTAATCAAACCAGCTGATGAGTTTTTGGAAAACTTTATGGAATTACTCTTCAAACTTCTTCCTCACCACTTCATCACAAAGCAGCAGTCAGCCCACTATCAAAAAATTAAACAGGAGTTGAAGGAAGGTGAAGCTTTAGTTATCTGCGATTTTGCGGAAAACTATTCCTGCGTGATGCAAAATGAAATCCAGGGCTATCATTGGACGAATGAGCAGATCACGATTCATCCCTTTGTAGCTTATTATAAAGTGAATTCAGAGCTTAAAAGTGTGAGCTATGCAGCAGTGACAGACCACAAGAAGCATTCAACAACCACTTTTCATTCATTTCAGAAAAAGTTTGTGCCGTTTTTAGTGAAAAAAATGGCTGAAGATAATATAGAATGCAAGAAACTATTTTATTTCTCAGATGGGGCATCTGCTCAATATAAGAATAGGAAGAATATTCAAAATATATGTCTTCATGAAAATGATTTTGGTATTAAAGTTGAGTGGCACTTTTTTGCAAGCTGCACTTATCAGAAACGCTCGAGAATTTTGTGAATGGGCAAAAAACTTGCCTAATATCACAACAGAAATTGTCAGTATTGAAGAAATTGAAGAAGATCTCCAGCAGCAAGGTGAACGGGCAAAAGATGTTCTGAATATCACTGGCATTGCTTCATATCACTCAGCCACTCCTGACTCAGAGTCAAGCATAGTTCTTAAAAGGTATTCTGCCTCCCCGAATCAAGTTACTATGCCTTTGTTCAAAAGGCGATTCTTTGTTCCATGGGAATCGCTTCAAGATCATGTTTTGGTAGTACGGCAAAATGAATGGTGTGTGGCTCAAATTTTGAGCAAGAATAATGACACCAAAGATCTTACAGTGAAGTTTATGACTCCCTCAGGAAGACAGAAGGCGTACACATGGCCAGCAATTGCAGATGAAGCAACAATCCATTGGCGCTATGTATTAGCAACTACCGTGCCTGTCCAGAGGAAGGGAAGGGGACAAAATTTTACCGTCCCAGTCCTTGACAAAAACAAAGCTGACCGTGAACTAAAGCTATATCAAGGTAAGAAATTAGTTTATAAGTAAACATAAAACATCTCTTGCACTCTTTATTCTATTTTGTATACTCCTTAATTATTTTTTCCCATTTCAGAAATGGGTGGAACTGGACAGCCACCACTGGAAGCTGAAGATGAGGATGACCCAGACGACCCTGATAACGCCAATGAAGATGATGATGGTATGATTTTTAATTAATTTTCTTTTAGACTGTTTTTTTTTTGTGGTGAAAGTGTGAAAGGGTGGATAGATGACACCCAAGCAAGCACTATACACAATGAGAACCATATCCACCAACCATCCTTGAATGATCTGCAGAAATTTTCCTCAAGCCCCTGGTGGCTAGGCAGCCCAACGCACAGCAAGCTGCTGTGGTTGCCTACCCACCAGGCGCCTCAGGAAAATTTCTGCAGATCATTTAAGGATGGTTGGTGGATATGGTTCCCATTGTGTATAGTGCTTGCTTGGGTATCACCTATCAACCCTTAAACACTTTCTCTACTAAGAGGGACCATCAAGTCTGAAATAGGCTGTTAGTAACAATTCCGTTCTTTTGTTTCAGAATGAATTCGCCAACTAACCAGTATTGCCAGTCAACCCAACCATCTAAAATAATTAATAATAAATATCTTGAAGCTACTATCTACTCAGTCATACATTTCCAACATCCCTGCACATCCAGGAGGACCCAGGAGCCATGAGACTTGAATAGTCTTGCTGAAAACTTGATAAATTGAGTCATTTCAGTGAAAATTTTCAATGAAAAAAATGGCAAAAATTATTTTAAAGGCAATTCAAATTTGACTCTCCCAATTTTTTGACACATGTTAGAGGACCAAAAGATGAATCTAAAAACAAATTTTCATGAAAAAATTCAGACGCATTTTTTGGGTATTCAAGAAAACGTTAAAATTTTGTCGCTTTTCATGGTTTTTATGGGTGCTAAAATCCTTTCTGAGTGGGATAGGATAAAATAGGATAGAATAAGATCAAAAGACGTTGAAAAAACAACTTTGCTTAATGTAGGGTCAATCGGACGAAAATTCGAGTTTTGGCCCATTTTTTAACACTTTTAGGGGAAAAAAATATTTTTAGAGCAAAAAAAAATTTTCGTGGTCAGAAAACTTTTTTTGGTGACCCAAGCAATGAGTCCACCAAGTTTGGTCCGAATCCGAGACATCGATTTCGGGGGTCGTGCGATTTGAGAAAGAACTACCCTCATGCATCATGGCGTCATCACAAGACGCTCGCTTCCCGAGAGCGAAAACATGTTGAGTGCAAATGACACTTTGAGTCATCAACAGAGAAATCTGTGTTGAAGACCTGGGAGTTGAAACCATGGTTAAAACAATGTTAGAAAATGAAAATCAATTATTGGAGTCATTTTTGAAGTACAGAAATACTAGCGGTGTAGAAATTCTTCCAGTTCCAGCCATAGCGACTCATCTCCAAGCGAAAACTTCTTGGTGTAGCTCAAAAATTACACCCTGGGATTTAAAAAAATCAGAGTTTTTAAAGAAGCGGTTTCTGAGTTTAATGTTCCACCTGTTCCTGGCTTCAAAAATTTTAATTAATTCGTAGATAAGCGTGGTTCAAGTTAAGGAAATGGCGTATTTGCCACGCACAAGTTTGCTCGTGAGCTCTTGAAACCACAATTTTCGAACTAAAAGACTGCGGTTTCCAGCATTCATCGCAGTACAAAACCTATTATTTCAAGAAGAATTTTATAAATGGGAGTAACCGATTAAGAGTATTGTTCCCTCCTAAAACCACGAATCTTGGGCTTGGGACAAATGAAAGGAACTTACCTTCGTAAACTTAGTGTACCTGGAAGATATTTTGTCAAATTTCTCATGTATTATGGATAAAATCTTAACCTTGTTGGTGCTGCCTCTCACCGCATAACATTAACTCTGCAAACTTACGGAGTCAACAAGGCACTCGGGCGCACACTCATGGTTGCACGTATTGCGTAGTGAATAGCAGTCACTGCCTTCTGGATGTCCAGTCTGTCTTTTCGTGAAATATACAGTCTGCAGTCCAGACGTGTCTCTGTCTCTCCTCACAAATCCACCTGCATCTGCCATTTGAGACTTAATAGCACGCATGCAGCGAAGAAGCGTGTCCTCTAGTTGACTTAGTTGAGCGCGCTTCGCACGCATTTGAGTTTCTGTAGTGGAGTGCTTACACCGAGAATCCAAACGCTATGAGTATAGCGTCAATTGGTGCAATGCAAAAGCATTGCACATGAAGTGCAATGCCTCCCCATTCCCATGCATTAGCATAGGGCATTTTCGGGACGCATTGCACCTATGGTGCGATATCTCATCTGCTTTGCACCATACGTGCTATACTCATAGCGTTTGGAATCTCAGTGTACTGTGCATGCACTCCCGTACCTTTCATCTCCGGCAGCCTGGTGAGCCAGCCCGCCAAGGACGCGCCGGAAGACTGCCCACCGATCGTCACCTTGTCGGGGTCGCCGCCAAAGGCCGCGATGTTGTTGTGGACCCACTGCAGGGCCGCCACGAGGTCCTTGAGCGCGCAGTTGCCGGGGATTTCCTCCGTGTCGAGACTGAGGAAACCTGAAAAAGGAGGCGAGGTTTGGCGGGTGCTACCACTAGCAAAAGAATCCGACCACCCGGCCGGGCCCGGCGCTGGTAGTGTGCATAGCACCGTGACAATGCGAAGCATAATGTTAGATTGATCTTGATTGAAACAAGGAGACCAACTCCAGCCACTGTACACCAAAACGTTACCAAAGATTTGGAATTTATTAAAATAAATCGAAATTCTTCTCAAAATTCAGTAGTTTTCGACCGAAATTTATCGAAATTTTATCCGCAAACTCAACTGTGTACTCAGTACACAATCTGCATTGACCGCTTCCGTGGCGTCAAGCCCAAAACGCACGCAGAGGCGACAATGGCCCGCCTGGGTCCCAAAAGTCGAGCGTATGGCCAGCGTCTGGCCAAAAATGAGCGTATGGGTGGGGAAAATGTCCTGGACCATACGCACGGCCGAAAAATTGTTCTGGGCCATACGGCGTATGGCCGCGTATGACCTCCAGTGCACCGCGGATGCAATCTTACAACAACAGAATTACCAACCTCGACACTTGTTTGAAAACGACTTATTTGTTGCTATTTTAATAATGACAAAAATTTATGATGCTCATAAGAATGGCTACAAATTTACGGCCATCTCGTTGAACAAATTAAGTCATCTCAAAACAACTTTGGTCAACAAAAAAATCAGCAACAATATTTTTAAGAGTGTCGTACCGAGAGCGCCGAGCCTGTACTGCACGGTGACCACGACGACGCCGTGGGGGAGCAGGTAGTCTGGTCCGAAGCGCGTTACTGTCGGCGCGCCGTATGGGAACCCGCCTCCGTGCACGAACACGTACACGGGTTGCTTCTGCGACTTGTTCTGACGATGCAAGGAAAGTTTAGTGCGACTAGGAATCGAACAATGTCTTTTGCTTCACACACTTAATTATTTTGAGCGAATTTTGTGAACTTTGTGTTCAAGTTTGAACAGATTTATAACAGAAATGTGTCCACTTTTTCTTACGAAAATCGTACGGAAAGCTCATCGTTACAGAAACTCTTTTTCGACTTGTAAAAAATTGTACAATATTTTGTATGTGTAGGGTGAGCGTGAAAAAAATCGCCAAAAAGCACTAAGACTGAAAGAGACTGGCTCAATTCCAAATTTTGGGCGAGGTCTCCTTTATCACAAAAATTTGGGTAAAGGGTGGAGCAGCTGTTCAGAGTATACTACCACAAAGATCTGCACTAAAGGCAGCTCCAGGAAAGCTCGACAAATCTGTGGTTTTATTAATTTGAGTAAGGAAGGTTTCCTCACCAAAACTTTGGTGATAAAATGATTTTCACTCAAATTTGACTGAAAAACTAATGAGAATGGAAGAGTCATAATCAGTACTAAAATTTTGGGCAAGGGATTCTATAATGCCTAAAGTTAAGTGAGAATCATTTAATGACCATAATTTTGGCGTGGAAACCATCGTCACCTAAAATTGAGTGAGAATGCTATCTGACCATAAAGGTAGCTGATAAACCCTTCCTCATCTAAATTTGGGCGAGTATACTAGGGGTACGCGCCGTTTAGTTTGGGCGCGTAGTAGGCGAGCGATGCGTCTGAACACATTCTTAAAGGAGATGGTGAAAGATATGTGCAAAATAAGGCCAATACGGGGTCTTCCATAACAAAAGGGCCGGACTTAATGTCATTTTTGCGATTATCCTACTGAAAACTGTAGGAAACGATAGGAAAATAAACATTGAAATTTTGGTCACAAATTGGTAAATTTTGGGAAAAGTAAAGGTCTGGGATGAAATTGGAAGTCATTTTCGTGATCAGCACACCAAAAACTCCCGGAAACTATGTAAAACTCAATTTAAAAAATTTTGGTCCAAAATTGGAAATTTTTGGGGAAAAAGTAAAGGTCTGGGATGAAATTGGAAGTCATTTTCGTGATCAGCACCCCAAAAAACTGCGAAACTATGTAAAACTCGACTTAAAAATTTTGGTCCGAAATTGGAAAATTTTTGGGGAAAAGAAAAGGTCGGGGTGAAATTGGAAGTCATTTTCGTGATCAGCACACCAAAACGCAGGAAACTATATAAACTCGACTTGAAAATTTTGGTCCGAAATTGGAAAATTTTGGGGGAAAAAGTAAAGGTCTGGGATGAAATTGGAAGTCATTTTCGTGATCAGCACACCAAAAACTGCAAGAAACTATGAAAAACTCGGCTTAAAAATTTTGGTCCAAATTGGGTAGTTTTTGGAAAAGTAAAGGTCTGGGATAAAATTGGAAGTCATTTTCGTGATCAGCACCCAAATACTGTAGGAGTCAATGACTCACCGAGGAAATTTGGCCCAAAATCATGTAATTCTATTTGAATAAGTATGGGTCTGCTGTTGTTAACATAACGAAATTTTCTAAGTGTGTTTCCTGTTCACGGTGTCGTACCATAACCTGACCCTGACTCAGTCGGTAACATTCAACTGCCAGCATTGAATTGCTTAATACGATTCACAAATGCCTCAATTACCATTCGATATCTCTTTACTTATGAATACGCAATGTTATTAGTAATACCTAGCCTTTTATCTTCCTTTTATTTTAAACTAGCGGATGCTTCCTTTTATTTTAAACTAGCGGATGAAACTATATTGATTTTTCTGAATTAATTAAAAAGACACATTTACAGGCAGGCTGATTGCAACTACTTTATGGAGAAGCCCTTTCTATCAACCCACTAAATCGTTCCATAAAATCTGATGTCGACCCCATTTTTTGCTTAACGCAAGTTAATCTTATTCATTATGATAGTCATGATGTGATATTTAATCTTTGAAACAGTATAGCAAAATTATTTACCTAACATTCTAAGTAAATTAAAAAAAGGCCAACAAAACCATGACCGACACAAAAACCAGTTGTCGCAGACAATGTATGATGAAGTTAAAAGAATCGTCTCATGAAATCATATGATCAAGTCACTGAATCGTCTCATTGAATCAGATGTCAATGTCAAACCTTGTATGCGCTACACTCACTCACCGTATGGTTATCTTTAAGGTTAGTACTATAGTAAACTTACAGCATTGCAGTGAAGCCTTTTCCCAGAGTCTGTGCCAAGAGTCAGCAAAGCTATTTATTTTCGCAAAATAAGTGTCCAGAGTGTACTTATAGAATGTATTAATTTATTTTCTAACTGTTTTTTGAGCAAAGCAAACAAATAAAAAGTATAGTGTTTAGAATAAAAATGGAATACACTCCCAAAAGGGTTAAAAAAACCAAATCATTCTTGCAATTATCAAACACACTCCACTGACCAAAAAATTCCTCTGTAGCGGTGTAGCGGGGGAGGGGAGGGGCGGACGGACGGACGAAACGCGTAATAATTGTCACTTTTATTTTCCGTATTTCACTGAGTTGAACTCCGGAGGGGTTTCAATCATTCTAAAATATCGAAAAACTATGACCGTACTCACTTCTAAGCCCCTTTTGCTCTTTAGTTTGTTTTTTTTGCCAAAGTTTTTCTAGGTCCCGTATTTGAGAGTCGCGGGGCCCCAAGTATGAAAAATTGCTACGAATGCCAAACCCCTGCCAACCCAACCACGCTAAGAACCTAATTTAAAAAAATGTTTTGAATATTTCAAAAAATAGTAATCGTGAAAATAAATAAAATCCCCCCGGGGGGGGTTTTGGAGCCCTTTTGGTGCGAAATTTTTTAAACTATTTGTGAGGTAGTTGCTGAGAAAAGTGAGTGAGTTACAGACACACAGACAGACGCACGACCCGTCACTTTTTGGTACCCCCCAAAAACGGCATGGGCTCGCTATCGCTCGCCAAAAATCCTCACCCAAATTTGGGTGATAAGGTATACCTCGCCTAAAAGTGTGTAATGATCAAGTAAAAGGAAAACTTCACAAAAAAAAAGTCCTAATTATGACGCGTTTAGTCTCAGTGAACACTTCACGCTATTAGTGGACGCCCCTTACAAGGTTTGTGGTGAACACGTTCAAGAAGAGGCAGTCCTCACTGCCCTCCAGGTCGCCGTCCTTGCCCTGGGCGCACCTGGGCCCTGCCTGCTTGGCCGGTCGCACTCCTGTCCACGCCGGGTGCGGTCTCGGGGCCTGCACAAAGCTCGTTACAAAGTGAAAGTCCGACACACTGAAAATCCAAAGGTGAGACTTCCTGCACTTTAAAGGGTGAGAGGCATGTGCCCGAGGATCGTTGATACTGAAAAAGGCCAAAATATGAGTGACTGAAAAAGAGTGATACCGTTAGTACCGCCGTTAAAGGGTGATATTTCCTCAAGGACAACAATGGCCCCACACTAAATGTTAAGCACAATTTTGGACGAGACGTCACAGATAGCGTGCAGATTAACTTTCAGTACGATTTCCGAACGAAAATCTGCACTTGTCTTTTTAGAGCAAGTTTTTGTACGAAAAAGTCGCAAAAAGAGTACCCAAATTTAAAAAAAAAAACTGTGACGTCTCACAAAACATTTGTACTGACACATTTTATGTCACCAGTCTCGCTGTTGTCTGACCTATTTTCGGTCATGCATTGGAGTCACCCTTTTTCGGTGATACATTAGTATACGATCATTTTAGGGATGTGCGAATCAAGGATTTTCATTTCGAAGCGAACTCGAGTCGAATCTAAAAAGAAGTTCCGAAGCGTATTCGAATTATTGAATCTGGAAAAAGTTGTCGAATCGAACTTAAAAAGATTCAGAATCGAATTGAATTCGAATTGAAGCTAACAAAAAAATAGTGAGTTTCAACCGTTCCCGAGCAACCAGTTTGAAGACAAACCACTGAAGTGATTCGAGATTTCAAATATTTGGGGCCGAAGCAAAGAGATCCCTGATTCGATTCGATACCGAACTATTCGCACATCCCTAGATCATTTTTGCGGTGACACTTTTTTGTGTCGCCGAAAATTGGTCAGATGTCTTACTCTTCGAATGTTAGTGAGCAAGTTGATATAAATTAATTAACCCAGAGGTTTCACTAGCCTTGAATCTGAGAGGTCCCACGGGAGGCTTGGCGTAGGGCACGCCCCAGAACGCCGCATATTGCACGTGATTGGCGCCCGTCCCTCGAGTCCACTTGTTCAGTCCTTCGAGAGATCCTTGCTGCACCCGTACCACGGGCCCCTCTGGTGCTGGGGCGGGGGTTGTAGGGGCGGCTGGTTCCGTGAAAGGGGCAGGAGGGGAAGCGGTTGCAGGGCCGGGGCAGTCTGTTCCCCGGGTCGTGAAGTACACGATGAGTCCCACGGCCACCAACGCGATAACCACGCCCAGGCCTCCGAATACTGCGAAGCATGGACAAGGGAGTCAAAACACTCACCCAGAGAACCGTCCTCCAGATTTTAGTGGAATGCACAAAAGATGAGATGCCATTCCTCTATATTGCGAACCTTCTGGGGCTCTTATACAATAGAGCGTAATCCTCTAATCCAACCGATTAGAAGATAACTCCAATTTTTGATACATCAATCCTCCAATCATGAGTGTCAAGTCCTTTAAATGTTACTGTATTGTATTCTAGTCAGCAGTTCTTGGCGGGATAAGTAAGGTTGCAAAAAAAGAAAATAGTGTAAAAATGAACAGTGATGCAGGTTTCTAAAATTTAAAACTTGATGCCTTGTTTTATCAAATTATGTAAAAGTTCACTTGGAATAAAAATGTTCATTTGAAATTGAGTCCTTGTCTGAAGCTTACTCTTACTTAACACGTTCGCTGCAAAGGCTCTTTGAGCAAGAAAACCCCACAACCGAAGGTGCACCCAGACCAAACCATGCATGTCCGACTCACACCAATTTTTTTTTTTAGACTTGTCATAACATGCCCGACACCATGCGCATAAAAAAAAATAAAGAAAAATAGGTGAGGTATTCTTTATAACAAAAATTTGGGTGATACATCCCTCAACACCTTTATTTGAATGAGGAAACCTTCCTCATCCAAATTGGAATGATAAAATAATCCGAGCCCAAGTGTCCTATACCTGGGATGCCAGCAGTGTAACAAAAGAAAGTCGGCCCACAACGAACGGACGTCAAACGCGCACTAGATGGCCTGTTTAGCAGTCATTTTGTGCACGTTTGAGGTCTGTTGTGAACCGACTGTCCTTGGTGGGGGGTCATCCACATATTACGTCATCACCGATGGGGGAGGTGGGAGGTGTGGCTTATACCTGCGATTACGTGGTGGAGAGGGGCTAACCGTCCCGATTACGTAACCAGCTTACGTCACAATTACGTCACATCGCAAATTATTTGGCCTAAGGGAAAAAAAAACAAACTATTGTGGGTCACTTTTTTAATTCCAAATTAAGGGCTTACATTGTGACCTGATGACAAAAGTGCCTGTGTGTCCTTTCATTATGGTCATTGGACTAAGTATTGCAGAATAGTAGCCCCGTCTTATATCCTTATTTACTAAGCTGCGGCTGTTTTCAAAATAGTCTGTTTTGGCCCAAAATTGATTTTTGGAACCAGTTATGGTTCAGCTGTACGAGGCTCAAATTTGGATTTGATTTTGCTAAAATACATAAGGATTTCACTTTCGAGTTTATTTTTCGGAATTCTGAAAACTGCAGTATCTGTAGCGCAGTGAATCAATTGTGGGTCCTATCAATTGTGGATCATTTCGCCTTTTGGCTTGTGAATTTACCACTTTTGCAACATATTTCCTTATTTTCATTAAAGACCCTGGTTCTCAAGTAACCATTCAGGCACGTTTTTCACTCAAAGAAGAAGAATACATAAATAGGCTCATCCGAAAATGCCCTATGCTTCTGAACTGGAAGCAGTCGGAAACTTAAGTTTTAAAGAATTTCTGTTGCTTCAGCTTCCACTGAAAAATAACTACCAAGTTGAAGAACTGTCGAAGATTTAAGCTTTGAATTTACGACGCTGTTCACCCTTTAAGTTTTCATTCCTTTTAATCTGAAGACCAGTCTCAAAAAGTCTTTTCTTTTTTTTTCATTCACTGCAATTTGGATGGAAAGACTTCACGCCAAAATACTTTAATGTCTCGCCAAGATTTGGTCAGACCTGAAAGTCTCGCCAAAATTTGGTCAGACAAAAAAGTCTTGCCACAAAACGGTCATACGCAAAAGTCTGACCCCAAAATGGCGAGACTTTTGTGCCTGACCACGGCCTTTAGGCCGTAACCGTCCGGCGCATGCGGTTAGACACAAAAGTCTCGCCATTTTGGGGTCAGACTTTTGTGTATGACCGTTTTGAGGCGAGACTTTTTTGTCTGACCAAATTTTGGCGAGACTTTCAGGTCTGACCAAATCTTGGCGAGACTTTTATGTCTTGCCTCTGGAGTGGCGAGAAGTCTGACCTTTGGATTTGTAGTGTTTTACCGTGTCTGCAAGCACTTACCATATTTCTCAAATTTGTTTGATTACGTAATCTTGCGGGAGGGAGGGAGGTGTCTAGCCGTTGACGACGTTTGATGGATGACACATGGGGGAGAGAGGGGGGCTTTAAGTCCTAAAACACGTGATTACGGGTGTGGACGACCCCATGACACACTGCTGCCATCTCTGGTGTGATAAAGTAAACTTCGCTTAAAAAACGGAATTGATCAACAAGACACGGTGAAAGACGACAGTTCCCGAGCCTCGCAAAATCCGGAGCCTGCAAGCACACGGCGAGCAGCAGTGCTGCCAGAAAAGTAGGTCAAAAGGAGCCTAAACACACTGTTGTGCGGCGGGCAGCAGTCCTCCTGCCTTCTAGGCAACTCTCCACCACTGCTGATGATATGTTCGCCGCGGGCTTTTTTTCACCTACTTTTCTGACAGCACTGGTGAGCAGATCGCATATAGCGTAGTTTTAAGAGTCACATCTTCAAACATCTCGCATTTACCACACGTGAAAACGCATCAACTTGCGGTTTAGCAGAGAATTAATGTATTATTTTCGTCATCAAAACGAAGATAGTTTGACATCCGAAGCAGAAACCACGTTACCTTTGCTCCGTGTGCTCATGGCGGAGGCGCGTTGGTGGACTGAGCAGCACCAACACTTACACGCCACCGTGACGCGCACTGATTAGAAACAAAGATTGTCTGGGTTACGACACTCCATGCGATAAGAGGCGTCCGAACTGATTTTCTGACCAGTTGACCTAGCTTGCCATTGTTTTAGGCCAAGCCCGAAAGTCAATGCCTTCCGAAGGTGGTGGGGTTCTCGGTGGATCTACAAAATAGCCTGGGCTTAAAGCCGGGGGGGATATTTTGAATCATCTGGGACGTTTGGGCCTCGGCAACTTCAGGGGGGTCCCTAAACGCTCGATAGTAGGCAACCAGCATCACATGCCCCTGTAGGTGGGCAAAATTTATACACACCACACCCCCCACTGTGGCAAAAAGGTATGGGAAATTCTGTTAATTTTTGCGAGGATTCTCCGTAGCCCTCTTATCAATATTCTCCGTAGCCTCTTACAATATTCTCCGTAGAGCCGTACAGTATTCTCCGTAGGACCTGGAAGACTAGTCCCACGGAGAACACTGTAAGGTCCTACGGAGAATACTGTACGGCTCTACGGAGAATACTGTTAGAGGCTACGGAGAATATTGATAAGAGCTACAAAATAGCCCGGGCTTAACTTAACCTAACCATAGGGGTAGGTTGGGGAAGAAAAGTACAAAACGCATACTTAGCACTGTACAGAAGTTTTAAATGAGGATTCAACTATTCTGCTCTCGTCAACTTGTAATCCAATGCCTTCCTAATGAAATGGATCACTGTTCATTGATTATAGTTCCCCACATTACGTACAAAATGCCAAAATGTATGTGATTTCGGAACTCCTCGAAAAGGGTAAGAAAAGTACACCACCGGGAAAGAAAAGTACAACGAAAAGAATTGCGATTTCGAACCAGGAGACCACCAATCTTGGCTCAATACAGGTTTACCCCTAAAGTGGAGAGCTTTCACTTGCCATTAGTTCAAGTTTCGTCAAAATCGGTCAATTGGTTCTGATTCTACATGGACTCATCACAGAAGGTCAAAATAGCCTTTTTTCAGAGATAAGTGGGTACAGCATTTTTGTACTTTTCTTCCCCTTTTTACATAAATGCGCATTAACTTGTTTATTTCGAGTCCAATTCTATAACTTGTGTTGACATTTTTTGCTTGTCTCGCCTAATCAAATCTATTTCCGTGATCAATTCAATTTTCATCCCGCTTTTAGTTTCTTAGAGGGTGTTTTTTTGGCCCGCCCTTCTATTCAAAAAATAGGGGGAGGGCCTATGCATTTGCCTTTGTGTCTGTGTGTTGTTGTTGTTGTTGTTGGCGTCTGTGTACAAGGAAGGAGTTGAGCTAGAGTAACCAGATTTGGGGGGAACTTCAGGAGTACCGTCCAAACAAATAATCCGGTGGTGCAAATCCTGTCCGGGTCGCACAAGGGCTGCTGCAGGTGCATCATGGTGGTTAACATGAGCGGGAGGGGGATTTCCGCCATTATTGGTGCTAGCAGGGCACAGGGGTATTTTAGGAATCGGGGCGACGAGACAAGATGAATGGACCTGGTCCCGACCCCATCGGCCGCTTTTACAAGTTGGCCAGATCAGGATCTTCAAAAAAGGGGGTCGACCGACTAAAAAAATTTATTGCAGACTTCGATTGGTCTCAGCGAGACCTATCCAACGAGGGGTCGGAAAGGGGGTCCAGGAGCCCGACTTCGTCTATTAGTCACATCAGGATCTTGAAAAAAGGGGGTCGACCGACTGAAAATTTTTACTTAAGTTTTGGATAGGTCTTGGCAAGACCTCTTCAACGAGGGGTCGGAAGGGGGGTCCAGGAGCCCGCCTTCATGAGTTATGTGAAAAAGTGCGACGGACTCGTTTTGCGCTCCTGCTGTGCCTCTATTGCAAGGAGTTGCAGTAGCATGGCAAATATGGGTATTTTCGGAATGAGGGCGAAGAGACAAATGAAATGGGCATATTCTAAGGACAGTTGGAGTAAAAAGTGTAAGGACTATTGCATATTGTGAATAGAAGGGCGGGCCTAAGTCACGATGGTACATCGATAACTTTGCTTTACCCGCTCACGGTGTGTGTGATGCGAGCGGGCCGAAGGCCCGGGCCTTCGACTGGCCAAGTTGGGTCTGATGCGACGGCCGAAGGCCCGAAAAAAGGCCGCCGGCAGGCCAAGCTGGGCCGGCCCCCTGTCGAACCGAGTTGCCGGCGCAGCGAAGCGGAGCTGGCAACTCGGTTCGACGGAAGGGCGGGCCCTAGCTTGTTTCTTCCCCAATGCCTGTACTTTTCTTCCCCAGCCGACTGTACTTTTCTTCCCCATTTCATTATTACACTTATAAAAAATTGTGTTGAAGTCTAAGAGCGTCGATCGGCACTGTTTTTCAAAGATGATGGTCTAAGCTATAAGGCGGTACCTTACAGTGGACTGTCGGCTGATTCTGCAGGAAGCTGTACTTCAAAGTACAAACATTTAAAAAAAAGATTTTCATAGTTATTTTTAATGTTATTTTCAAACGTGCAGTTTGATTCTAAATATTATAGGTAGAACTGGGCTAAATTTATTTTTTGTCAGCGGGATGACCAATCTTTCTAAAACCACTATCGTGATGGTTCAGTGTAGTTTAAGTTCGGAGATATAACGGGTGTTCTTTTCTTACCCAAGCCTCGAGTGTACTTTTCTTACCCAACCTACCCCTACTTAGTATTTCGTTCTTAAATACTTAGAAATTTCTTTGTAATTAACTTAGAAAACGGTAATATCGGTACAGTAATTGGCAATTGTTAGGTGATACTGACAAAAAACACTAAGTACTATGGTCGCTTACAGAAATGCGTCTGCTAATGAGAAATAGGGTCATTCCATGTGAAATCGACAAGGTTCAAATCGACCAGTGCTCCGATTTTGATGAAACTTGCAGCGATTGTTGGTCTTATGGTCCCATTGAAGTTGCCAAAATATTTTGGTCGAAATGTCAAAGGGGTCTGAGTAGTGCACGATTCAATTTTTTTCACTTTTTGTGAATGGGTATCCGTTTTTTGCTAATATCTCCGGAACTATTCGTCGTACGACAAAAATGAGTACACCGTTGGAAAGAGGAGAAAAAACTGAATAAAATAAAAAAAAAATTATTTTCTTTGGAGAAAAAAATTTTTCTTTTATACTAAACTCAAACTTTCAAAGTTATGTTTGAAACTGTTCCCCTTCATCAAAATTGACATGCTATGGCTCAAAAAGTAGCTTTACCCTTCCCCTAAACGAAAATGTCAATCATACAAAGTACTTTTTTTCGTTTGGGAGAACGAGCGATTTCCGTGGACCTCTGCACTGGATCCGGGCCTACCCTCTGCCTGAACGGTGCACAACGGCCCGGCGCTGTGGCACCGCGGTGTCCTGCCACCCACCCCCATCCCTTTCCGCAGTTCCCAGAGCAGAAGTAGGGGCGCCTGGAGGGTAGGCCGCACCCCGCACGCCGCCCCGGGCTCCCACGGTCACCGCCCAGCAGGTAGGCAACCCTTCCTATTCACCCCGAGCCTTGCTTCGTGGCGCAGCCGAAGTTGATGCGAAAACGGCATTCCCCCCGACGGTGCTGCCAGTGTTTGGGCTGTGGCGACAAGACGAACTTGTTGTTGTTTCTTTGTCTTTGTTTGTTTACTTTCTGCACCGACTACTTGTTGGAGTAAATATTTTTTGAGCATTGACTTTGAGTCGATTTTATGCCCTGAAAAGGTCCGTTTTTCTTGTGTACGAGTTCTTTCTCTTTTTTAAAAAATCTGATATTATAGGATTGTGCTTTGGTTTGATGACGCTTCTTGTTTTATTTTGAGGTTTGGTTTCTTTGTGGTTCAGGTTCCCCCTACACAATGGGCCGAGCAGACACCAAGAAGTGTTTCCTGAGAAAGGTACAACATCTTCCTGATGTTGGTGCCTGCTCTGGGGATTTCACTGCAAGAGCCAGCCTATCTCCAGAAAGGATTCGTTTGCTCAAGATCAGAAGTGGCTGCAGAAAGAGTTTGCAGTATGTTTGTGATGGACATTTCACTAAGTTCATTCACCGCTTTGAAGCACACCAGAAAAACTGCTGTCTTCATCAGTCAACATCTGTTCATGATGGCCCTCCAGCCAAAAAGAAAAAAAGTGGCACTCCTCAATTGCATGTTATTACACTCCAAATGCGGGACAGTGCCAAAACTATTGGACTTGCTTTGGTGCCCGGCAAGAAAGTGTGTGTCAAGTGCAAGATTGACCTGAACGCTAAAATCAAAGCTGCTGAAAAATCTGCCGCAGGAAAGGCTGCTCAAGAATCTTCAAGCAACGCTCCTGACCCGGCTTCAATTTCCAACCCTCCTATATTTTCGTCACCTAGTGTAGGGTCTACTTTGGCCCCCAGTGATATTACAACTCCCACTGTACCTGCTGATAAAAAGGCTTCTAAAGAAGAGTTTTTTCAGGAGAGTATTGATGGATTAAATACTTGGCTGTCCTCTCTTGGATTCTCTCCTGTTAATGAAAGGAAATTAAAGACTCAGAAGAGCTATGGGCGTAAAGTTATGAAGAAAATAAGAGCAGCGCTGACAAAATTTTCTGATCAACAACTAACTGAGGACGAAGATGCAGCATACTTCAGAGAAATAATAGGCCAACTACAGCAATTTATTGATTGTCATCCCCAGCCCGATAAAAAATTATTAGCTTTATCAGTTGTACCAAAAAGTTGGAGCATTTCCAGGATTGAAAGCACATTTGGGGTATCCAACTACATGGCGAGGAAAAGCCGTCTACTAGTGCAAGACAAGGGTATTCTGTGTGGCCCGGGTCCTAAAGTGGGACGCAAACTTTCACCTGAGACAGTGGAGCTGATCACCAAATTCTACTACAGGGACGACATAAGTCGGCCTCTCCCTGGAGCCAAAGATGTACTGAGTGTTTTAGTGGACGGGAAGAGAGTGAAGAAAACTAAAAGACTAGTGCTGTCTACTCTCAGTTGCTTGCATCAAAAGTTTAAAGAAGAACACCCTGATCACAAAGTCTCTTTAGCTAAATTTTGTGAACTGAGACCAAAAGAGTGTGTATTAGCTGGTAGTGCCGGGACTCATGTGATTTGTGTGTGCACCTATCATCAGAATCCAGAACTTATGTTTGAAGCGGGAAATCTAAGTGAAGCTGGATTAGAAAATATAAAAGCGTGCAAAAAGTTGCTTTTATGCTCAGAGCCTAGTGAAGACTGTTTTTTTCGAAGATGTAATGACTGTTGTGATTCCACTGTTTTACAGGAAAAATTGGAAGTTTATTTTGACTCAGAAATGATTTCCACTGTGGTTTACAACCAGTGGGAGTCCACAGACCGGGCAAATATTGTAACTTTAAGTAAATCTACTGATGATTTTATTTCTGAGTTTATATCGCAGATTGAAAGTCTCATACCCCATGATTTTATTAGCAAAGTGCAAGCAAATTTCTATAAGGAATCAATTGAAAATTTAAAAGATGGTGAAGTTGTTGTTAATGTTGACTTTGCAGAAAATTTCTCTTTTGTTGTACAAAATAGCTCCCAGGGGTGGTACTTTAATAATAAACAGGCGACATTGCACCCTGTTTGATTTATTATAAAGATGCAGAGAGCAAAGTATGCCACTCAGCATTTGTTTTGATATCAGATCACTTGGATCATAGTACTGCTGCAGTGCATACATTTCAGAAAAAATTGATCCGTCATATAACTGAGGACCTCAAGATAAAGCTGGCTAAAATCAAATACTTTTCAGACGGTTGTGCTGCTCAGTACAAAAATAAAAAAAGCTGCCGCCAATGTATGGTTTCATGAAAGGGATTTTGGAGTACCTGCAGAATGGCACTTTTATGCTACGAGCCATGGAAAAACTGCCTGTGATGGTGTGGGCGGCATGATCAAACATACTACAATGTTGCATTGCCTACGCTTAACAGCAAAAGACCCACAAATAACAATTGCATATGATTTCTATGATTGGGTGTCTAAAAACATTCAAGGAGTGGCTGCTAAATGGGTTCCGAAAGAAGAAGTTATTGAAAATGAAAAGGCTTTACTTGTGAGATTTGAGACAGCTTTTGACATTGATGGAATCAAATCCCACCATGCTTTAATTCCTAGAGTGCCATCAAAGGATATCTTACTTAAGGGGAGGTTCTGGTGAAAATCTTGCCATTTTCCAAATGGATCCTACAGTCATAATTTGTTCGGAATATAAAGTTTTTCATTGGGGAGACTAAAATTTGACTTTTGAAGGCACATGCCAGGCTGTAAACCCAGTCGAAGAGTCTTTTTGAGCCTATTTAGGCTGTATCTTAAAAAATCTCCTTGCGCATACTATTTTGTCGTAAAAGGTTGACCTTGACATTTTTCACTTCTTCGACTCATTTTCAAAAGATTCCGGCATGCATAGCTCAAAACTTCCATTACATTATTAATTATTAGCTTTTTAAGCTGAAAAGTCCCTAAAATTTGTCTATTTTGTACATTTTTGATCAATTTTAGTGAAATGCTTGGTTAGAAAGCTTGCGAATAAAAATACAATTGACATTTTGAGATGGGCATGCCGGCATTTTAAAAGAATGAATCGAAGAAGTGAAAAATGTCTAAGCCAACCTTTTACGACAAAATAGTATGCGCAAGAAGATTTTTAAAGTTATAGCCTAAATGGGAGAAAAAGGCTCTGCGACTAGATTCAGGGCATAGAATGTGCCTCCCCAATGAAAAATTTTAATAAATACTTGATAAGACATTAAATTTTTAACAAATTTTCACAGTGGGACCTATTTAGGAGAAAATAGCATTTTCACCAGAACCTCCCCTTAAGTTGTATTCACAAGATACAAAATTTAATATTAAGAAGATATGTACCAAAGAATTTGAACTAGACTATAGTGAGGTAAAAGGATTTGTAACATTTACAGAAGACGAAAATTCCTGGGAGCTAGGCTGCGTATCTGAATTCCATGAAGAGGATGAAAACTTTTCGGTTCAAGTTATGGAAGCTACTGGACAACCAAGAAGTTACAAGTTTACTGATATTGTTATAATTGTTAGTCTACATGACATTGTAAGTCTAGTTAATCCGTACTTTCAAGCCAAAGGGACAATTGTGAAACTTCGAGTAAGTGATGCTAAGGCAGCAGATGTAAAATTAAAATCTAAGAAAAAAAATATGTTTTGAAGCAAGGTATAACTTGCAGCTACAGTTATACTACTTTAAAGGTTCAGAGGAAGGTCAGCCAGCATTTAAAAGTTTGTGTTCGATTTAAATTTCCTAACAATTTGAAAGAAATCTCAGTCTGGTAACAAACATTTGACAATGTGCAACACAAACTCTCGCCTAGGGCCATACTGAAAATTTGAAGGTCAAGAAGGAGATGGAGTAGGGGGAGGGGACAGGGGAAGAGGGGTAGTAACGTAGGATGAGTTGCCTACCTGCTGGGCGGTGACCCTGGGAGCCCGGGGCGGCGTGCGGGGTGCGGCCTACCCTCCAGGCGCCCCTACTTCTGCCCTGGGAACTGCGGAAAGGGATGGGGGTGGGTGGCAGGACACCTCGGTGCCACAGCGCCGGGCCGTTGTGCACCGTTCAGGCAGAGGGTAGGCCCGGATCCAGTGCAGAGGTCCACGGAAATCGCTCGTTCTCCCAAACGAAAAAAAGTACTTTGTATGATTGACATTTTCGTTTAGGGGAAGGGTAAAGCTACTTTTTGAGCCATAGCATGTCAATTTTGATGAAGGGGAACAGTTTCAAACATAACTTTGAAAGTTTGAGTTTAGTATAAAAGAAAAATTTTTTTCTCCAAAAAAAATAATTTTTTTTTATTTTATTCAGTTTTTTCTCCTCTTTCCAACGGTGTACTCATTTTTGTCGTACGACGAATAGTTCCGGAGATATTAGCAAAAAACGGATACCCATTCACAAAAAGTGAAAAAAATTGAATCGTGCACTACTCAGACCCCTTTGACATTTCGACCAAAATATTTTGGCAACTTCAATGGGACCATAAGACCAACAATCGCTGCAAGTTTCATCAAAATCGGAGCACTGGTCGATTTGAACCTTGTCGATTTCACATGGAATGACCCAATAGTCGGTAAAAGGCTGAGGTGCACGTACTTCACAAGATTGCTTGGCGAAGGACTTCTTACAAAATAGTCCATCCTTGAATAGAAACGTGGACGTTGTATTTCAGAGAAATCGAGATTAACTGATATGCAGTGAAAATACGTAGTTCATGAAATCTTTTGTGTACCTCTGTAGTTCGAAATCCGCACTGACAGATAAGATCGTACAGAAAGGATCGTCTGGGATCCACTCTGACAGAACCATTCTATAGGGTATTTAACCGTTTCGCTGGACCGGAAGCTAAAGATTGAAAGTAAGAACCTAAACCACTCATGAGCATGCGCAGGCACTGACTCGGAGTGGGAAGAGGGGGAGGGGGGCGTCTGCGCAGAACCGCTTTTGGGTCTAACTTTTTGTTCTTCGACTTCCGGTCCAGAGATTCGCGAGAACACCCTATAAGGAGGCGTCGATCTACCTTTCCTTTCAAGGTTCGGGACACACTTTAAAAAAAATCTGTACTTTTGTACGGAAATGGTACAGGAAAATATAGTACGGAGGTTCGGAGAAAAGTACGGAAAGTTCCGTACTTGCTCCATGTGAACCCATGCAAATGGGTACGGAAAAAAGTACGGAACGTTCCAAGCAAATTGTCGACCAGACATGTTCCGTACTTTTTCCGTACTTTTTTCTCACAGTGCATGGAGCAATCTGTTGGCCTCCGGCCGATCCCTCGTCAAACCGAATGCACCGGAAGTCGGAAGCCCTGGCCATCTATGGTAGCACGTACACTAGACGGAGGGAGGCTTATGGTTGACCAGCGCGACTTCCGGTGCTTTCATTACAAGTCTAGCGTGTTCTTCCCCCCACCACTACTCCCCAGCACTACCGCCTCAGCCGCAACCAGTGCGTGGTAACTCCGGCCTTATAGGATTCTGTTATTTGACCGAACTGGAGGAGCAGGGCGCCAAGTGACACGGGCTAAAAACAAAAAACCTCCCGTGTTAGGGGCAAATCTGCAACGGAGCTATTTATCGATATTTTACGTATTTTTGATAGAAAATGCGTAAAAATGAAAGGAGGCGTAAAAGAAACAAAATTATTTTAAAACAAGTTTGTTTAGACCCAATTTAGACCTTTTCAAATTTTTTCAAGCGTTTTTGCTTGTAGGTTGGTGGGAAACGGGTTGTCGTCTGTGAAGTAAATATAAACAATAAACAAAACATACTGTCTGCTATTTTTTTTACTAAATTTTGTAAACATCGTCTGCTTGTTTGTAAACAAACTTTTGGGAAATGTAGTCTCCATGTTTGTACACAAGCTTTTGTAAACATCTCCATGTTTGTAAACTCTCCTTTAAGTATTCTTTGGGCCAAGATTTTTAGGTGTTTACTTGGATGGATAAGAGTTTATGTCCTTAAATTTTTTGAAAAAGGGATTGAGAAAACAATGTTCATATATTCTTTTTGATAACATTCTTTTATTAATTAAACGGCTGTTTCAGACACATCTTATAAATTTATTAGCCGCGACAGGCACACAAAAGTGCGAAGCCTTCTGCCACCAGGGGAAGACGGCAGCTATGGCATGAACACTCTAAATTGAAAGTTGTCTTCTTGCAGTGCTCGCAGCGACACTTTCTTCAGTCAAAGATTAGTGTCCTAGCGATCCAATTTGCGTCTATCTAAATGGTGCTTCTTCCTGGCAATTGTGAGTGCATGCTTGCAAGTACATAAAAGTACATAGTTGTGATCATGAACACACTTACAACTGCATGTTGCATGTATGCGCTCAGAGGCATGCACTCGCCAGAAAGCATTGTAACGGTCTACCTGCGAGCATGCACTCAAGTGACCCAGGCACATTCAACTGATCATAATCAGCAGGGCAAAATGGATGGGGTCTGGAACGACATGATCATTCAATGTGTCCGTTCCCATGTCAAAAGAATTGTTGTCGTTGTTTTCGCTGTCATCAACATTATCCATTCCTTCATTTGGGTGGGATTCCATTAAGCCTGGATAAATAAAAAGATAAATTAATTTTTGAGTGCATAAAAGAAATGGCAATTCATATTTCTTAGAACCTACCACAATTACAGGCATGTTCAGCACCAGAATTGCGTTTGAATACAGAAATGTTGTCTTGACCAGAAGATTCAGAAGAAGAGCCTAGACATACAAGAAAAGATTACTTAACACTAGAAGCGCCGGGTTTTCGGATTACCGTAGAGCGCCGAGCGGGCCAATTTGACCCACGGGCATTTTCGTCGTACATGTCAACTGTTGAACCGTCATTTCGACTCAAAGGGAACCTTACACGGATTTTTAGACCCTTAGCAAGTCAAAGGATAAAATTTGGTGCACGGGGGTCACAGGGGACGAGGTAGGCAACCCGCAAACCATGATTTGCTGTTCTTAGAGTTTTCTACTGTGCCTCGTTGCCGAAACGTTTTTAATGATAATAGATGGCATAATTGTAATCACCTTATGATCGAGATAGTGACTTTTAATGAAATTACTGAACCGTAGACCATTAAGACCTGGCCAAACCTTCAAAGCATAGCTGCAAGGCATGCCCGGAAACCACACTGTGGCAAAAAGCTACGGAAAATTCTGTTAACAGCTTGTGGTAATTCTCCGTAGGCCCCTTATCAATATTCTCCGTAGGCTCTTACAGTATTTTCTGTAGGACCGCACAGTATTCTCCGTAGGACCGCACAGTGATCTCCGTAGGACTATACAGTCTTCGAGGTCCTACGGAGAAGACTGTGCGGATTTACAGAGAATACTGTGCGGCCCTACGGAGAATACTGTAAGAGCCTACGGAGAATATTGATAAGAGGGCTACGGAGAATCCTGGCAAAAAAATTAACAGGATTTTCCGTACCTTTTTGCCACAGTGCAGGGTTCATAGCAACGGAGAGCTCATAGTAAGGAGGATTGAGTGCTCGATTGAGTGTGTGCTAAAAAGGCTGGAATGTAAGAGACATGTGTTAACACCCTCGGGTACACACTAAACTCGCCACAACCAGCAAGGCGCGTATTGGGTTCTAATTTGCGTCCGTTCGTCAACTAGCATTCAGTGATCTGTCCTAACCAGTTTTGCTCCTGCTGTAGCCCTGAGATGGGTTTCCGAGTCGTTCATCGTCCTGACCGGCTTGTACAGACATCTAGGGAATGAATAGTTGCCGAGCTAAGTTAAAATGTACTAAATGTAAATGTAAAGTGTACTAAATGTACTAAATGTAAAATGTGGCAAGTGAATTACCTTGAAACACTAGACACGAGAGCAACAAAGCGGATCTCGGCATTTTAATTATCTCTTTACGCATGATGGAGTCCTTTGACCCAAGGATTCGGGCTGAGCGTGCTATGAGTGCCACTGAAGGTAGACTAGCGGCTCAGTGTTCGAGAGACACCCTAGGGCGTTTAGAAGTCAATCGGGTTACCCAAAATGCCTGAGACATTGGCAGTTTACGTCAAAGGAAGCTGCACGATGTCTCCAGGCAGAAAATGTATTGCGGGTTGCCTACTTCGTTATAGACGCAGACCTGACGCATTCCTAATATGACGTAAGTTATTTTTAGTGGTGAAGAGTCAGTTCATAGCTCGTTATGTTGTGTAGAAACGCGAAAATGTGGTCAAAATGCCGTGTGGGTCAATTTGGCCCGCTTGGCGCTCTATGGTAAAAGTCAATTTATCTCGGTCAAATATGGTCCGAGAACGTCCAGATTTCGAATGTAGACGCATTTCATCATTTTAGGAAAAGTCAGAAATTAGGGGGCTGCCACTTTCATTTTGAAAAGTCGAAACTACAGTTCAAAACTCAAAATGGGTCAAATTGGCCCGTTCGGCGCTTCTAGTGTTAAAAAGTCTACCACAGCCCATTTCTCTTTGTTGCTTTGAGAAAACAAAAGGAAAACCTACAGGAATAATTGTTTCCTCTGGCCTCAAGTTCAGTGCAGGTCTTGTAATGTTCACTCATGCTTGGAACAGCATTGCACTTGTGCTGCCCACTAGGATGCAAATCATCGGGACCAAAGCGCCTAGCACACACCTATTTATTGCTAAACTTCTTCAGCTGCAGCAGTTTAACTTTGACACAAATTAATCCACAATTTGTACCTAGAAATAAAAAACAACGGGAGATTAAGTGAAAAGAAATATTTAACTGCTGTGCGTGCATGGCAGAAGAGGGCTAACAGATAAAAAGAAGAGTATTAGCAAACCAAGCAGAGCAAACAAAAACACAAGTTAAGAGGCTTTAAGCAAAAGCTTGCCAAGCAAAAGCAAAAGCCAAGCTGATGCCAAGTAGACACAGCTCACGGATGCATCGAATTGAATGTTATATTGAACAGATTATCCAGATTGGTCAATCGCCACTTGAAATTACAACTTGTGAACTGTGTATACTTCATTACAACATGAATAACATTGGAATGAAAAGAGTGAACAAATTATATTGACTTATACATACCGGTTTTCATCCGTGTGAGGGAATCATTTGAAGCTGGCTTCGTCGTTTGTGTTTGTGCTACACATTCCACAGTTTTCATATTTGACAATGCTGCTGCCTGATGCCCGTGTAAAGTATCTCTTTCCATTTCTTTTCTTCGGTACCAAGGATTCCTCTCTAGCCTCATCCTCAGATCCTCTACGCTTTGAGTGCATCGCTCTGAAACCTAAATAGGGAAACAAAGAAGCCATAACACACGTCACACGCAACCTATATGAATGCGGCAGACTCCATTCTATCCTTTTCCATTCAACTTCAAGCCTAGATTCGGTTACTCTTACTATAAAAGAGTTAACCTTGTGAGAAAGCATGCTTCCAACAGATAGGCTATGATTGATAATGAAGGAAACATGTGAACATGTTAATAGATACTCGAACACATAGGGTTATTAATATTGAATTAAATGTAACTTGATACGAAAGTAACGATACGTTAATGACATTACAGCAAATATCTTAAAATTACAGAAAATGTACGTACCTTCCGTTCCGTAGCACCGTGGAAATGAAGTGATTTGAACTGGAGTGGAGTGCAGGGTAGAAAACACGACATTTTAAAATTTTAATAAGTACTTCGTTAATAACCCAAGAACTTTCCTCAAACATCTTAAAATAATTTTTAAAGTCATTCATTTCTATTTTTAAGCTTTATTTCGCTTTAATTTAAAATAATATATATTTGCGAGGGCTTTTAGTGTTCTAGGGTTGCCATCCCTGCTCCTCCAGTTCTGAAACCCCCCAAGCGCCCACCTCCTTTCCCCCACCCTGGGAGTTACCACGCACTGGCCGCAACGCCACCGTTGCCAAGCAAACCAACACTGCAACCGAACGAATGCTGAGCGTTGTCTCATTTTAGTTTAGTGGTGGCTTGAACCTGATTTCATTGAGGTAAGTCCTCACCAATGAAGAGTTCTAAAGGGAATGGCATATGCGTGGCTATTAGTTTCGTCTTGAGGGTTAAGTTACACTCACTCAAAGTTTGTTTGAATCAAGATTGCTCAGTGACGGCGGTGTTGCTCGGTGTTGCTGCTGAGAAGGCAGAAGCGGGGAGTCAGAGGGGGTGAGACATAGCTAGCCTGTTAAAGGGATCGTAGCGGAACAAGTGACACAGTCTGTATAGAGTACTCCAAAGAAGCTCTGGCACGGAAGAGGAGGAACAAAAACGGAAGTAGGAAATTCCAGTTTATTTGATAAGTATACGCTGGGCATGAGTTCCGCAGCGTATATTTCTCATTACAACTGGAATTCCTTACTTCCGTTTTTGTACTTCTTCCAGGCCAGAGCTTTTTAGGAGTACTCCATTCCATCCCGCTGACTGTTACGGGTGACCTTTCCTTGATCTGTTCTGTTAGGTGTGAGGCGTCCAGATCGTGTGTTCGTCAGAGGAACGCGGCTTCGATTCAGGTTCTGACCCTCCTCCCCTAGAGAGGAGTTCTGCCCGAAGCCCAACCAACTCTCGGCCTTTGCTGTTGACGGACTGCCCTCTGACGTGTTCAGCCCGACCAAGAGCACTTCCCACCTCACTTTGGTAAGAAACCAATCAACAAGTAGACACTTCAAGCAGGGCCATGTAGTGAAGAACAAGAAGTTCATGGACCGGATACAGGATATGAAATTGGCCTTTTCGGAGGATTTAATAAGTTTAAGTCAAATTTAGTCTAAAACTTACCTACCTTGAACTTAGATTGAGAATAAACACTCGTCATCAAATTGAGTACTCCAAAGACGCTCTGGCCCGGAAGAAGAAGAACAATAACGGAAGTAAGAAATTGCAGTTTCTATGAGAAATATGCGCAGCGTATATTTCTCATAGATACTGCAATAATCTACTTCCGTTTTTGGTCTTCTTCTTCTTCCGGGCCAGAGCTTCTTAGGAGTACTCTATAAGTAAACGTTCTTTGACAGCTGGTTCCAGCTTATGTTCTTCACTTCAGGCCTTGCTAGGTGTGCCTATTGTGAGTGTAGGTTTATACAATCTGCTGATGAACCTGCAGTCCCGTGTTCATCTCGTTCATCAAAGAGGATCCGTACGTTGCCCGGGTTGTTAAACGAACCTCTGAACCGGAAGTCAAGGGCAAATGTATAAATCGAAACCGCCTCTGCGCATGAGCACAGCGGTTTTAGTTCCAACTTCTATGACTTCCGGTCCAGAGATTCTTTGAACCACCCTGACGAAACGTATTCTTCTCAGTTCTCGAGGGGCTAACGTCCAGTCTGGAGTAGACATAGTGACTACAGCCAATCGGCAGATTCGTTAGCGAGACATCTACCCTTGTTCTGTTGTTATACCCTGCCGAATCTTAAAACTCAAAGTGCATGCTCCGCATAGGTAAACTGGCCCAAATTTTCGTACGTAGTTGTGACAACCGCTATCGACCTTCCGGGCCGATCATCTGAATCTTCGAAGCTCCTCATGTATCCGGCCTTCCGATTGATTTAGTCTTGGTGTAACGTTCAGTCACCGTAGCTGCTCTCGTTCACATATTCAGAGTGCGCAACGGCACACACATTGACAAAAATTATAAACCACCAGGCAAGTAGCGTGTATGTCTAAGCCACTTCTCCTGTCGTGTTTATACATCCCTTCTGATCGGGAAAGGTACTCCAGAGCAGAGGAGGCCTGGACCGGAAGCACAGAGTCGCTAACTTTACCGGAAGCTCAGAGTCGCTAACTGTACCGGAAACTTAGAGGCGCTTAGAGGTTAACGTGCTTCTTTTAATGCGCCACAGTTTATTTACGTAGTGTAGCTTTCCGATTACGTGAAATAGGGTCCTTCGCAGAAGAAATAGAACGGAAGTTGCTAAGAATGAAGAAGAAAAAGGCATGCGCAGAGTACTCCAAAGAAGCTCTGGCCCGAAGATGATCAAACGGAAGTAAAAATTGCAGTTTCTATCAGAAGTTACGTTGCGCATGAGGTCCGCGGCGTATATTTCTCATAGTAACTGCAATTACTTAATTCCTTTATAGTTCTTCTTCCGGGCCAGACCTTCTTTGAAGTACTCCTTATGAGAGAATGAGCGTCGTCTGCGTTACCGTTCTGCCGCTTCCGCAGTCATATCCTCACACAAGTTGGTGTTTGTCTTTGATTTCTTTGCAACTTCCGGTCCAGCTCTTCGCCGAAGTCCCCTATTAACCCGACTGACCATTGGGGCCACGGCGCCACGCCTCGAACTCCGAACCTTTTTTTTGAATGAGTTCCTGACCAAGACAACGGCTCCTTGTTTCCGGTCCAGGCCTCTCTGTGGTATCCTATCGAGCCTTTTTTTACCGGTGGAGAGCGGCTCGTGGCTTCCGACCCGGACATCCCCAGGAATATTATCAACCGCAGGCACTCTGTTTTATAAAGACCAAAGTATATCTGTGAGTTATTTCTTCAGGAACATATTCTTCAAGTATTGATCCTACGATTCAGGACTATATTTCGTATAAACATTTCCTCTGGTCGATTCCTCATTGCGGTGCTGCTTTTCCACTGAGCTTCTTCTCTACGTTAGTGTAGTTACGTCATAGAGTGCCTTTAGGACCCGTATCTTAACTATCCCTAGCTGGTTCCAGTTGTGATTCAATGGGCATATGTATACATGCGCTCTCCTGTTACCACATAGTTACGTCCGGAGCTATTCCGATTTAGCTTTGATATCTTTCACGAACGGCAGAACACCTAAGTCGCCATTTCATGTGAACTTGCAGTTGGAAAGGCAAACCTTAAGCTATCCCTGGTAGTTCGACTTAAGCCAACGGGTGTTTGTCTTCGCTTCTTTAATTGTTAACTTTTCTAAAGGCAAGATGCAAGGGTTCATCTCTCCGAAATCTCTCTCTTTGCCGAATTGGAACGAAAACTGGAGGGGGAAGCTCTGGCCTAGCCCTATCGGTCATTTAAAGTCGTCCTTTGGCCTCGTTTCCTGCCTGGAAAACACGGGGAACTGTTCGTCAAAAAAGGAAAGCAGGAAAATATCTAAAGAAACACCGGGGCATTTTACGTCGAACTATCGTGGTCCCAAACGTACTTACTTGCTCAGATCCGGCCCCCAGTGTTTTCTATAATAGCCTATCGCCTTAGAAACAACCACTTAATTTTTTTGGGGGGAAAAAAATCAGAATTTTGCCCATAGTAATTTTTGGGAATTTCAAATAAAATTTCAAACCTTTTTATGAGTTGTTAAAAAATTGTCCTTATTGGCGCTCAAATAGGCTGAAAACTGTTAGGGACGGCAACATAATCTGGTGAAAAACAAGTTTGGGACCCCAGCCTTTACCAGAAAGAACGTTTTTGACAAAATTCACCGATGTTTTAATTCCCTAAATACGTCACCTTACTTTTCGACCATGTTGGCATCAAAGGACCTGAAGAAGTGCACTAGCTGTCAGCAAAATATTGGGGATGGCAACCCATAAACACCTGAAATATTGTCAAAACAACCTTCAAAGGTATTTTGATTTTTCGCCAAAATTAACTAAATGGGACCGATATTGGGCCTGTGCGTTCAAATGTTTGCCTGGTGTCTGTCCTAACACTCTGGAACCATTTCGAGGTGAGGGTCAGCATTACAAGAATTTAGGCACACATACACAGCAAGAAAACGTTGGCCTAGACTCTTGTAATGCTGACACCTCGAAATGGTTCCAGGAGTGTCAAGACAGACACTAGGATAACATTTTAATGCACGGGACCAATACAGGTGCCATGTAGTTAATTTTTGGGGAAACACTTAGATATCTTTGAGAGTTATTTGTCAATATCTGTAGTGTTTATGGATTGCCATCCTCAATATATTGCTGACAGAGTACCCCGTAAGGGTCCTTTGAAGCCTATACGGTTGAAAAATAAGTATAACTTCAGTCTGGCCGGGTCTTTTTCACTTCCGGTTTTGGATATCTCATCTCCACCTCAGAGAATCCGTATCGTGACTCATTTTAAGCACAACAAGGGTCTTTCGGAGAAGAGCTGGAACGAAAATCATGAAGAAGGGAAGGGAGACCGAGAATATACTTTCTAGAAGCGGTAGAACAGTGATCTATTTTCCACTTGCATTTCAGCTGTTCTCCGAAGTGCCCTCTTTAATATCTGTTAACTTGTCGTTTTCTTTGTTGCCACAGAACAATAGAACATGGCGGTGATCCAACGACTGAGCTGGCTCCCTCGCTTGGACCGGGGCTGCTGGTGCTGCCCTCTGGAGACGTTCTGTTTGGTCTTTGGGTACTTTTCTGTGGTGAGTAGGGAGCCTTCTGAACACTGTTAGAAATTAGCTCCGAAATTCTATGGAGAAAAACCCTATAATCACGTTCATGGAGATTATTCATTTTCCATCGTTTTTCGTAGAGATCTTTTCAGGGCTTAAACAAATGTTCTTCGGAGCATTTCTTGGGTCCTGATGGGAGGTAAAATGCATGTTTTTTCTCAGATATGTGAAAGAGGGCTTCGCTGAAGCATTCTTTAGTCTGAAATGGCCAAAGAAGGGACAATCTCCTTCGAGCTCATTTGACTTCTATCCTGTAGGTTTTCCTAAATATTATGAAAACTGAGCTAAACAAGTAGTGGTTCACCTTTCCCTCATTTTTTAACTGGTTGCAAACCTTTTTTTTTCGCGATTTCCTGATAGTGAAGCATGCATGTTTGTTCAAAATTACGAAACTTTTCGGAGAAAGCCCAGAGTTTGCCTTTATGGAGAGCTAGCTCTATGCAGAGGTTTCGGAAAAACTCCATGATTTTTTTTTCTCGGAAATTTCTGACAGTGAGTGTTAGTTAAATGCTCAGTTAAGTTAACGATCCCTGGAAATGAAGCATTCACTGGACATTTCCCTATGCATTCAGAGAGGGGAAAACCTCGCGGATGAGCCTGATACACTTTGTTCTAATGATTTGAGCGAACACACAACTGCTTTGTTTGCCTCTAGAATCTAGTTACGATTTCGAACCAGTCAGGTTCGCCTTATTCGTAACTGTTTTAGCAAGGTTATGTTAGCCACGTTTTAGCAAGGCAACAACGTTACTTGATAAACCGTAATGCGAACTAGGACTTCTTTCCATTCTGAACTAATTACTATTTTATGCCGCTGCCATCAAACGTTACTTTTTGTCAAAGATGGCCATAATTTTACTTTACAGTTATCTCAGAGGAAAGTTCCATCGCTCTCATTCAATGTGATGTCACAGTTTTTCTGTGCAAATGAACTCTCTGTACGATAAACTGCACTTAAAAGTACTTGTGGACAGTATGTTTCCACAATACAGACAGTTTTGTGGTAAGAAAGTTCATCCACGAAGTGCACTCTCATTCCAGGAACGTGACGTCATGTTGAAACGAACGTGTCAACGTGACAAAATGTCACGTTCGTTTGAGCACTGTGTCACATTCGTTTGGGTGTGTATCGGCCAAAAATTAGCTCTTTCACTTTCGAAAGAACGTGACACAATGCTCGAACGTAACATTTAGTCACGTTCGTTGTAACGTGATGTCACGTTCCTGGAATGAGAGTGTGGAAAAGGGGAACACTGAAAATCTATCGGCGTGACTCCGTGCCGCTGCTGAGGCGTGAATTAAGTGTCTTGCCATTAAACGGCCTGACAGAACAGTCACGCCAAAAATCGGCGTGACTCAAATATTCACGCCAATTTTTGGCGTGAATTTCTTGTCATGCCGCTTTTTGGCACGACTTGTCTCATGAAACGCGTTGTCATTCACGCCAAATATGGGTGTGACTCACATGTCACGCCGTTTTTCGGCGGGAGTTTCGTGTCACGCCAAAAATTGGCGTGACTTTTTGTCACGCCATAATTTGGCCATGTGTCCGACCATTACGTTTTCAGTGAATAATTTGACTGAAGTCTAAATTCACAAGAAAACACTTAGTGTACAGCTTTCCAGATTGTTCTCGAATATGCAAAGTTCTGTTCTTTTTCAGGTGACGAGCCTGGTCGTTATGGTGGTGATGTTAGTGGCCATCTCAATCGGTACTCCTTACGATTGGGGCTTCCTGATCGTCGCTAGAGTGATTTTGGCCATGACTTTCGAGGGCTTTATCTGCTTCGTGCTCTCTGTCATCTGTATCATGGGAGTACATCAGGTAATTATTTATTGTATTTCTTGCCAATGATGACAGTCCACGGGCATTCGAAGTGTGGACCAGTAAAGCGAAAAAGAGATTGAACTCGGCGAACCTATACCTAAATTGAGTGTGTATCTCGAAAAGTACCCAATATAAGATCTATCGCGCAAGATCAGGTTGATCTCTCACATGGTTTTATGGTTAAACGGGTGATAAATGGCTTGCTTTACCGATCCCTGACTCAAAATAGTTTTGTTGATGTTAAAGAAGTGCTGTCACAGGATCATATTCTTTTTTTAAATTAGTTTACTTGCACCAAAACTCGACCCAGTAGTTTTAACCGTGATCCTCCAACCGTTTATGAGTATTGAACTGCTTTCATGCCACAACTGTAGCCAGTGCACAATCTCTTATTTCTCAGAAATGCGTGAGATTTCAGGGTTCAAATCGTTCATGTGCGTCCTTAATTTAGAGAGGTACTGTTGATGTGCCCTAAGACAAGTTGAATTCAGACTCTGTTGTACAGTCAAGATTCTCCATATGGTGAAAATGTTCCATATTATGGTGGTGCAGCTGACTTTTTAACATACCATAGAGAATTCACTGTACCTTACAGATCTTTTGACGAATTTTGTTTGCATTATTAATATTTAATAATAATATTATTATTATATATTAACAACGTGGCGGAAATGTTCATTTTACAGAGACGCCAGTCCAATCTGATGCCCTTCGTCATCTTCCTGCACTTGCGCGCGGTTGTGGCCATCCATCTAGCCATCTGGGTGGGGACCGAGGTGCCAGTGGTGACGCTTCCGGGGACGCTGCCTCTTGTTGGTGAGTACACTCCCTGGTCCCAAGGGCGTTCACAATCACGTGAACACCCCATATCCAAAGGCGATACTTAGAGCACTTTTTTTCAGCTGTGCAATTGTGTATTGTCAGCAATCGGCCTTACCGAAAAGTTTGTCCTCAAAGGCGATGAACAGAAATATTGCACTGTCAGTACGTTACTGACTTTTTCCTCATTGATTACGTATTCGCGAGGGGGAACCACATTGGATGTTTGGGGACACAAAATTTCTTAAGGCTAAATATTTCGTCGGATTTCGCAAGATTTTTAACGATATTCCGCTAAAATAGCTTGTTTTTGCCCTTCGGGCAAGATTTCAGATTTCCTATAGATTTCTAGCGCTAAGGGGACACAAGATTTCTAGAGTGGTTGCCCCCTCGCGTATTCGTTTAAACGGCATTAATACTAAGTATTTTCCAAGTATGACTAATTATTCGTTTGTGAAATTATGTACAAAACAATATTCTCAGTACATAATTGAATATTTCCTAAGTAGTTCTTTAAAAAAGGAAAAGTATGTATTATAGTTGCACAAATTACTTGCATAAGTACTGACAAAATGATCAAAACGTCAACAACGTGCTGAGAGTGTGCTAAAATTTGGCAGGTTACTTTTGAGCGGGGGTTGCAACGATGCACTCTCTAAATGTGATTCCCATAATACGAAGTAAATGGCGCAAGCATTACGCGAAGGTGATTTTTCCTCGGATGACGAAGGAATAATGCTTCGTGTTTTGCTTGCGTCGAGTTCACTGTAACATACGAATGACATAGGCCAAATTTGATTGTAAGACATTTAGAGTGCAGAGAACGGCTGAAACCATACTTTCCGGAAGTGCAAAGGTTCGGGACTTCTCTAAGTTATTCAAACTTGGCCGTTGTTGTTGGTAAAACGCATTGCAAAGATCGAAAGAGCATGAAATTTCAGTTCGCCTTAGCTCATCGTCCATTCCAAATTTCCAAATTTTGGCCATTTTCCTAAGTATTGACATCAGTGGTTATCCTAGAAAAGGGATTCATCGTCGAGTTGCCTGTGTCACTCGTAGACGGTTATTCTTCTTAGGAAATCTGATTCTTGTGTATTTGTTGTGATTGTGTTTTCTTCCTACTTTTAGGCTTCATCATCTACCCTCTGCTGTGCGTTAACAGTCTCCGTATCAAGTTTGCCGAGGAGGACTTGGAGCGCGCTTGCATGTCGTAAGTACTCTTAACTTCAAAGCCGATGGAAGTGTGCTTGCCGTGAAATTCGAAAGCCTGACCCGAAATACTCATAAGATCACATCATTAAAAGGCCTTCGTTATTCAAAGCAATTCTTTGAAAGAGTTACAATGCCTTCGTTTGCCAAAATTTGGTATTGCAGGATGCGGCGCCCATTGTGGCGAGAAGTCTGCCCTTTGCATTGGATTTGTGGTGTTTTCGCACATCACTTTGGCCTGAAGCGACTAGAAAGCTTGATTCAGACCTGTGGTCCACAGTTCAGACCTTATATTTCTTCCTCAACCTCGGGTAAGCCTGCAGGTCTGAGGAGTCGCTTTCGACCCACAGCCGAGTGAGTTGGCTTGCCTACCTGCGCGGCGGGCCGGCAGGCTGGCGCTTCCACTGCTGCCGAGTGCAGCAACATGGTCACTTGCTTAGTCGCATCGGTCTGAAACTTGCAAGCCTTCGTCTGCATAGTATGTGGCGTACTCTCTCGGAGGCCTGAGCGCACATTCACTGTATACGATTTAGTTTGATCCGCAAAGAATCACACACGAAATGTTAATTAATGTAGAATTTTGTACGTCGTGATGCACGATTTTTAACCTGCGTGACGTTTCTCATAAATTGTGCAGAAATTTGCATAAATTTATGCGTTTTCACGCATAATATTATGCTAATTCCCCGCATGGACAAAATGGTGCATGTGGCACGTTCAAAATTCTATTTACACATCTAGTGTGCACGGATCGTTGCTCATATGGTATAAGTACACACTAAATGTTATGTACAATTTTGTACGCGAGACATCACAGTTTTTTGTGCACTTTCGTACAATATTTGTACGAAAAACTGCACAAAATTCCCCTTTTAGTGCAAAATTTCGTACAAATTTGTACGAAAAGTTCGTGTGCACCAAAAACTGTGATGTCTCGTACAAAATTTGTACCAAAACATTTAGTGTACAACGATCGTAACATTTTTTTTTTTCAAATGTTTTTTTAAGCGAAGTTTTTTATTCAATGAGGTCTTTTGTGGTTTGCAGGGTTCCTAGCGCACCTGGCAAGAACAACATTGACCATAACCTGGACAACAACCGCGCCCACTGCGTCTGATCGTGAAAGAAGCTGTTGTTTGTCTACTGCGCAGTCCCATCGTCAAGAACTTTTCCTTCGGCTAGCACTTGTTTAGATGGAGCGAGAAAATTTCCATTTGTTATGAAGCTTCTCAGATATTACTTTAATTTCCTGTGCACACGGATGCTTTACATTTCTTTGTCGAGATTCGTGTCTCATTCTCAGCAGTAGCTTTTTAAAACAATTGTGTGCACCTACAGAAGCCATCAACAAGATATCATTGTGCTTCTTTTGTTGTGGGTAGTCTCCAACTGTAGTTTGATATTAAACATGTTCTTATGCATCCTTCTACTTGCTTATTTTCACTGTCCTAACATCAATGATTAAGTGAAGATAAGTTAATCACTTGGATCCTGGTGAAACCTGGCTAGATGCCCAAGGGTCAGGGGCCGGCTAAACGTATTCAGATTTTCCCCGAAGTAATAGTTTTTTCATTTTATACCGGTAATAAGGGGGTGGGGGTACCCAGGTGTAACGTTCAAGTAGGCTTTCTAATAACCTCAGAAAGTTGAAACTTTGGTTTGTTGGTTGAATCCATTATGGTGAGTCCCCTAAACAAAATTCCATTCAAAATATTGAACGGTCACTAAGGAAAGTGCCACTTCGGTGTCCTTTACACTCTGCCTCGTATTGACTTTTTATCTCTAGCCAAAACGTTTTTTGAGCTAACGTAATATGTACTTTTTTTTCTTTTTTCACTTTAACTATGCACTATTTTGCCTATTGTATGTTGTATTTAATGTATTGAACCTGACTTTTTGTCATTTGCAATGTACCTTTCAATTTCTACATGATGTAGTGACAGTTATATTCTTAAAAGGATTAAAATTGTGTATAGTTAAAGAGAGAATAGTACATTTTACGATTGCTCAAAAAACTTAATAATCAAGAGAGGAAGAAGTCCGTACAGGTTGTAGGGCCTTGGGGAAAAACCTTCCTGAGTCTTGCAAAGGAAAACACTTTTTTAAAATGTTACCATAAACCTATGCGAACTTCAGTATGGTTTCTATAAAAGTTTCTCTTGAGCTACATGGAAGATTGCAGGGTAAAGTGAAGAGGATTTTTTCATCTTCAAGATGCCGCAAACCGATTGCCTAAAAGTTGAGAACTTCCGGAGGAAAGTGTCGCGCAGTGAAAGTTTGTACGTTTTGAAGGCTTTTGTTGCATTCCCTACAACTCCCTGACAACTAAAGACAAAACAATGTTGTTTTTTTTATGTTGTAAAAATTGCGTTCTTTCATTTGGTTTTTACCAATTGTCTCTAAGAGGTATCTTCAAAAAAATCATAGGTATCAAAAGAGGGGGCAAACCCCCTAAAAATGGGTACAGGGGACGAGACAGCATGAAGGAGTTTGAGAAAGATCAGAACGGACAGAATTTTCTCCTAAGGACCTTTAAATCACTAGTTTGGTAAACAACAACTACTATTTTGGTGAAAATCCAAAAAACTTCAACTGGCCCCTGACCGCATACACTCGACCCTTGAGGTATCGGCAAGCCGTACGACCTTGGAATTTGAATTATGAAGTTACTACACCATTTCAGACATTTCAAGCCGCGGAACCCATTCTAAATCATAATTTTTTAAATGAGCGTAGTTAAAGGTAGTCCACTACACTGGTAATACACACTGTAAAAAATCATGGGTAAATTTACCCGTGCATTGCACTGGTAAATTTTACTCCATGGCCTGAGAAAAATTTTTCTCACGTAATGGATGCGCAGAGCTAAACTAACCATATGGCTGGAAAATTTATCCACTGACAGTGTGGGGAAATTTATCAGCCACAAAAGTAAATTTACTCTTTGGGATGATAAACTGATTTCACTTGCCACGACAGTAAAATTACCCTAGCAAGTCAGAATAAATTTCTACACCTGGAGTGGCCGACCATCTTTCCCGCGCCACAGGGGCAAATTTCCTCGCGCCTCTGCTCGGCCAGTCTGGCCGGACCAGTACAGAGCTCGCAGCGGCCTGCCTGTAGGATGTCTCGTGGCGCAGTGGATAGCGTGGTGTGATTTGAATCACAAGGTTGACGGTTCGACTCCCATTGAAGTCAACAACGTGGGCAAGGTTTAGTCACCCTAACAAGGTTTTATCCACTGGCGCAAGCCAGCAGGATAATTTTACCCCTGTGGCGTGAGTTATTTTGGGTCGGTAGAAATTTACCCCTGTGGCTCGGGAAAGATAGACCCTCAGTCCATGTGCGTAAATTTCACAAGAAATGGGTGCAGAAATTTCTTACGTCATGTACTGATCTATTTACCTATACATTACATGAGAAATAACTACCGCTTGATGGTGGACCAAGCGTTGCCCGGTCCAAATGCGTAAATTTTCCCCCGGAATTTTTTACAGTGCAAAAGTGTAGTATTCGGTACTATCACACTGGAGTCAAAACTAATTGTAAGATGTTTGCAGACTATAGCGTCCTAGGCCCCAATTTCTCTAAGACACTGCAACAAATGCACAGGTCGTTGGTTTGACTGATTTAGACCCAACAGTGGGATTTAAAAGGTTCAACCTTGCTGTGGACCTACAGAGCTAGGAAAAATTTCTGCCGTACCTCAAACAGCAAGGCAGAAAACGGCATATTTTAAGCACACGTTTCTTTCCAAAAACTACAGTACCTTTTAAAGATTTTATCGCAATTATCGTACTTCACGCCAGAATTACGGCTCAAACTTGTCTCTATGAAGTCTTGTACGACTCGGCTGGAAATTAAGGTCTGTACCTTGCAAACCGTGCCCTTGCAGTGGTTTCGAAAAATTCGCGAAAGTCGGAACTGATGCCTCAACTGCACTCATCATACCTACGTGAGTTTGATCCAAACTGAAAGTCAAATAAGGTCTCATTATCAGTTTTGACGTTCCTACTTTCCTCTGCCCGAGAACAGTTTGCAAAGTTAACTACCCCATTCAGTGTCTTCTCCGCGTTACGAAATGCCACATACAGATGCGGTACAAACGGGGAGGGGAGGAGGAAAAGGGGGAGGGGGGAGGAGGAAAGGGGGGAGGGGAGGGGGGAGGAAAAAGGGGGGGTCCTGGCATCTGATCCGTAGGTTTATTGTTCCCGAGCACCCTTAACAGTCTGACGGGCTACGTACGGTAAGATAAGTCAAGTTTCAAGGCTGTTTCGCCAAGGCGTGGTCCAAGCGTGGCGTGACGCATGTCACCGTGTCCTGACCTACAAGAGAGGGGGTGCTGTTGTTCAGCCGGTCTGACAGGAAGTTTCAAGAAGCAGAACTTAGAGGTAAGTTTGAAACGCCTTGTGCGTCCGGTTGTCGCCCCGCCGTAACAAAACTTTAAAATCACATGGATCGTATGTTTCGCTTCATTCAAAATAGGCACTTCCACACACTAAACTTCTTACGGATACATCCTATCTGTATTACGGACATTTTTGTGCAATTGCAATTACGGATAGATTTTGCTTGTAATACGGATCAAATCATCCGTATTACAAAAAGTTTTACGTCCGTAACATACAGACGAAAATATCCGTATGGTACGGACGTAAAACTCTTTGTAATACGGATGATTTGATCCGTATTACAAGCAAAATCTATCCGTAATTGCAATTGCACAAAAATGTCCGTAATACAGATAAGATGTATCCGTAAGAAGTTTAGTGTGCACCACTGTAAAAAATTCCGTCCTTTTGTACGGAAATGGTACAGAAAAATATAGTACGGAGGTACGGAGAAAAGTACGGAACGTTCCGTACTTGCTCCATATGAACCCATGTAAATGGGTTCGGAGAAAAAGTGCGGAACGTTCCGTAGTTGGCAAGTACGGACGGTCCAGGCATATTATTGACCAGATATGTTCCGTACTTTTTCTCATAGTGACCGTATTCATTTGTGTTTAACAAAGTGGTGAGAAATTTCATAATCTAAATCCATCGAAACCTTTCAAAAGAGATGATTTTGTGAGCTGGACAGAACCGTTTGCTTGGGCAATTGTTCACAATTTAATTGGAAACTGACTTAAGCACCTATTACTAACGCATTTGTGACTTTTTAATGTACGTTCTCGGGTATGATCTTCTTTTACTTTTATTTTCTCTGCTCTGGTGGAAGTGTCTGGGAGCGCTATTCAAAAGATCCACTTATCCATGCTCACGCGAAGACACAGTGGAGTCCTCGTCTCGTATGGGTTACGTTTCGATGCACTCTCAGAACGTTACTGACTTTTGGCCCATTGTGTCAGTACTTGTTCAAGTAATTTGCGCAGCCATGATACGTACATTTCCTTTTGGCATTAACTACTCAGGAAATATAAAATAATGTTCTGGTAATTTGGTTTAGTACATTCAAAGGAAACTGGACTTTCTTACTTAGAAAATACTAAGTATTATTGTTGCTTACACGAATACGTAATTAATGAGAAAGATGTCTGTAACGTGCTGAGAGTGTACGATCAGTCAGTGTCATTCAGAGTGCTGAAGGGTAACTTATTAGGACAGAGCCGTGCTTTTATTGCTGGTTCGGCAGTCGATTTTCATTCCACCTTCAAAGAGTACTGCTGAGCAGCTGAGGACTACTCCTGCAAAACTAAAGCGTAGCACCCCTCTGTTTTGTAGCGTAATCACATTACGCTTGAAATCAAGCCTATTAGGTGTTAAACAGGCTCATCCGCTAAGATTCACCCTACCTAAATGCACGGGGTAACATCTGGTCTATGCTTGGTTTCAAGCGTAACGTCTTCCAGCGTAACTTTTGCTCTAGTTACGCTTAAGTTTTACCAGTGCACAAGCGAGAGAGACAAAACCGAGAGTGAAGAGAAGGCCCGGTGACCAAGTCGGTCGACTATATTCCAAAGCGTTTCAGGAATGCGAGTTTTCCGTCCTCCACTCAATTTTCTTTCACCCGCACTTGAAATTTCTCACAGTGAGTTTGGCGTTAGTGTACGAGGAAACTTGTGGAAACACGATACGAATTTGTTTATATTACGATTCTTTTTGGCTTTTCTTGGTAAGAAACAAAGGTTTCACGAAGGAATGTACGCTGAAAAAGTGTCCGCTAGAATGGTGGCTAGCTAGGACGGACGTCACTTGGGCTATATCAAGTTAAGGAAATTCACAATTCACAATTCACAATTCACAGATGAGGGTAGGGTGGGGGCTCACAGCCGCCTAGATGTCGAGGACCGAGTCGAAAAACAAATGAATGTTTGTTGATGTGTGTGTGTGTGTATCTTCCGTCGGCTCCAAACCTTTCGAAGTTCAAAATCATGGAAATGGACTTAGAGTTGATTTCTGGTGCCATAGTTATATTAGAAGCCGCGCTAATAGAAGCTGAAGATGAAGAAATCGCCGTGGCCATGGTAACTGGGCGCATGGGTGCACGTTTGATGGGGATGTTGGAGGAAGATGCCGACCTTCTTGGTATGTTGAGGTTACAATGTCGTGCACGGGGACCATTCACATCATTTTTCTGTGCTTTAATGTGTTCTACGATTTTTAGATGACGACGATGGCGTTTACTGGGAGAAGGTGGAGGTTGACGTCGATGGTTTCCGCAGGATGGGCGACCCCTCCTTCAAACGGCACTTCAGGCTTTCAAAACCCACATTTGAAGTGATTACGGCATTATTTATTTATTTCTTAATTATTGTTGGTAATGTCTTGTAACCAATGTTTGACAGTGTACAATGTCAATGTGTTTTCTGTGTGCAGGTTCTTCTTGAAACTCTAGCCAATTTCCTTATGGATTCTGGTAAAGTGGTAAGAGTACGAAATCCGATTGATATACCATTACTCATGGTATTATGGATCTTGGCCAGTCAAGATACATTCAGAAGTGTGGCAGTTCAGTTTGGCTACCTTCCCGGTGAAGTTTATTACCACTATTCTTACATAATTGAAGCTTTGCGAGAAATGGGCCCTCTGTTCGTTCAGTGGCCCAATGAACAAGAAAGAGTTGAAATTGAAGGAAGATTTTTGGTGTACTCTGGAATGCCAGGCGTTGCTGGAGCAGTTGATGGAACCTTCAATACTGTGACTGCACCTCTCTTTGAAAAGAATCGATACAGGAATAGGCATCACCAGTTTGCTTACAATTCAATGGTCATTTGTGATGACAATTTGTTGATAAGAGATATGCATATAGGCGAGGTTGGGTCTATGCATGACAGCAGAGTTTTCCGAAGAAGTCCATTGTATCAGAGATTGCTCCATGATGAGGAAAATGAGCTCCTTGCCCCAGATCAGCACATAATTGGTGACAAAGCCTACACACTAACTGACTTTGTGAGTGTTTATGTCAGTGTGTTGTGTACATGCATATTGGGATGTCAAGAAATAATTTTGTTTAGGTCATGACACCTTTCAGAAATAGGGGTAATCTAACCCCTGAGCAACGCGCATTCAACTATGCACTCTGCAGGTCAAGAGCACGCATAGAGCACTGCTTTGGAAAAGCTTTCATGCAATGGAGGCGAATGAAGATGCTACATGTGTTGAATCACGAAATCGCAATAGACCACATCACTGCCTGTTTCGTGTTGCATAACTTCATGATCCTAAATGGAGAGCAACTAATTGTAAGTTTCTGGTTTGAGTGGAACAAGTCACTCTTGGAATTGCATCTAATTCTTTCTTTATGCAGGATTGGGATGATCCAACTCTCACATTTGAGGAAGGTAATGGGGATGACGATGATGATGACGATGAAGATGAAGATAGAAGAGATGATGAAGATGACCCTGACGTCCCCATGAATCAACTGTTAAGGAGAGCAAGAGCTCGTGGGCGTGAGAAAAGAAACGAGTTGGTGAATGTAATTTACAATAGGTTGGAAGAAGTACCTGAATAGCACTGTAATCTTGTTTCATGTTTAGTTCTGTTGTCATGAGTGACAGTTGTTTATATTTAATGAAGAAAGTTTGAAAGGTATGACTAAGTTGATTTTGCACTGATTACTGGGTATGCAATAAGCAAGTGAGGAAAATAATCACAACTAGATGGAATAAAATCTTTATGGTTCAAAATTCAGATGTTTTTAAAACCAGTTAGTACTTTTCAACATCCCAACACGCACCATAGAACACTCAAAGTTTTCACAATACATTAATCTTGTATCTAGAAACAGCATAATTAGCTAGACATCAGTCTTGTACAAAAATAAAAACTTACAGGATAAGCTCAGTCACATATGTCACAATTCAGGCTTTGAATCACTCAAAACGATATTGCAGACATTACAAAATAAAATTAACACATGTCCCTAAGTGAGCGTGAAAAATCATGCTTTTAATCATGCAAACTTCAGGACTTACAAACAAAACATAAATGAAACAAGTTATTCATTAAAGAAATGTAAATAAATATCAATTAGGAATACAGCACAGGACTTGTGCTTGAGAACAAAAATAAATATGGAAGGAGATGAAACAAGTCATAAATAAACATCAATTAAGAATGCAGCACAACTTGTGCTTCAGAAAAAAATATTTAAAAAAAGAAGAATTGCTGTAGACCAAATTAAGTCAACAGTGGAAATAATTATGGAGTGCAACACAGAAGCAAACAATAACACATTGACTGCAGTAGTCACATCACACCGAGGCACCTTAACAAATCACTGCACATCACTGATCAGTAGAGTTGTTCGATTCAGTAGAGTTGTTCGACTTCAATAGATCCCTTTCAGACTTTAAGTCTTTCAGAATTTGCACACCTTCCTTGATCACTCCACCTCTCTCTCTTGCCTCTAATCTGTAAGTTTTAAACTCATTAAAATACTCCCTTTCAAGTTCCAACCTTCTTTCTTGTATGTCAAGAGCCCGGTTCTTAAACCCAATTGCTCCTCCCGATGCCTTAGCTGAGGAATTGTTGCCCATTAACCTCTGGGTTCTATCTTGACGTGTTGCATTTGGTTGCCTCTGTCTGCCTTTTGTCAAAGTGGCTGCAATCTCATGAGCTCTGGTTACTTTGGGCACTGCACCGAGGGATACAGTCTTAGGTGCCTTTGCAGAAACGCTGCCACCTTCCAGGTCATGCATGGCCTCGAAATTGGACCACTTGCACGCGCCACGTCCAGTTTCACCATGTTTATCAAGCAATTCATAGAATTTTATCTTGAGCTTTGTGAATCTTTTCATGCATTCGTCTCCGTTCCGTCCAATCCCTCTCTTCTTCATTTCTTGAGCGACAGAATTGAAGAGATCCACATTCTTCAATAAATCATTGCCATCGAATTTTTGTCTGGCCTCATCTACTTCTTCAATCAAGGCAGCATCTTTGGCGTCAGTCCACTCTACAGTAAATAAATGATAAGATAATAACGCTTATGAACGATAAACCATTAGGATGAGACCCTTATACGATTGGAACTTACCGAACTTAGTGGCCACCTGTGCCTTAGCCACCTGTTGTTGTGGCATATTTGCATGCACCTCTGGCTCATTTATCTCTGGCTCATTTAGCTCTGGCTCCTCAGTTGCAGTGTTGTTGTGGTTCTCATCTTGCTCTTCAACATCTTGCATGTCATTTGTGCCTTCGGACATGGTGTTGTTGATGTGGTCAGATGATGATTCACCTTCCCTGGATGATTCTGTCAATTGATTTTAAATAAGTAATCTTTGAGGACAAAAATTATACCGATTTGTGCCAAGGAGACAAATGAATTAACTTACCAGCACATTTCACCTTGCGAGGGATACTTTTGAAGCCTGCTGGCCAAACTCCAGCATGTATGGCATTCATACCATCAAAATAAGGCCATTCAGCTTGCTTTTCAACAGGTTTCTTTTTAGCCTTGCAAAAGAATGTATCCAAACCTCTTTTTTTAGAGTAGAGAGCATCGCCATCAAACTTAAACCCATGCACCAGCATAACCAGAGAAATCTCGGTATAAACTGATCTAGGGGTTCTCTTCATTTTGATCTTGTCAATTCGCTTCCCCATTTCATTGATAAACAAATGAACTGCCTCCTCAGTCCATGTGGTGATGGGCTCAGGCAAGGTTGCTGCAAACATTACAATGCACAAATATTATTGACCACATTGAGATGATCTATGGTGAAGTTTCAGAAAAGATTCTTACTCGGCTCATTTTGAAGAGGCTCCGCCAGAACATCATCTTCACAATTCAGGAGCTCAAAACTTTCGTTCAAGTTGGAATCATTTGATTTCCGCCCCTTCTTGGTGGCAGGACTTCTCAGGTCTGTCAGGAGCAAATTTAGGGAGAAACGAAGATTATTACAAGTCTAAGATAATATTAATGTCTCCTGGTAACGAAATTACAATAATAAAGCATAATTACCATCTACTTCCACGGGATTGGGACTCGGGCAATGCTGCACCATTAACTGCATAGTGGAGTTATGCTTGGGCGCGAATGAGTCATCGATGCTGGAGTTCACAATCGATGGAGCGATGCCAGCTCTCTTCAGCTGATTTAACCTTCTATAACATCTCAGATGATCTGAAAAGAAATAAAACTAAGTTTGCGCTACGAGCATAACCTGCTAAGGGAGGCATCTTTAGATCACGCAAAAGCCCTTACCCTGGTCATAGAGGATAGCCTCCCTCTTCTTAATCCAAATGTGATAAATATCACCGTTTACATCGTGCAATGAATAATTCATATCATCTCCCATTTTACCTCACAAAAGATGATAAAGAACGGGGAAAGTATAACCGGTGGTACGCGCGCAAAGTCAATCCGAAGAAATCACTGCTGTGTTCATTTGTTTTGCGGTTGGTGTTTCCGTGCGAGTCCAGGCGGCCGTGATTCCTTGACATCTAGGCGGCGGTGAACCCCCACCCTACCCTCATCTGTGAATTGTGAATTGTGAATTGTGAATTGTGAATTTCCTTAACTTGATATAGCCTTGAAACGAAGTCCTCATACTATCTTTGTTTGATCTGTAAAACAAAGGTATGAAAATACATTCCCTGCAGGGCCCATGGGGCCCCCTAGGCGGAAACGATTGTCCCCCCTGGAATGGCGTGAACCAATTTTTATCTTCTTTAAACATAAGCCTAATTTATATGATCCCATCTTAGGCTAGTTGAAGGACCCTGTAGAGCAGACAAAGACTATCAAATCCTCGCAGCCAGTGCAAAACATGGTGCAAGGATTACAATGACCCAATAAAGGCTGCTTTGAAACTGAACTGAGCACGTATCGGTAAATGAGAGAACGGTTGAAAGCGGATACGAGGTCGAAATGATAAGACTGTCACCAAACCAGACCATATTCCAAAATGTCCACAGGCTGCTCTTGTTTTGTCAATCACTCAAGCAAGCCCCCAGACATGAATCGTGACGTTAAATCTTTATTAATTAAGGGGGTTCATGCATGTTAAAAGCAAATTAAAAAATAATGGTTATTATTTTTTCCACGAATACTGTTTCATATAAAAAGCCCATTCTAGTCAATTCTATGACACTACTAGAAAGGAGTCTTCCTGATTTTTCCCCTACAGATCTGAGCAAGTATGCTTAATCTTACGAGAACCAAAATTATAATCGTTTCTGCTCAATTTAAAAAAAGGTCCAAAGTCACTTTACTTTATGCCAAAATGAAGCTTACTCAATTATCTAAAAGTGTTTTAATACAGAAATCATAAAATCGGAATCCTTGAACTCCCAATTATTTTTTTTACAAAGTGCTTTTATTATTCATGAGCCTCTTTAAGGGGGGACCCTGGTGAAAAAATCGCCAAAATTGCCGAAAATAGTATTTTGAAAGTTCATAGATAAAAACGTGCATAGAAGGTTTCAGATTCAACAGGTTGAACACCTTTAAGCTAAGTGGGTAGTTTCTTTATCATTTGGAAGGAAATAACATTGAGATCAGTTGTTGTTGGCTTCTACGCTCAACTTCACAGCTTTGCTCAGTCGACAAAAAAATTTGTCGTAGAAAGACTTCCTGCGTTCCTGGTTGACACCTTCAGGTGGGAAATACCCATTGAAGCCCCTTTTTTTAAAGTGCCTAGTTTTCATTGAAAACTCTTTCCTACCTTAAGGAGTTTAATTTTGTCTTGTAATGTGTTCCTTATAGATTCCGAATTCAGCCAGACATTTAACCCAAGTACCCTATGAGTGTAGAAAACTTCGGCCAAAAAACAACGCTGCCAACCTGCGGTGCGCACGTTTTCTCGAAAAGTAATTGATCTCCAGGTCCAGGTATTCTGTACAGGATACTTGACACATATATCTGGTTCACACCGTCGCCCTTTTTTGAAAGTGAGTTCCAGTTTTTTGTAAATAAGTCTAAAAAGTGAAAATAGAGAGTCAATACTTCATTTTTTGCACTTTTCTGCCGTGTTTACAAAAAACTGGAACTCACTTTCAAAAAAGGGCGACGGTGTGAACCAGATATATGTGTCAAGTATCCTGTACAGAATACCTGGACCTGGAGATCAATTACTTTTCGAGAAAACGTGCGCACCGCAGGTTGGCAGCGTTGTTTTTTGGCCGAAGTTTTCTACACTCATAGGGTAGGGTCAGGGCGGGGAAGAACTGGACGTTTTGCAATCTTTCTCGACTTTGACTCTAATTGACTATCTTTAGCCAATGTATCCGTTGGGTCTGTTGATCGAGCCTCAAAGAAAGACATTTCAACCCTCAGCGAGTGCGTTTGCGGCTTCATTCGGTAATAAATGAGAAAAAACAGTGTGCGATTCTTCCCCGTCGAAACGGGGAAAAATCGAACACCTAAGGGGAAAAATCGTACATAGGCTTTAATTTAACAAAAAGCTATGAAAGTAGGTCAGAAATCTCTCGGGAACGATATTTGGGGGTAACACTTGCGATACCCACTGAAGCAGGCGCACGAGTATTCCTAGGTAGACAGAAATCATCGTAGCATTGTTAGGGGGTCCGTGGCGACACGTTTTTGAGGTTAAATGACCAAAATGTATGAAATCGTCAACAGCCGTGTTTGTTTTCCCACTATATGTTGGGAAATGCTAAAATACACTTGTTACGACCACTTTGGTGGGATGTTAGGGCAATTCGTCGATGATTATAGAAAAAAGAGGTGTTCGATTTTTCCCCGCACCAGTGTACGGTTTTTCCCCGTTTCGTATTTAACCCTTCATATGTAATCCAGCTAGAAATCTGCTAAAACATTTGAACGTATCTTGGGCTCCACACTTCCAACTTTCGTTTACAATAAGAATATTCGTCACAGTAGGCTCGGAGAGTCGTTAAAAGGAGATATTGCGGGCACCAACTTTGAAAGTTTTTAAGGTGTTTTAAACGAGACCTCGTTTAAAGGTGACTTTGAATACTTTCCGCTTCAAGTGGGCTAAATTCCTTTTAAACGCAATCTAGCAGATCATCAATAAGCAATACTGAATACTTTGCACGTCCCAAAACACGCAAATTTGTGGCGAAAGTGCGGTGTGCGTTTCTTCCTCAACTTACACGTGTCCGGTTTTTCCCCGCCCTGACCCTACTTGGGTTAAATGTCTGGCTGAATTCGGAATCTGTAAGGAACACATTACAAGACAAAATTAAACTCCTTAAGGTAGGAAAGAGTTTTCAATGAAAACTAGGCACTTTAAAAAAAGGGGCTTCAATGGGTATTTCCCACCTTCATGAGTAGTCTTGCATGGACTCTATTCATTGATGACTTGTCGACAAATTTTAGTGACGGAATCTTAATATCAGCCCTACTTCTTTTTACAAACACCTAAAAGTTTGAAAAAAAAACGGGGGGAAAAATCACTTTTTTTAAATGTTAAAGTTTGAAAACTCATATCTCAGGATAGAAGTTGAACTTAAAAATTCCGTCACTAAAATATCTTCTATACATCTTTAGGATAACCCAATAAAATTTACAAGACTTTCCGTCCCAATGAAAGACGCAAGAAGATTTTTCCCCAATGCTCTAAAAAACACTAAAAAGCCACTTTTCTTAAAGACCGTTCAACATTTTGGATTGAATTTTGTTTTGGGAACTCACCATAATGAACCTAATAACTAAGCAAAGTTTCATCTTTCTGGGATTATTTCGATGCCTACTTGAAAGTTTCACCAGGGTCGCCCCTTAAGTGTTAATGCATTTCTAGACGCTACAGCTTCTGCATACCTACCATTTTCTATTGGAGTGACAAATTGTTTTTTATATTCCAGGAATTCCTCAATTGGAAACTGAAAATGAGCCACGGGTGTCCAGTACGCGGTAAGAAAAATGTGTCCGGGTCCAAACTGGCTGTGCACCTCCGGACCCACACAGGAGAGAAGCCCTATGAGTGCGCAGTTTGTAACAAGAAGTTCATCCAAGTTAGCGACCTCAGAAAGCACCTCCGGACCCACACAGGAGAGAAGCCCTTTGAGTGCACAGTTTGTAACAAGACATTCAGCGTAAATAGCAACCTCAAAAAGCACCTCCGGACCCACTCAGGAGAGAAGCCCTTTGAGTGCACAGTTTGCAACAAGAAGTTCAGCCTAGGTGGCCACCTCAGAAGGCATCTCCGGACCCACACTGGAGAGAAGCCCTTTCAGTGCACAGTTTGCAACAAGAAGTTTAGCCTAGGTGACCACCTCAGAACGCATCTCCGGACCCACACTGAAGAGAAGCCCTTTGAGTGCACAGTTTGCAACAAGAAGTTCAGCCAAGGCAGCGAGCTCCGAACGCATCTCCGAGTCCACACTGGAGAGAAGCCCTTTGAGTGCACAGTTTGCAACAAGAAGTTCAGCCTAGGTGGCCACCTCAGAACGCACCTCCGTACCCACACTGGAGAGAAGCCCTTTGAGTGCACAGTTTGCAACAAGAAGTTCAGCCAAGGCAGCGAGCTCCGAACGCATCTCCGGACCCACACTGGAGAGAAGCCCTTTGAGTGCACAGTTTGCTACAAGAAGTTTAGTCAAATCAGCAACCTCCGAACGCATCTCCGGACCCACACAGGCGAGAAGCCCTTTGAGTGCACAGTTTGCAACAAGAAGTTCAGTCACGGTTTGAACCTCAGAAGGCACCTCCAGACCCACTACAGTTTGCAGCAAGAGGTTTAGTCAGAGCAGCGACCTCGGAATAACGCATCTGCGAACCCACATTGAGGGAAACGCGTAGAACATCTGGTTGACAGTAGAAGTTCTGATTGGGGAAGTGCCAAGTGCGGTGTCAACTGCGAAGTCCCTTTGAGAAGAGGCCCATTTGAGTCTCATTTACATGAGTTGTAGATTAAACTACACTGCCAACCTAACTGTCTACTAAGAACACACTTACAAATGCATGCTTGCAAGTACACACTTACAAACGCATGCTAGGCTTCGTATAACTCCAGGCTAAGCTTAGGCGTTTGTAAGTGTGCACTTGGCCAAGCATGCGTTTGTAAGTCTGTACTTGCAAGCATGCATTTGTAAGTGTGTACTAAGTGACAGTCAGGTTTGTAGTGTAGTCGGATTCGCCTATGGCGTGCAACTTCAATATTTTGTCCGCATTCAAATTTAGTGGAGAACTACTTTCTTTGTTTAAATCTTCCGCTTTGTACAAGCTCATAGCTATTTTCACTGGAGCACGGTCAGCACGCTGCTGAAGTAGGGACCCTTTTATTTAGAACTATCTGACTACTGACTTGCATTTGTTTTCTTTTGCTTGCATGCAGCTATCTAGCACAGACTTTTAAGACGGAACTAATGGTACGTTAAGCGTGGACGATGGAGTGCTAGAGTTATCTTTTGCATGTTTAAGTGTTACATCTCGGCATTCGACGTCGGATGCGCCTTAGAAGCTGTTCTGATCATTCTTCTGGCAAATCATTTTAGGGTTAAGTAGTTCGAAGACCAACGTAAGAATATGATACTTTTCCCGATGTCAATACCTTCCTGTTTTGACGACATTCCGACATCGGACTCGAGCGCTTGTTCTCCGCACACCTCTGTTGATTCTTGGGAGAGAGTTGATCCAACCACCTTAACTTCCGATTGGCCTCAGATTTGTTACACTCGGCTCCAAGAACTAAATGTTATCTTGCTTGCCTATAAGACATGTGGAGACTTTAAAAGTTGCTTTGTATTTTTTTGACTGCGGTATTGAATAAAAAGAGCTTTGTAGTAAAGCCTTTATTGACGTTATTACCCATTTCGAACAACTTCGCATATTAAGGTGGTAGTGCACTACGCAAGGTTTAAAGACGCTGTTCACGCGAATTTTTTAGGTGGACGGGGGATTTATTAGACATCAAAACTGATTATGGGATCTCTTGATACTGAAACTTAGGATGAAAATCACAAATTTGGATGTGCATCTAAAGCAGCTATTGCGAGTTCATCCAATTTCTCTTAACTACTGCATCAATTCCACAGACTATTGGTGTGCGTGATTTGTACCAAGCATAAAGGGTTGAAACTTGGTGGACTATCAGAATACATATTCTGCACTGAGATTCCAAACGCTATGAGTATAGCACGTATGGTGCAATACAGCTGAGATATCGCACCATACGTGCAATGCCTCAGCCATATTGCACCTTACGTGCAATGCATCCCGAAAATGCCCTATGCTAATGCATGGGAATGTGGAGACATTGCACTTCATGTGCAATGCTTTTACATTGCACCCATTGACGCTATACTCATAGCGTTTGGATTCTCAGTGTAGCGTCTGGTGTGAACGAGGGAATATTTTGGAAAATTTTTAGTGCTTAAAACAGCACGGAAAGAAAAAAAAAGTCAGAAAACAGCTTGTTTTTAGCCCACGTTTCTTTACCAAAACACTACAGTAAAAACAATTTGATCGCAAGCATCGTAATTCACTTCAGAAATACAGACCTCAAACGCGTCTGTGCGAAATCTCGTACAAATTGGCTGAAAATTGCGGTATGTAAGTTACCCTGCTAAACGTGTTTTTTTGGCAGTGCATTCGAAGAATTCGTGGAAGTCGTAACAGCTCCCTCAAACTGCACTCCAATAAGTGATTATGGTCGAAAATGGAAGTTCAATAAGGACACATGATAAGGTCGGAAGGAATTTACTCCCTCTGCCCGGAAATAATTTTCGAAACACTCAATTCTTTGAAACATCACTGTTTAAAAAAGTCTCAGAATTCAGACCATTTTGTTCCGACTTCTTACTTTGCAGTGAGAATTCAGACTAAGGTCTCATATTTTAGACGGCTTATCAGCGTGCATGCACCAGTTTCGTGCGAAGCTTATGCACAAAAAACGTAATAGTAACCCGTAAGCTGCTAGCTGTTCAGATAATCAAGGCTTTTTCGTTCTACTACTCCAACGTCGCAGAGTTTTGTAATAGAAAATTTCTAATGACTTGACCCGAAGCCGATTTATGAATGGGGAGAACTTTAAGAATCCACTCTGAGGTGTAACGGCCGTAAAGTTGAAGTTATATTTAAGTAGTTGTGTAAATAACATGAGTCATTAGTAGTGTCCATTCACCCGAGGGGGTAAACACTTGCGTAATACCCTGTACACAAAAGTCGGGTATTACGCCGTAATACGCGTAATAGTAATACATTTTGGGACCAAAAGTATAAAAAAAATGTCATTTTTCAATGAAATTGAGGCGTAATACATACGTAATACAAGTGTAATACCCCGTAATAGGGAGTCTGTACAAGGTTCACTGGAGTGTTTACCCCCTCGCATTCACCTCTAGACTTCCCTCTTCGAAGTACCTATAGAAAACACACTCTTCGTAGCTTCTTTGAGTTCGAGTGTCCCTTTAGGGTGTCCTTGGTGTCTCTTGTCCTGGCTTTAGTCATGTACTTTAACGCGTTATCCATTTAATTAAGATTGTCGCGCGGACCGCAATCGATCGACTTCATAATTTGGAGACATTCCGCATTCATCACAGGAGCAAGCAGTATTTCGTTGAATCTTGATACGGACGGTGAGAGGAATTTCTGAACGATATGATGGCTAGCGAAGTCAGCGCGCCGATTCAAGTTTGAGGAATCCACGACATTTAGCCCAAAGTCTTTCTCCCACCGCAGAAATGCCCACTTCAATTTAATCCACCAATATTTGACCCACTATCTTTATTCCGAAAAAATGAGACCCAACCACCATTTGGCCCACCTTTGTACCTCGAAACCCACTAGAGAGTGACGTTATTCCCGCAGGCCATGCCTAAGGTAAGGTACTGTCTGTTAGTTGCAAACCGAATTTTTCTATTTTTTTCGTGAATATTGGTTGTCTGTAACTTTCCCAGTTCCAGTTCAGCCATTAACCTGTCCCATTTCTTCTGTACTTCCTTGATGCGTATTACGATGATATGTCATTGTGAGGTACGGTCAATGGCACTTACGTAATTTGCACAGTTGCCAGTGTAAGGTATTGATGTCTGCACAATGAAAATTTTGGTTGTCAGTTGATGGCCATTTCAAGGCTTATTTTCCTTACAAGGGTCATCAACACTGATCACAAGGTTGTCACGCCTATGCAATAAGCATAAGCCGTCCTAACGCATGATTCATCGGAAGGCACGGTGAATTTTATCGTAAACACGTATGTTTTTGTAAGGATCGTAAGGATCTGAGGGTGCAACTGGGGGGAAAGGGGAAGTACAGTGGGACAAACGCTGGCGGGCTATAGTGGTGGTGGGCTAAATGAGGTGGATGTAAAAGTAATGGACAAAACACGAGTGGGCATTGCTGTTTTGGGTGAAAGGAATTGGGTGAACCGTCTTGATACCAAGTTTGAGCCTTGTTTCGTGTCTTTCGCTTCAGCCTTCAGCCTTTAGTTCACCATTCTGTAGGGCATTTCACTGTGATGCACTTAGATGAAGTTTGAAATCACCCACCGTTCGAGCCAAATATGGTTAGAGTAGAGAAGAGACTAACAGGTTTTCTAAATTGGGCTGGGTCTTCAGCCAATGATGATTGTAGGAACTGCACTGCACAAATTAAAAGGGCAGAATCAGTAGTGGTCTGAGAGCCCCGAATCGCCGACGCCTGTTACTGTTACAAGACCTGGTCGTGCGAGGGGTCCACTACACTAATATTGATACCAGTGAATACCTTAAGTCTCCAAAAACAAAAACCTGAAATTTCGGTCAGGTGACAGCATGTTTTGACTCCTTACAAGGAAACCCCGTTAACACCGATAAATAAAGCGAAAATATCCAGTATTAGAATGAGAATACTAGTTATCACTGGATTAAGTACACACGATTATCAGAGTGGCACCCCTGGGGTTGCGTACACCTATTATGTAATTTGTGTTTCTAATTATAATAGGCGTCTCTATAGTACTTATGCAAGGTATCGAATAATTAATTGTTCGAATTTTTAGACAGACGGTCCGGGGCGAGACCTAACCGAACCCAAAGTGCCCAGTTCATGTTTACAGTTATTTACAGACTTGAAGGTTGTTTGGTCGAGTACGCAAGGTCTAACCCCCATGGAGGCTTTCATTGACTCAATGCTACTGGTCAAAATTTCGAGTTAATTGATTTTTTTTTCGAAATCATCCTTTAGAGTCCTTCGTACCGTTTGTGCCATCCCCGCGAACCACCAAGAAGGCTTCTTATATCTCGTACTCAAATTCAACCGCTGGGGCACTGCATATGCAAAGGCCATACTTAAGTACATTTTTTGGCGATACAATAGGGTTCTTTCGTAGATCCCTGAACCGGAAGCACACAGACGCCATGTTGGCGGAAGTAGATCCAAACTTGACATGGGTAAGAGACGTTAGTCAAAAGTATCGGCCACACTTGAACATAAACAGTCGTTTGATACTTGCTTGCACTGCACATGTGTTTCGCGAGCAATATTTGTACAGATCAGCTATAGTTTAAGATCCGAAGAGAGGTTAGTTTCCGGCCAATTTGGCGTCTGCTGGTCTGCTTGCTTCCGGTTCAGGATCTACGAAAGTACCCTATTGAGTATCGCCAAAACGGCCTTACGGAAAAGTATTGCCTTCAGAACGGCGATACACCGAAGTATCGCCAAAACCACGTCATTAAACTAAAAACATGTCCCCTTGATTTGTTCAAAGTTCATTGCCAAATCGTGGCAACACTCCTAAGTACTCTACAAACTGAAGTGTGTACTCAGTATGCATCTACAGATGCATACTTGCAAGTACACACCTACAGATGCATACTTGGCTGAGTACACACCTACAGATGCATACCTAACCTCTCCAAGTATGCATCTGCAGATGTGTACTCAGCTAAGTATGCATCTGTAGATGTGTACTCAGCTAAGTATGCATCTGTAGGTGTGTACTTGCAAGTATGCATCTGTAGATGCATACTGAGTACACACTTCAGCTTGTAGAGTATCGCCATATTTTGGCCGTCCTTCGCCGTTTCGAAGGCAATACTTTTCCGTAAGGCCGTTTGGCGATACTCAATTGTATCGCCGAAAAAGGTACTAAAAGTATCGCCTTTGGATTTACAGAGGGGCACGACGACGGCGCATCCTCGATTTGCCTGCATGTCTTATTTCACGCCGTTTTAAAGTATTCGGCACATTGAATTGTCTTTATCTTGTGTTAACAGAACATGGCTGCATTCCGACGATTGGGTTGGCTTCCTCGTATGGACAAGGGCTGCTGGTGCTGCTCTCTGGAGACATTCTGCAAGGTCTTCGGATACTTCTCTGCGGTGAGTTTGTCCTGCGTTTCGCTTACAATTCACGAAAAAACCGTACGAATCGTAGGACCAGCTTTTTAAAAGTTACGGGGCTTCTAAGTCTGAAAGAGTGATTCTTTATCTAGGAAGGACAAAAAGTATTACAGATTTCATGATGCGTGTTTCACAACTTAGTTTCACTTCTTACCTTCCGAAGCTACTCTGACATTTCATGTTCTTCACAATGTGCCGAGGGTCGAGAAATTTTCGTCATTTCACTCACAGTCAATTGAGGAGGGTTATTCAGAAACCAGTTTTGACCTCACTGATTTGGACGAAACTTCTTGAAAAGTCGTACTGATTGTTAGTCCTGTTCTATAAGCTTTCTTTTCATCCTTTTGTTTTGTTTGGGTTGGGACGGGTTGGGACCTCACCAGTGCTCTGGTTCGTTCGTCAACTGGCAACTATTCTGTTTTAGGTGGCGAGCCTCTGCGTGATGTTGGGACTGTTGGTGGTAGTTTCCGTGGGTGGTCAACATGGTGACAGCTTTACACCGAGAGCGCTGGTACTGAGTCCAGGCGACGGCTACCGCCACACTCCACCCCCTTTAGACTATCCTCGGCCTCCAACACCCAGGCGTGGTGCTGCAGCATATCGACACGCCATCTACGAGATGGAACAGCCTATGGTGAGGACTCCGGACTACAACGTGATCTACCAAGGACAGTACAGCCAGCCAGAGGAACGCCACGGCCTCTCTCCCCTTCTGCTCCGTATCATCTGGATTATGACTCTCATTTTCGAGGGCTTCGTCTGCTTCTTGGCATCGATAATCTTCCTCATGGGATTCTATCAGGTATGAAGTACAGGTTAACCTGTAAACAAAGCGCGACGGGATATAACGTGCACACTCTTAATAGCCTACGAAGGATTTTTTTCATAACTACGAAGAAAATGAAGGCATTGTAGAATTGCTTCGTATTACGAAGAAACTTGCGTACTCTTGAAACTTTGCGAAGAATGCATCCGTATTGCCAGTCAGAAGTTCGCAACATCCGAACAAGTGCTTCTCAATTTGCGGAACAACCTATGACCACTTGCAGACACATTGTTGGCAATGCGAAACACCGGTTCGTAAAACCATAAAGCCAATTTCTTCGCAAGCTGCAAACCAATTAGTATTTAATGGGGACACATTCTTCGCAAGGTTCTGAGAGTGCATCGGTCACTGATCTAGGGATGGCTCCGGTATTTTACGGTATAATACGGTTTTAAACCCGGTATTAAACCGAGAACTCTGAATTACTTGGTATTTTACGGTTTTATACCAGTATGTTTCAGTATTTTATTCGGTTTAAAACCGATTTAAAATACCAAAATATAAAATACCGGCATTTAACCATCCCTACACTGGTCTAATTGTCCTATCAAAGTTTCCCATTTTTTTTTATCGAAGTCTTAAAGGGGTCCGAGTAGCGCACGTTTGAATTTTTTTCGCCTTTTGTGAATGGATATACGTTCTCTGCGATTACCTGCGGAACTGTTAGTCGCATTTGAATGCATTATCTACATTTTGGCGCTAACGGGGCTGCGACATCTTCATTTTTGCGGACTGAGGGACTTCCTCCAGTTGGTTTTTTTTTTTTTTTTATGAAACTTTGATTGGAAGCTGCTTCCCTCCTCGCCGCCATTCTTGGCTTACAATCCTTCCTTATAAAGGGTCTTACGACGGAAATTTTAAATAAAAAAAAAAAAAAAAAAACGTGGAACAAAACGTATTCAAGTGCTCAATCGTCAGTTTTCGGTCATTTTCAGTGTATTGCCCCTTAAATTTTGTTCGTACGAATTAAAGTTTCAAAGTTTTTTCTTTAAATTGTTCTTCTTTATCGAAGCTGACATACTAAGGGTCCTCAAAAAATCTCAAACATTCCTCTAAACGAAAATGTCAATCATTCGAAGTACTTTTACTCGTTCGGGAGAACGAGCGGCTTTCGTGAACTTCTGCATACCCAATTTTAAACAATTCTGCTTTTGTGTCGTAACTCTTAGAGCTGCATGTAAGAAAGAAACCTGTTTAAAAGCCGTTTTACAATCAAAAACCTTCTCTGAAATTTTAAGGCACGGGTGATATTGTATTCACTCTCTGCACTACCTAAACTCAAAAATAATAGAGCCCAAATTTGGACTGGTTCAAATCTTCGCTATCTAATCGACTTGTGCTGGCATCGGATTGAATCAGGGCCGATTCGATTCGGCTTCGAACAGTCCTACTCGTTGGGATCGGACCTATCTCACCAGTCACGTGCCTTGCGCTCGATCTTGTTAAAGTAGTACATCAGTAACAAACAAAGTATTAAAAAAGTTCCCCATTTGATCCATATCGATAGAAAATCATGCGCTGAAGTCAGTGTTACCAAACAAAATTCTCCTTCCTGCACTCGTTTCTGAGATAAATGCAGTCAAAGTTGGGATTTTTAACATGGGTCTTATGGGGAATGGGTCTAAAAAACATGCTAACGTTTACTTTTGGCACATAAGGAGTAATAAGAAGGCAATGAAAAACTATAGTTAGATAAAAAACACTACATAGAATCAAAATCCTTCCAGAAAAACGGGGGTCCCTGTCCATAGATGAGAACTACAGAACAAAGAATGTCCGAAAAATGCCCTCTTTTGGGTCAAAACGCGACTTCGGCCGTTTTCATAGTTGAATTGGTCAAAACCCTGTAGGGTTACATCAAAATTGCATATAACTTAAAACAGAGTTTGGAGCTTTATCTGTAACTTGATGCAAAGCTCAGAGCATTACGACAAATTTCAATTTCAAAATTTTTTGGCGGGAAGCACTAGCTGATGTACTACTTTAATTGGTCGTCGGGGCCTCCACCGTTCAACTTTTACTTACCGAATGTTCCAGAGACGCCACACTCAGCTGATGCCTTTCGTGATTTTCCTGCACTTGCGCGTGGCTGTGGCTATTCATCTGGCCATCTGGGCGGGGAAGCTGTGGCCAGTGGTGTCGCTCTTGGGGACGCTGCCTCTCATTGGTATGTCAACACACCGACAGCACAGCACACACTAAATGTCATGGGACTTTTTTTGTCCCACGGTTTATGCAATTTTAAGCACATCCGGTGGTGATGCAATTTTGTGTCCGCCAAGCGGGACAAATTGTCTAGTGAAAGTACAAGTTGCAGCTGGCGCCGGACAAAATGTGTCACCAGACGGGAACAAAATTGTATCAGCGTCGGATGTGCTTAAAATTGCATAAACCGTGGGACAAAAAAAGTCCCATGACATTTAGTGTGCACTGTTAATCACCGAATGCGACGTCTTATGCGTTAAAATATGAATTGTGTCACGTTCATCCGAATACGGTGTCACAGTCGTTTCAACATGACTCAGCCGTCCAACTAGACAATCCCCTTTGAATGTGGATCAACATCCAAACGAATGTGACATCACATTGAAAAAACGAGACACAAGTCACATTTCCGAATATGACGTCATAGACCGTGTTGGCTGGGTCCGTACAAAAATTGTACGGAAAGTTTGTGTGCACAAAAAACTGAGATGTCTCGTACAAAATTTAACATTAAGTGTGTGGTAGTTCGTAATTTTGAGATCAAAGTAATCGGTTCGCAAGGTTTTGAGAGTGAAGTAGGTTGAGGTGTTATTTCTGGTTGCTTCTGTTTCCAGGCTTGGTGGCTTACCCTTTGCTGTGCGTGAACAGTCTCCGTGTCAAGTTTGCCGAGGAAGAATTGGAACGTTCTTGCGAGGCGTAAGTTGACTTTTATTTTACTTCTGCACTGAGAATTATTGTCATAACCAAGACTAAGGGTGAGGTATCACACAGATTGGGTATCTCCCATAGCTAGCGACTTTAAAGTTGTTGTACGAATTCAGGCGCTGAATTTAAGATACGATGATACGACATGAACAAAATTATGACTGCTAAAATTTGCAATTTCCTTGGAAGTGCAGAGTTTGCCGTCTCCACACTTAAAATGTGGAGTTGTCCACATTTGCACCATGCAAAGAGATAAGGGCTCCGTGAGCTATTCCACACTCAAAGTGTGGAGACTGCAAACTCTGTTCTTCCAGGTGTGGAGACTTCCACACCAGGAAGTGTGGAGTTGTCCACGTTACACTGTTAAAAAAGCCGTACATTTCAAGGAAGAAGGGACGGCTAGACCGTACCTCACGGTGTACAGTACAACCATACCCAAAAACCGTGCTTCCCATAAGAGCCCATGTTATGAAAAACCGTACTCCCTACCCCAAAAGCCGTACTGGCTGAGGTACGGTGGTACCAGGCAAATTGTCTACCAGACTGTGCCTGTATCTTTTCCCGTGGATTTTTCTCCAGTGTAAGTTTTATAGTGTGTACGTATTCCCTTAAATTAACGTGCACGCTTTAAATCTTACGAAGTATTTTGAGAATAACGGAGGGTGGGGCAGTTCGTAGGCTTTCGAAGGGAATATGAGTGTGCACAATCTTCCATTTACGTGATCTTATTGATTAGCAATCGACACGATCGTCACCGGTGCACTTATGTGGCCTTAAACAAACGATGGAACCGCGCTACCATTGGAACTGGCCTTGACTTAAATTACTGAGTCACGTGATTTTCCTTCTGGGTTTCTCTACCGATCATCCGCCACGTACTTGCTTCATTATAGGCTATTGGGCGAACGTAACGCGCCCTCGGACACAAAAGTCTGGTTAAAAGTACCAGACCAACCCTAGTTAAACGAGTACGTCACCCGGGTGATGCAACTTCGTTGCCCAATTTTGGGTGACGAAAATTCATCACCCGAAATTTGGTAACAGGCGTTAGGTCGCCCAAATTTAGGCAACGTCGTCGGCGACGCAATGAGGTCCCCGATGACGTCCTTCCGGGGCCACCAGGATGACCGGAGGCCTCAACGCCACATGGCGGTCATCGTGGTGGCCCCGGAAGAACGTCATCGGGGACCTAACGGCGTCACCGACGACGTTACCCAAATTTGGGCGACGATTTTGTGACAGCCTAAAATTTGGTCACCGCTGGCTCGTCACCCAAATTTGAGCGACGATGCGTGCGTCACCCAATAAAAGGGCCATGGTGGTGACTCTTTCATTCTTAGTGTGCTGAGGGCGGCAAACTTCTTAGTTCGTGGCTCACGTTTCCTCCTACCGTTTACTATAAATGAATTTCATGCAGTGTAATTGTGTTTGCAGGGCTTCACGCGCCGCGGGACGCAACGACCTCGACCACCGTCTGAACATAGAATGAGCGTCTGCTGCGCTGTCATACCGGCATCATTATCTCCTTCTTCTAGTGCTTATTAGGTTGAAGCGAGGAAGTTTACTTTTCCAAACAAAGCTTTTCAGAATTTATTTTTATTTACGTTTCATACTGAGGCCTTGCTCCAATTACTCTGTGAAAGTTCGTCTCGTTCTGTGCGATGAAGTACAAATATCCTGCTGTAGTGATTGTGAGTCTTTCGGGCTTTCGCACAAGAGTTGTGTTTAACTGTGCTGAAGTAATAAAATAGTTATTTATGCGTCCTTCATTGTAGTATTGATCTTTAGAATACCTTACATTTGAATCACTAGTCAAAATTATCACAATGTTGCTCCAGCAATGAGTAGCCCTTAAGTCCTGCGTCACGCCAATCGAAAGAGGATACACTCTAAAAAATAATGGCATTTCTACTACACCGTCGTATGGTAAAAGTACCAACTTCGGTATGGGAATCGACAATCCTATACGTGATTTGGAAAATTCCTATGCTTTTCGTTCTTTTGCCAACGCGGTGTGGTAAAAATCCGAACCGAGTATAGGAATTTGATTTCCTTTACTCGTGATCGGATTTTTGCCACACTTTAGTAGAAATCCTATTACTTCAGGCCGTCGTATAGTGCTTTTCCTACAACGCATTAGTAAGAATACCAAACATTTCTGAAAAATCTTTTCAGGAGAGAGGGGAACAAAACGGATATTCAATGATAACAGGCTGCACGCACAAGGACTAAGGCGGCAAAACTGCCCCGAGAAAAGTAAACAGAAGCTCATGTGCGTCAAACCGTTGGATAGAAATTAGCACTAGACGATTCGTTAACACCGGTTTAAAGTTATTTTGAATCTTGTTCTACCCCATTATCACATATGGTTTTCGATTATTTCGACTTCTTCAGTAAAACTTGAAATGGGTTCGTCTCTGATAATCGCGGCAACTCTGAGAACTATCTATATAAATGAGCCATGGTTTTAAATCCTCGTGAAATTTTACGTGACATTATAATGAGACTGACAATAAACGTAGCGCTCCAAAGCATTATGACATCGTCTATTGTTAAGTTACCTTGTAAAACGTGAACTGTGGGTAAGGGTTTGGTCCACTGTTAGCCGCCTGGCGCCAGGTTTCACAAACCTGCCGCTAGGTGGCGCTTGGAGCGCCGTGCCCGTTCACCAACAAGTATTTCCGATTAATGATACTAAAGTAAATAATTTTCGACAACTATATCATTTGTTACCTAAGTAAGTGTCAGCCCTAGCCATTGGCTTCCAGTTTTAAACAAAATATTACACTATAGTCGAGAAAAACGTATTTCCATGTTGCCACTCGCTGGCGACTGCGGTCGGCCATTAGGTTGGGTGCACGCAAGATCTTCTTCATGGCCAAGCGGTCCATCTCGTATTGGAGTAGCTTGGAAAGGACCGCTCTGTCCTTCTAGTTGGAGGTCACCTCTACTGGAGTCCTCACTACGTCATTTTTTGAAACACCATCCCGAGAGAGGTGATGCCATGTTCTCCCGAGTGATGTTCTATGATCCAGTAAATAAGCTCTCCTATGCTTGAATAGGAGTTTCACCACCTCACGTAACGAAAACATCCCACAAGTCGTATGGGATTTTTCCCATACACGGTGTAGGATTTTTCCCACACCCTAATATAGTAGAAACCCAACAACACGTATAGGATTTTTGCCATATCGACATATGGTAAAATTACCATGTCCTGTGTGGGAAAAATCCTATACCGAATAGGTTAAATGCGTCCGATACTTTTATAGGATTTCTACCACAATTTTTTTAGAGTGTAAAATTTCGCAACTTTTGAGACCTAGGCCATTTGGATACCTCATTTGGTTTCCGAGTAATCACCGGAAAACCTACACACTGCGAGAAAGAAACCACAACAAAAGTCCCAACAAAAATTCCAGGCAAATTTTTCATTACGAATTTATTGTACTTTAGAAGTACAACAATCGTCGTACAAAGTACAATGGAACCGGCATGACTAGTGCTGCGGAGTCCAGCCCTCATTTTGGTTTGTACAACTCTTGTACTTTTAGTGTGTTGTTTTTGTTGTGCTACTGTTGTCCTATTCTCATTTCTTTTTGCCGTGCATTTTCGAGCTACATACCCGACGATGTCTACATTCTTTCCCTATATCAAAACGAATTCGTGAAGGGTGCACACCGGTGATAATGCAGAGGTTTCAAAAAGGATCATTCTGACAAAAGTATCAAATGTATGAGATTGGTTCTTCAGTCAAAAAACATACCAAATCAAAGAAATCAATATTGGAGGAAGGGATAGCAGGGAGACTGTTCACTTCATAAATTTTCGACGTTGGTCCACTTCTGCCACGATTGCGCCTCTCCGGTTTGAGTATAAAAAACGGAATTTTAAAAATTTATTATCAGGACACTCGTGGCTACACTCTAAATATGGGGTGCCCAGAAACTGGGCGCCTTTGTCGCCTGCCCCTCTTTTTAGGGTGCCAAATGTCGCCCAGTTTCTGGGCACCTTTGTCGCCCAGTCTCGGGGTGGACTAATCATGCAGTAACCGGCCCTCTCCCATGGTACAGCATGCACAGATGTCTAGTTCCTGGGCGACTAAGGTGCCCAGAGTCTGGGCACCTTTGGCACCTTAGTCGCTGCTGAGCCATGGGTGAAGGCAGCACACTAAATTACTATGTAGGTTTTTCTGCGCGCTAATGCACGAAATTGTACATGCACTTCCTAACGCACGAATTTGTGCGCGACAATGCACGATTTCCTGCATACTTGCGCACGAAATCGTGCATTATCGCGCACAAATTCGTGCGTTACGAAGTGCATGTACAATTTCGTGCATTAGCGCGCAGAAAAACCTACATAGTAATTTAGTGTGAGGTTCCTTAATGGTTTGCCCACCCCGAGACTAGGCGACAAAGGTGCCCAGAAACTGGGCGACATTTGGCACCCTAAAAAGTGGAGCAGGCGACAAAGGCGCCTAGTTTCTGGACACCCTACATTTAGAGTGTACGGTCAGTACCACGGGCATGCAAAAAAAATAAAAAATAATTCTTAAATTGTTTGTGGGAAAGGCGAACAAAGTAAAAGTAGGTATTACTATTTATCTCACGTTCTCATGGCTTTTGCTCACGTTTTCTTTATGCCATGGCCAAATCTGAGGTACCAACAACGGAAGATTCGAGTTCAAGGGGCATTTGGCCGCAAACCGCCTTCACTTATCTCAATCTTAACGCCCGTGAGCGAGGCAACTATAGGTCCAAACAGAGTGTTTTCAGCGGCGTGACAGAAATTCACGCCAAGTTTTGACGTGACTCTCCTGTCATGCCGGGTTTTGGCACGACTTTTCTCATAAAACGCATTGAACGCACCAACCCACATGGTGCATTCACGCCAGATGACGGCGTGATGCACACGTTGTCACGCCAATTTTTGGGCGTGACTTTTTGTCACGCCATAACTCGGCCAAGTGTCCGACCATTCATTTTCAGTGCAGCGGCCACTGTTGTGAACTTCGTCAAGACCCACGCTTGAGACCAATCAGGATTCAGCTTTAGTCAGTTTACGGTAACCGCCACTAGACGGCGCGCTGCTGGTTTCAGAATTTTTTATAACTTTTGTTCTTCACACGGCGATGACTGAAAGGGTCCATTGCGCCATCCCATTGCAATGAACTGGCCCAACTGAGAAGCTTCAGGCTTGTTGAAATGGATTCAGACGCACAGTGGGCTGGAATCGCATTCTAGCCGCTTATAATTAATTTCTCTGCCACTCTTGGTCGTAGAGCCTTCAAATTTGGTGTGAAGCATCTAATAATGGCTCAAAGTAACTCCCTTTCAATATTTTACAATTTAATGAACCTCCGACCGAATCCAAGGAACCCGGGTTCAAATCTTGGTAGGGTTTTAGTCGGTCAAAAATTTTGCTGTCGAAATTAACATTATATCTCATGTTTTAGAGTATGCTGATGCCAAATTTGACATCAAAGTTGACCTCGGACTTTGATTTCAGTCTCTGTGGGCTCAGAAAGGACCATTTTTCCACATTTTTGTTTGTTTTGAGGACTTTGTATTGTTTTGAGGGTTATGTTAATAAAAATACAGTCTGACTCCTCGTTTTGTCCCACTTCTGGGGCCTCCGTTTTGTCGGAGAGTCATTCCCACCACTGTGGCAGCTCTCATAATTACTGGACTTTGAGACGCAAAGACTTTAGGAGTAAAGAAGAAAAGGATGCACAAAACGGATGTATAGTGAGTGGATAAATGTTGACGCCCTTAAAGGGCACATTTTTAATGCCTTTGTTTCCTCAGTGCATTCCCGAAAAGAAAAAGCTTGGCGTAACAACTTAAGACCGCGCGCCACTCGCTATGGGCGCGCAGCAGCAGCGTTGATCGTGCGCTTGTGTGGAAGCACGCTGACGGTGCTAACGAGCACACCCGTGACGTCAGCCCACCACTTTTTGACAAAATACACTGTTTCGGTGAAAAGTAACATTTTTAGAGGCCTTGCATTTGCGTTTGCGCAAGTTTGCGCAGCTTTTCTCGGTTGATCCTTTATCAAGACATGCCTCTCGTCAATGTCTTGTGTACAGACCTGCTTGATTGGGGTTGATTCGGCAGTATATCTCAAACTCTATGGTTTTTTTTACTGATAATTTGCGTAATTTGTGGTTAAAAAGGGCGCCGTTCATCCAATTTTGGTCAGAAAAGAAAAACATTAGTGCCATTTGAAAGGGCAGACCTTAAGCTTCAAGAGGAACCCAGCGGAAGTTTGAAACTAGCACTCCAATCGCCCACAAAGTATAAATATATAACAGCTTATTTTTCGCATCAATTTGGAACTTTTAGCGAATGTTGAACTTTGACGGCATGTAGCGGTCAAAGTATTTGTCGCACGTCAATTCCAAGACCAGACTTGGAATCTACGGAAAATTTCCTATGAAATACATTTGAAATCGGCCAATTTGGACGACTATCAAAAAGTTATTTTTAAGCGGCTAGAATGCGATTCCAGCCCACTGTGAGACGTCAAAGAGGCAGAACAGTTCAAGATCGTGTTTAAGGAATTTTATAGATTGGATCTGCTGATGCGCCGTTTTCTCTCTGAAGCATTTTCCATACAGGTCGACGCATCGCCGCGGGAGCTGCGACTCCATATGCCATACTCCACGGGTGAGTCATCGAAGCCGGCGGTTCGGTGTCGCGTATCCCAAACAATCCTCGGGCTCTGCCGGCTCCTCCCCGCAACCGCCCTTGCGGCGCTGAGCCGCTATCGCCTCGTTGCTGCGGGCTGCGCTGCGAGTCCTCTCATGTTGTCTCTGTCGAAAGACCCGCACGGTGCGCGGTGATGGAGAGAGACGGAATGCTTACCGTAGGGTGCGAAATGTGCCGACGCAGGCGGACTGCCCGCCAGCTCCATGCTCTTCTGTAGACAGATTCCGAGAGTCGTGCTCGTCGCTCCGTCTCTCTCGCACCCACTCGCGACGCCCCAAGAGTGCGAGAGAGACGAGCGACGAAAGCGATTCGCGGAATCGGCCTGCCACCCTCTCCCTCTCCCGTGACGCCGCTGCGGCAGGCGGCAGGCTACTCGAGTCCAGTTGTGGCGTGCCCGTGGCAGAGGAAGGAGCGACTCTACGGACTTGTTGCGAGCGCGTCGATTTAGACCCAGGAGTTGAAAAGTAAGTTTCGAAGTTTCATCCAGCCTCGATTCACGGCGAATCGACCTTTTGTGACGGTGGCTCGTCTTCGTAGAGTGATTGGTAGGGTGGGCACGGTGAACTTCGGGGATGATAGAGACCATCTCGGACCATCTCGCTCGTCAACAACAGTTGTCGAAGGGGTAAGAACCAGTGGAAACGGTCCTCGAGGTTTGTGGCTTGAAGAGTACTTTTGTTGTCTCGGCGGCGAGCGAAAGGGTCTGTGGACTCGAGGGGGTGAACACTTTAAGGTGTGTGTGCAGACTTCTCAATATAGCGATCGTATTACTAGATTTACGACTTAGAACTGATACCAGTCGGCCGCATTCGTTTCCAAAAAGGTGTTGCGCGTTCTGCGGGGCTTTTGATCGGGGTACGAGGTAGGTGTACGCCAGGGGTCTCAGACACGCGGCCCGCGGGCCGCTCAGGCGCTTCTCGGGCCGCAGTGCGGCCCGCAGCGGGCCGCAATGGGAAAGGTAGGCGAGAGACACAAGTCCAGGCCGGGCCGGCGACGGCGGCTGGCTCGTCTCCCTGCTGTCGAATGTGTCGAGCAGCCGGCAGTGAGGCTGTCTCTCTCGCACTCCCACGGTTATATGGGAGGGACAAGGACAGACAGTGTGCTCGCGCGGCCGACGTGAGCCGAGGCAGCAGAGCGCTGGTTCGTCGCCGCCGGGCCGCCGGTTCGAGCCCGGTGTGTCGCCCGCTGGCATCTATCCTTGTCTTTCCCATAGGAGTCAGTGAGAGCAAGAGAGATGGACGATGTGCTCGCTTCGTTTGGACGAAGGCAAGCAAAGCCAGCGCCGGTCAGCGCCGATTTCACACCTCCCCGGCCTACTCGCCTGATCTCCCATCTCTCTCTTTTCTCCCGGTGCGGCCCGCGGTCTTCCGCCAGTTTGAGACCCCTGGTGTACGCCAGACCGTGTCTCTTCGAGAGATACCAGTCGGTCACATTAGGTCTTAAAGGTGTTGCGCGTTCTGCGGGGCTTTTGATCCTACCAAGAACTGCTCGTAATAGAAAGAAAACGAAGGCCTCGCAGCTTTCGAAGGGAATCGTTTTAAATTCAAAGGAAAAATTCTTTGTAGCCTATAAAGAACTTCTTCGCAGCCTGCGAAGGATTTTTCCTTTGTATTGTAATTTTTCTTTCTATTTCGCAGGCTGCTAGACCTTCGTTTTCTTTTCATTACAAACGAGCAGTTCTTCAGGAATTTCTGTGTTGTTTTCTTTTCTCGAAGCTCTTCGTTGTTGACTCGTAGGGTTGTCATCGGAAGAACAGAGAATATTTGATGATGAGGGAATACCCCGAACGTTTTCAGTAGCTTGTGGCACCTTTTTTGTCGCAGGTTGAGCAGAGCGCTCACAGGGAAGTTCGCGACTCATTAGAAGTACGACCAGCCCTTCAACTTACGCTCAACGTTCACCAAGTTGTCCAGGTAAACCTCCAACGTGCGTCACACTCTGTATAGAGGACTTACGCATGTAGCGTGTCGACGCACAGCAAGCATTAGGGGAATGGGGAATTTTGACGAAATCCTAGACCGGAAGTCGAAGAGCACACACTAAATGTCATGGGACTTTTTTAGTCCTACGATTTATGCAATTTTAAGCACATCCGACGCTGATACAATTTTGTTCCCGCCTGGCGATACATTTTGTCCGACGCCTGCTGCAAATTGTACTTTCACCAGACAATTTGCCCCGTCTGGCGGACACAAAATTGCATCACCACCGGTTGTGCTTAAAATTGCATCATTCATGGGACACAAAAAGTCCCATGACATTTAGTGTGTACTCGCGCTGCTCGCTGGGGGCTCCGCCCCCAGACCCCCGCATGTGTGGGGCGCGTGCCGAAGTATTTTCAGCAAGTCCGTGGTGACCAAAGGCAAATTTTCTAAGGAAGTAAATGTACTGCTTCTTTGAAAGGTCTATTTAACAGCTTTTGACCATATAATTAGGCTATACTTTTACTGGCCCAAATAGATAGCTTGTATTGCATTGGCTACTGTGGCAGTCAATGGGTGCATATAAGGTCCGGAAAATATTGAATTCTGCCCCCTTGACCCTAAACATTTCTATGAGTGAGTGAGTGCGTCAGTGAGTCAGTCAGTCGGATTGGGGCTATATAGGTTCTTGATGATGATTGATGATGATGATTTACCCCATTGCCGGTGGCGGGGACCCGACTGCGGCACAGTTTCGGAAATTCTCGACCAGACCTACCGATGGGGCGCATAAAAATTTTTAGTCAGTCGGTCCCCTTTTTAGAAGATTGAGTAGGTTTGCTCGGAAACGGTGAGGAATTTTCAACTTTTGGGATTTCATCCCATTTTCCCATAAAATTTGGAATCGAATGGAAAGAACCTCAAGTCTCTACGACTATTCCTTGACCCCAAACAAAGTGAGTGAGTGAGGGACTCAGTCGGATTTATAGGGGCTATATAGGTTCTTGATTGATGATTTTGAGGACGTTGCCGGTGACGGGGACCCGATTGCGGCATAGTTTCAGAAATGTCTCGACTTGACCTATCGATAGGGCGAATAAAAATTTTCAGTCGGTCGGTCCCCTTTTTTGAAGATTGAGTGGATTTTGTTGAATTTAGGCCTATTTAATCGTTTTGAGGGTGTTGCCGGTGACGGGGACCAGATTGCGGCACAGTTTTGGAAATGTCTCGACCATACCTACCGATAGGGCGAATAAAAATTTTTAGTCGGTCGGTCCCCTTTTTCGAAGATTGAGTGGGTTTGCTCGGAAGCGGTGAGGAATTTGGTCCCCTTTTTTGAAAATAAAGTAGGTTTGCTCGGAAACGGTGAGGAATTTTCAACTTTTGGGATTTTTCCCAATTTTACCATAAAATTTGGAATCGAATGGAAAAAACCGCAAGTCTCTACGACCACTCCTTGACCCCAAACATTTCTATGAGTGAGTCAGTCAGTCGGATTGGGGCTATATAGGTTCTTAATGTCACTTCCGCCGATGGGGAATGGAGCATTCCAGTCGCCGCCAATTGAAGTACATAAGGAAGAACAAAACCGGAAGCCAGGCAGAAAGGGTTTAGGTGGGAAGTCCGGTTTAAGGGAGATTTGTTGGCGAATATTTCCATTTCCAGTGTCATAATGTATTTGAAATCGACGAAAGTGTCTTTGGAGGAGACCACGCTTCGGAGAACCCATTGAAGTCCGCGAGGTGATGTTGCCGGCGCCAGTTCCGGTTTTGTTCTCCCTCTTTGTTCTTCGATCGGCGACTACTACCCATAGCCTACCCGATTAGGTCCACATTTCTATAGGGCATTCTAATCGTCACCGATCGAAGAACCAAAAGGATTAAACCTGAACCGGCGCCGGCAACATCACTTCGCAGACTTCCATGAGTGGAGCAGTTTTTATAGTTTTCTGCGGCGTATTTTCTTCAGAAGCACTACCGTCTGTTTCAAATACTTTTTGGCACAGGAAGTAAAAACATTGGTAGACATTTCTCCTTGAAACCAAGCTCGCTACCTACTCCGTTTCTTCCCCGGCTTCCGGTTTTGTTCTTCGATAACCGACGACGAGTTTACTCTATTTTAGTGTAAAGTTCCCTAGACACTACAGTAGCGCACCCAGTTGATATTCTAAATTTGGCGATCTAGATAGAATTGCCCCCTCCCTCAGAATGGCATCTATAGGCACTCCAGTGACCTACACTTTCAAACGTTTGCACGTATGGTGCAATGCACTGAGATATGCATTGCATTTCACCAGTTGACTTTATTCATGAAGTTTGGATTTTCCGAGGGGGTAAACACTCGTGTAATACCCTGTACACAAAAACAGTGTATTACGCGTAATACACGTAATTGTAATTTTGGGGCCAAATGTGCCAAATTTTGGCATTTGAATGCCAATACACGTGTAATATCCCCGTAATATAGCGTAATACCACGTAATACCGAGTACTCTGTACACGATTTCTTGGAGTGTTTACCCCCTCGGGATTTTCAGTGTAGGACGCCAAATACCAAAAGACTCAGAGGGAAATAGGCTCTGGAAGCAGAGCGCCACTCGAGTGGAGTGGCAAGAAATCTTGCCTGTACAATTGAAGCGACGGTACCACCGGCAGCTACATCCATTGGGGAGACACCATGTTGCTGTACATGTTTCGCGTCTCCCAGCTGGGAATCAGGGAATCTTGTTAAAGTGCTTAAATCGCGTCCCTCACCCCCTTCCCGTTACATTTAGTTTACCCTCAGTCATCGCCACTCGGAAGCTCATTAGTTTGTTCTAGTTTATTCTCTACGAGGAAGTCGGACTGATGAATCTGCTATCAACGATAAGTCTGAAACGATTTATTCGATTGTACTGTCCAACACTTAGTCCTTTCTGTAGTCTTTTCCCGAATGGGACGCAGGTTCAGTAGAATGCGTGGTTAGATATTCGTGCTCTGCTCTCGGTTTTCAGACACGTCGAAGAGTAGGCTTACTTTCCTGCTTCGTAGAACGTTAATGCGAAGACGAAATAGGGTCGGAACCTACCCTCTCTCGGGATCTCATGGCCTGGTCGGGCATATTAATATTTATGCATTTGAAGTAGTTTTTAACGATTATCATTTTGGTTTCGACTTCTGCCTTAGGCCTACTGCCTTGCTTCCCTGTAGGGATACGGCGGACAAGAGCTACTTCTGCCATCGTGACAACTGATGACTTTCTGTCGGAAGTGCCTTGTGTCGCTATCCATTGTGTCACGCAGCCTCAGGCACTTTTCGTCCAACGTCAGATGAAACTATGCGTTATGCTGATCCAGGCCCCCCACCCCGTCGCCAACGTTTCGCGATTCACCTCTACACTCAATTTCACGTTATCCATTGTTCTTTCAACGAGTTATGCTTGTTTCTATGGGTGAAGTGTAACCGCTGCCCCCTCCCCCTTATTACCCCTTGTAGGTTAAGATTCTTGATTGTAGTACTGAACGTATATTGTCTGAGCATCTCTTGTGTTTTATTTTGTTGCAGCGACCCTTTGTTACAATGTCTCTAACCTTAAATCTTCGGGCAGCGCTGAAGTGGGCCGGCAAGAAGGTTCAGGTAAATTCAAACATATCTTTAAGAGTCATTCCATGCCGGTTTCGGCCTGGGCCTGAATGTGACCATTAACTATTCCCTTGCCGCTGTGGTATTCTTTTGCACTGTTGGAGATGGGCGATTCTCTAATGTTTAGGTCCTTGGGTAGCATTCTTTAGGGGCGATCCCCATGCGTAACCAACGAACTCTTGGAAGTTCATCTCTTCGATTTGGATGAAACTTTTTTAGGGGTAGGGGTCTTTATGAAAAGATCCCATGTCAAAGGCTTTTGCGATATCTCATCCTGTTTGGTCAAAATCATGATATTTTCTTTATTTTTCTCCGTGCTTACTGAAAGTTTTTAAGGTTTTTCCTACAATGATTCTTTCCGCGTAAAGAACCATTGTAGGAAAAAGAGCTGGGGAACACGATGGAAATAGTTTCGAGACAATTGGATTGAGTTTTGGTGTTGCTTTTTCCATTTAAAGTAATTTCTATTTCTTTTCGAAAAGTCGCTGTTTTCTTAATAGCTTATTCTGGACGTTTTTCTTGAATTCTCAAAACCAACTTTCTGATTTTGCGTCCAAACTTATGACATGTGGGCACATAAATTTTGCCTTGTCGAGACGAATTCATTGATTTTTGCAAATTCACACCCTATTCAACATGAGAGACACTAGTTAAATTTCTAAATTGTCCAAAATGACTTTTCTACACATGAGCGGACTCGTCTCCGTCTCGACGAGGCAAAATTTATGTGTGCCGTCATAAGCTTGGACGCAAACTCAGATAGTTGGTTCGACAATTCACGAAAAACGGCCAAAATGAGTCATCTTATCTTATCCAGAAACAAAACTTAAGGTAGACTGCGACCAGATCCTTTTAGGGTTTTCTTCCAATATGTGAGATTATCATGTGAGGAAAGTCACATTGAAATCGGAGATCGTAAACGGCGACTTTTCGAAAAGAAAAAGGAGTTACCTGACATGGAGAAAGCGACATCAAAACTTGATGCAATCGCCTCGAAACTGTTTCCATCGTGTTCCACAGTCCTTTATATGTCAAGAACCATTGTCGGCAAAAATCTAAAAACTTTCACCACTTACGTATAAAAATTAATAGATATCATGATTCTGACCAATGTGGAAACTTCGCTATGCCATTACAGCCAAACCGAGTGAGAGATCGCAAAACCCTTTGGCATGAACAGAATCCGTGACCTAATCCCAGATCTCGGTCCACCCTGAGGTGGTGTTACTCAGATTTTCTTTTGAAAAAAGTGAAGTGTGTAATTTGTCCCCTACCACCGTGCACTCTGGAGGGCTTGAAATGGTTGTTCGAAGGCGAAATCACAAGAGGAATCCAAATCTGGCTCCGGATGGATTGTCAAGTTCTACTCCCACTACCCGTAAACGCCTGTTTGAGCTTATTTTTCTGGCACTCTTGAGGCTGTTTCGTGGTCCCAATCGTAAAATGGTAGTTTCTTCAGGGTGCAATCGAAAGGTTTCATTTGTCTCAAGGACTCGCGGGGAAGGCCGCATGGACCGTTATGACAATGACCTGGTTTGCAAGTCCCCACATCGTGGTCAGACAAGAATGTCTCGCCATTTTTGTTGACCACATTTTGGCAAGCCTTCCAGGCCTGACTAAAGCGTGGTAAAACTTCATCTCGTCTTTGGAGTGCTGTAAAGTCTGACTTTTGAATTCGTTGTGATTTGTCTTGGATTTGTGCTTGTGCCGCGGAGCTTGTCAAGTCCTCCATTTTATCATCCCACCTCGATTTTACCCCCTCGATTTTGATTGTATGTACTGAATGTTGCCAGAACTATATGAACCAGCGCGTGGAGGAAGTCTTCGGTTTACCTCTGGAGACATTCTTGAAGGCCGTCGGATACGCCTCATCGGTAAGTCTGTGCTCGGCGATTAATGGCCGACTCTCAACCCGTAGATGATAGCAATGTACACTGGTAAATCAGCCACATAGAACACGGTAAAAAGGAAGTCGTTGACCCAACGAAAAAGTACGTTGGTTCCGTGATAGCCGAAAAAAATTGTTGGAGTAACGAAATTTTTGTTGGTAAGACTAACAATTTTTAGCGCAACAAATAGACCGGTCAAAGGAACAAATTCATGATTTTGTACCTCCTATTAACATTTTACGCGCTTGAAGATCTAAATTGGGGGTTGCGGAGTGCGGCGTGGTTTTTGTTATGCTTCAGGGTGTATGAGAAGCCAAACACAGGAGTCGTGACGTGAGAATGCTGAGTGTGACGTGAGAGTCCTGGATCATGCATTACGAAAATTTTTGTCACAAATTCCCTGTAAAGTAACAAAAAGTGGATAGTCTCGCCTCAAAGTGGCGAGTCTTTCTTGTCTCGCCACGTGTCAAGACTTTCAGGTCTGACTGAAACTTGGCGGAACTAAATGTACCTCCATATTTTGGCGCAAAGTGTTACCATTTAACACACTCTTAATGTTGCACAGTGAAGATTCTCCATATTATGGTGAAAATGTTCCATATTATGGTGGTGCAGCTGACTTCGTAACATACCATTCAGAATTCACTGACCCTTATATAATAGATATTTTGGCGAATTTCGTTGGCATTATGGAGAAAATCTCCACCATAATATGTTGGTGCAGCCTTTCACCGTAAGACATTTACAGTGCAGCCTCAGTTGAACCAAAACCAACCGACGAATCGATTGGACCAACGGATTTTTCTCCGTGTACCTACCGGCACCTACCCCGTCCCTCCCTGCTTCTGGGCTCCTTCTCCCACTTGTTCTTTGACCGGCGAAGACTAAAATTCTGTATTCACAACTTTTTTTTCAGGTGGTGTGCCTTGCCGCTGTTGTGGTGTTGTTGGTCGTGCTTGTCTGCATGGGCGACCAGGAGTCCATAGACGTGGCGGTCCGTTTGGATGGTGACCTCTGCAAGAGCTTCAAGTGTCATGCCCTGACGTTTGCTGCTCCAGTGGTCTCGGTTTTGAATCATGTTGCATTGTACCACGTGTGGATCAGGGTATTCGGGTACTCCATGTACGACTTCTATCATGGCAACCTGAGGCACACGAAGGCACTGGAGGACTTTTCCACGCTTTCCCCTTTCTTCATTATGGTTATGATCTTCGAGTTCTCCTACGGTTTCCTGCTGTCGATCAACGTCCACCTCGGAATGCAACAGGTACGACTTACTAGGGCTTAGCGGGGTCCTTGGGGCTTGTGCTTCAATGTCTTGTGTCGAAAAAGCGCTGAGAATCCATTGCCATGTTTTAATTAGCATTGGGTATTATCTGGACGCATTGCACGTAAGGTGGCATTGCCCGCGTGTTGCGCGTGGAAAAATAACTTAGCTGAACTTGCTAATTTACTGAAGAGAGACTTTGCTCACGAAATTAATATCCTTAGTGCAGACCCCTCGTTGAAAAGGTCTTGGCGAGACCTATCGAAAACCGCAATTAAATTTTTTGGACGGTCGACCCCTCTGCCGAAGAACCTGGTCGGCCAACTGCCGAAGGCGGGCTCGTTGACCCCTCTTCCGACCACTTATTGAAAAGGTCTTGGCGAGATCTATCGAAAACTGCAATAGATTGTTTTCAGTTGGTTGACTCCTCTTTTTAAGCGGTCTTGCTACCGCTTCTAGTTCTGCATCCGACCCCACGCATCCCATCCATCCATCCATTCAGCGCGCTGAGAGGGGACTGCATGGTCGTGTTGGTCGTCGTGTCGTCGTCCTGCACTCTCAGCCTTTTACTGACTATTTCTCATTAGCAGACTCATTTCTGTAAGCAACCATAATACTTAGTATTTTTTGTCAGTATTACTTAGCAATTGTTAATTACTGTACTGATATTACCGTTTCCTTAGTAAATAACAAAGAATTTTTTAAGTATTTAAGAACTAAATACTAAGTATTATGGTTGCTTACAGAAATACGTCTGCTAGTTAGAAATAGTCAGTAAACGGCTGAGAGTGTGCGCCGTCCCGCCTCGCCGCGCCAGTCCCCACTCCTCATAGCCACCCCCTCCCCTCCCTCCTTGCCCCCTCTCTGCCCGGCCTCCCCCTGCCGGTCCACGGCAAGACCGCTTTGCGAAGCTTGCCTCGGCGGAACTTTTTTTAAGGTTCTGATCGGGACAGCTGCCGAAGGCTGGCTCGTAGATCCCCCTTCCGACTTCTAGTTGAAAAGGTCTTGGTGAGACGTATCGAAGACCGCAATCAAATTTTTCAGCCAGTCGACCCCTTTTTTCCTAGGTCCAAAGCACTCTGACAGTGCCTTCCAAATTTGGGACCTCTAGCTCAACTCCCTCCTTGTACATAGACGACGACGACGTACAGAGTGAATTGCATAGACCCTCCCCCTACTTTTTGAAAGAAGGGCGGGCCAAAAACAGCAATTTCCGCCGTAAAGCGTAAATTTAGATCCTCAGCGGTTTTCACTTGTTTTTTTCTTATCCTTCTCATGGCAATATGACCGACCCTTTGCAAAACATGGCCTACGCCGAGTGGATATTAAGGTTACTGTAAAGTGAAAAAAATGTGAAATTTCATTTTTTGATATAATAATTGCATCATGAATATGGTTTCCAGTCCCTTATTTGGAGATGAACTTAAACCCAAAGGGAAGGCACCCAACTCCTATAAGTTTCTGAGTTATTGAAGTTTATGGAACAAATTGGGTCGTTGTCCCAAATTCTCCTTGCGAAGAACCATGAGTTGACGAGACCTGAATTTTTGTTTACAAGTTCTTTATTAATCTCCCTATTTTGTGACAAAGCCGGATTTCCAAATTTCCAAAGTAAAACAAGAACTGTTCTCTAAAAACAAAAAATTGAACCAAAAGTAGTGAATAATTCAAAACATATTTTGGAAAACATTTTGCTTGCTAACTTGTGTACATATTTTCAAATCTGGCTTTTCTTAGTCTGCCACCCATACTTTGGAAGATAGTCTTTTCACCTTACAATAACCTTCATGAGGATACGAAATATGCCCTCGGGTCAAACCTTCCACTTCTAGGCTCGAAGATCTAAGGTGTGCCAAAACCTTTGCATGCCCTTTTTGGGAACAGAGTTTCCACCCGTTGCCTCTACATGTTGATATGTTTATGTTACAGAAATGTTATTCGAAAGTGAAGTCCTTCAGTGATTTCCTGTTCCTGAGGCTTGTGGCGGGTCTCTTACAAGCGGTGAGGCTTCACTCCAGGGCTGTTTCACTGTTGGAGGCGCTTCTGTTGTGGCCGCTTCATGCCTGTACGTATTTCAACTGTGGCAGGAAGGACTCCGACCGATCGGAAGTTGTAGACTGTATATTTATGTAGAACTTTTTACGTGTAACTTGCATGATTTTGTGCAGTTTAGAACCAAACCCTTCTGATCAGTTCAGTACAATCCATACCTTGTGTTGCAAAATTGCTATAGATGGATAGGATTTATGTCAGGACTTATGCATAGGAATTTCCCAATACATTTTCGGTCCGTATAGCGAAAAAACCTTCTCAAATTGGAAAATTCTTAATTTAATCTATCAGAATATCGGTGTTTCCTGTACATGTGTAGGATTTTTGCAAGTACAAGACAACTCAAAGGTAAAATTTCGGTTACTTTCATCATTTAACAGTGCATAACCTCAAATTTGCATAGTATGCCTAAAAATGCATGCGAATGTGGTTGTCGGTCAAAGTTCCCAAACCCCTGTTCCTATTGAACAAGTTTTCCAAAAATATGTGAGCCACATTGGTCTTCCCAATATTTAATTATTCCATGTACCCAATTTTCTCAATGACCCAAATATTTACATGCATTAACGAGGGGGACCGCGCTGGAACTAGCGCTGCAATTGGTATCTATCGGTACGGAGGTAACCGTGCAGGGTGGCACTTTCCCAGTTTGTTTCGAAGTCCGATCCAACGGTTCTCATGTTGTACCGGAGCAGGCTCTTTCAAGACACTGATGGGCTAAAAAGTGGTGCTTCGATTTTGTCCATCGTTGTGATTCTGAGGGCTCCTTCACTTTTCTGCCCATGCGTAGCTTCAGAAGAATCATTTTCGTGCCGCCCTGCTCCTTACACTTGAAACGTAATTGTCTACTCATTGCTCACTGACTTGCTTGGTCCCTCAAAACTGCTGGCAGATGCACTTCTAAGCGTGTACTTGACAAAACATGCATTTGCAAGAGTGCAAATGTTGGTGTCAGAGGCTAAGTATTCATTTGTGAGTTGTTGCGGGAAGTGTGCACCAAGTAGACAGTTGGGTTTGCAGTGCATTGCTGCCTTGGCCCAACAAATCATTTTCGCACACTATTCTCATCAGCAACTGCCTAACAATTCTACTGGTGGGAAGAATGCCCAATGGGAAATGGGAAATATGGGTAGCGGAAAATATGGTTTGGCGGGAAATACTGCAGTGGCAATTGGGCCAAATTTCTCAATTTTATGCTGCTCTTTTTCGTATGCGTCGGCGCTGCCGCGCCGGGCTGTTTCCCCTACCGCATAATAAAATAAATACTCCGAAAAGATTGAAAGTTTTTTAATTTATGTTATTTATGTTTTGTTTTATTTTATGTTAGTTTTTATTTGTTTGTTTTTGCAACGATGAATTGGATTTGAAGTAGTATTAATCGTTTCTTTCTGCTTCCAGTGTTGTACTTCCACGTGTTCTTCTTCTACCCGACGTTCGTGGACACTATCCGTGCGAAGTTCCTCGAGGAAGCCGTGGCAGGTGCTGACAAGACGTAAGTTCACGAGACATTCCACGTCAAACTATCATGGTCCAAAACGCACTTGCTCAGATCCGGCTCCAATTTTTTTCTATCATAGCCTTCCACTCAAGGACCACACACATTATTTTTTTTCTTAAATTCAGAACTTTGGCCGTGGCGATTTTTTGAAATTTCAAATAGAATTTCAAAACTTTTCTTAGATTTTTAAAAATTGTGTCTTAAGGCGCTCAAATAGGTTGAAACGTAATCGTGATTACGACATTGTCGTAGAGAAATGATTTTTTAGTCGTTCAGTTACGACGAAGTAGTTTCAGAACTATTTCTGTCGCTATCAAAATTAGCGACGTTTTTGTCGCTAATTTACGACAAAATTTCTGACAGTGTACCATAGCCATCTTGCACCTTACTTACAATGCATCCCTAAAATGCCCTATATGATAAATCATAGGCCATCCCATGCCAAACCTTTGAACTCTTGGAAATTCATCTCTTCGGTTTGGATGACACTTTTTGTGGGAGTAGGGGTCATTATGAAAAGATCCCATGTCAGAGGGTTTTGCGATATCTCACCCCGTTTGGTCAAAGTCTCGATATTTTCTCTAGTTTTCTACGTACTTACGGAAAGTTTTTAGAGTTTTTCCGACAATTGGCTCTTTGCTTATAAAGAGCTGGTGAACACGATGGAAATAGTTTCGAGTCAATCGTATGAAGTTTTGATGTCGCTTTCTCCATTTATGTTACTTCTTTTCGAAAAACCACTGTTCCGAAATAGCTTGTCTTCGATTTCGATGTGACTTTCCTCACATAATGATACTCTCACATATTGGAAGAAAATCCTGAAAGGATTTGGTCGGCCCACAGTAAATTTTGTTTCTGGATGTGTATCATTCTGTCCGTTTTTCTTGGATTCTTGAACCAATCACTGTCAGAAATTTTGTCGTAAATTAGCGACAAAAACGTCGCTAATTTTGATAGCGACAGAAATCGTTCTGAAACTACTTCGTCGTAACTGAACGACTACAAGGTAGGTTTACGCCAGACCGCGTCTTGTCGTAACAGGCTTCGCGATGTCTCGCTGCCTGTTCCTCCAATCAGCGCCTGGCGTACCTACCTTGGCCTGCGGCGCTAGCCTGCCTTCGGCAGGCAATGCGGTTACTTCTAACTTGATGCATGCTGGGGGGAGACCCCCCTTCATTCTAGATCCCTTGTAACTTTTCAACTTGTTGGGGCTGGGGGGCTCCGCCCCCCAGACCCCCCTTCTTCAAGACAGAAGTGATCTGCCTACAGAAAACTCGATTTTTCGCCGTTTTTCAGGTGTTTTTCGGCTATAAAAACTGAACCAGTTGAGCTAGGATAGTGAAATTTCGCGTGTGCCGAGCCAAGGACATACCCAAAAAGTGTGCAAAATCTCATTGAGATCGGCCGAGCCGTTCAGGAGGAGTAGTGCGGACACACAGACAGACAGACAAACAGACAGACAGGAAAAACTTTTCAACCCCACTGGAGTAACAGGCTTCGCTATCGCTCAGCCAAAAAAATCATTTCTCTACGACAATGTCGTAATCGCGATTACATGTTTTGAAATCTAAAACCCCCGAAAAGTTGATGAAAAGTTGCAATTTTGCTCGCTTATTTACGATTTGTGTCGTTCATTTACGATTCATTACACAAATTTTCGACAAGATTCGTGTACAACTTAAGTCATAACTGCACGACATACTCCATTGATGAATTACGATCGTTCGGAAACTTACGATTAAGTTGTAAATTTACGAATTAATTCGATTCAAAACGGAACGTCTCGCTATAAAAATTAGCGACAAATATGTCGTAAATTATCGACTCAAGTCGTAATTTACGACTTGAGTCGTATCAAAATATGTCGTTTAAAAACGACATAATTGTTCTACAAAATGTCGTAAATTTACGATTATTTTTAACAGTGAACCTTCTGAGTTTGCGTCCAAGCCTATGATATATATGTGAGCACATAAATTTTGTCTTGTCGAGACGAACCGTTGATATATAGGAAAGTCATTCTGGACACTTTTGAAAATTTACCCTAGTATCTCTCATACTGAAATAGGACGTAAATTTTCAAACTTGTCCAAAATCACATTTCGACATATTAGCGGATTCGTTTCGACAAGAGAGTGATTCCATATCTAGGGAAGGGAGCACAAGTCTACTTTTGGTGTCACCGATCTGGACCAAAATTTTACCACATTTCCTTTTGGGTACATGTGGTTAAATTTTGGTCCAGATCGGTGACACTATTAAACAAGGTAGGTTTACGCCAGACCGCGTCTTGTCGTAACAGGCTTCGCGATGTCTCGCTGCCTGTTCCTCCAATCCACGCCTGGCGTACCTACCTTGGCCTGCGGCGCTAGCCTGCCTGCGGCAGGCAATGGCTTGTCCGTTGTCGGTTATTTTTTAACTTGTTGAATGCTGGGGGGCTCCGCCCCCCAGACCCCCCTTTCTCCAAGACAGAAGTGGTCTATCTGCAGAAATCTCTATTTTTCGCCGTTTTTTAGGTGCTTTTCGCCTATAAAAACTGAACCAGTTGAGCTAGGATGGTGAAATTTCGCGTGTGCCGAGCCAAGGACATATCCAAGAAGTGTGCAAAATCTCACCGAGATCGGCCGAGCCGTTCAGGAGGAGTAGTGCGGACACACAGACACACAGACAGACAGACAAAACTTTTCAACCCCACTGGAGTAACAGGCTTCGCTATCGCTCAGCCAAAAAAAACCTTGTGCTCCCTAGATAAAGAACCACTCTCTTGTCGAGACGAATCCGTTTATATATAGAAAAGTGATTTTGGACACTTTTGAAAATTTACAAGATGCCCACAAGTGGAATCGTAATCAAACTGTCTCTGCCCCTGACTCGGCTCTTTGAAACATGATCCTGACAGGCTGAAAACACTCAAAACACAAGTAAGGAAGTAGGAGATACTCATCAGACCACTCTTTCCGTCATGGGATCATTGTTTATCCCGATACACCTAGGCTACAATTGAGTGATTTCACCGCTATAGTCCTTCAGACTGCGAAGTGAAATTTACGCTTTCTTCCACAGCTCCCAAACCAAGTCTCTGCCCAGGCTGAAATTTTGTACAGTTACTAGGACCAAAGAAAGGTACTTTCTCAATTTTTTTCTATTTTTTTTAAAATTTGATTTTGAGATCTACACAGATAAATTCCTACAAAGAACTGCTCTTTGTAATACGAAGAAAACGACGGCTTCGCAGCCTGCGAAGAAAATCGTTTGTAATACGAACGATTTCGTTTGTAATACAAAGGAAAAATTCTTCGTAGCCTACGAAGAACTTCTTCGCAGCCTGCGAGGGATTTTTCCTTTGTATTACAAACGAAATCGTTCGTATTACAAACGATTTCCTTCGCAGGCTGCGAAGCCGCCGTTTTCTTCGTATTACAAAGAGCGGTTCTTTGTAGCGTTTGAAGTGTGTAGAATATAAATTAAGATCGTTTGATTGAAGTTAAGTGGGGTATTGCCAGATACATGAATTTCTTATTTTTAACTTTCATTTTATCGTTTGTACCATGCCCCGGAACAAATTATCCTGAGAGAGTGACTTGAAAATTCTGGAAAACATCGACCTGGTGCTGTGTTAGAAGGTGACTTTTAAATTGATTTTTCTCAAGATTTCACCAACGCATTGAAAAAACCCCGAGGTTTGCCGACACTGAGAATCCAAACGCTAGAGTATAGCGTCAATTGGTGCAATGCAAAAGCATTGCACATGAAGTGCAATGCCTCCTTATTCCCATCATTAGCATAGGGCATTTTCGGGACGCATTGCACGTAAGGTGCAATATGGCTGTGGCATTGGACGTATGGTGAGATACCTCAGCTGCATTGCACTATACGTGCTATACTCAGCGTTTGGAATCTCAGTGGAATGACGGTGATGAGAGCTTTCAGAGTAGTTTAGAGTTGTACTTACAGAAACATGATGATGAACCGTGCCAAGCAGAAAACCAGTGAGCACAATACTCCTTCAATGAGTAACCGAACGGCGACAATAGATTATAGAACGAGTTTTAACTGTGGTAGCAGGCCGGCAGTGGCGGATCCAGAGTCGGCCCAAAAGGGGGGTGGGCGAAGTAGCACTTTTTGCCTACTGACAGGGGCAAAGTGGTGCTATTTGCCTGCCATTCCGGTGGCTATCTAGGGGTCAGGGGAAGGGGGGGGGGGCAATTGTCCTTTTTGCGTCGTAACAGCTCTGTGGGCCACGGTGACTCGCCGGAGACATGGTTCTAGCCTCAGCCGAACCCGGAGAGTTCATGCCTGCCGATGCGCCGTGCTAGAGTGTGTGCACCAAACCTATAACGATTGCGAGTTTACTCGATTGGTTTCGTCTTCCCAGCTTATGCATTGCTTCTTCTTACGAATTTCTGTTATGTTTGCAGGAATTCAAGCGCCTGCGAAAAAACAACATTGGGAACACCGCCTGAACATTGATGCGTCCACTACGATGTCGTTCTGGCAACTGATGTTCCTTCTGCTAGTGCCTGTTAGGTTGAAGCGAGAATACTTACTTTGATTTCAGCTTCGAAGCAATCACTTTAATTCTTATTATTCACCAGTTTACATTATTATAATTACTTAAAACTTGCAAGTACTGGTCAAATGTTTTACTAACCGACCACATCTAATTGACAATCTTAGAACACAAGTGCTGGGTTCGTTTTTAACAAGATAATTAAATGTGTTGAATTTTTTGCATTTACGTCCTTCTTACTCACACCTTATCTATTAACTCATCCCCCTCAAAGGAGTCCTGCGATTGTCTTTCAAAACTGTCGTTTGCAAAGACAGACTGTTTCCTAAATGCCCAGTGGGGAAACAATCACAAAAATTAATAGACCAAAATTCATTGACAATCTTGAATATTTGTCAGATATCTTCATTCATGACGTAAGTTGAATTTCAAAGAAATTCTTCAACATCGGCAACTTCTGCATCGGCAAATTCTGCATACAGTTTAGTTCGCCGTAAAGTAGAAATGTTTGTACACCCGACACTGTGGCAAAAAGGTACGGAAAATTCTGTTAATTTTTTTGCCAGGATTCTCTGTAGCCTTCTTATCAGTATTCTCCGTAGGCTCTTACAGTATTCTCCGTAGGACCGCACAGCCGTCTCCGTAGGACCTGGAAGACTGTATAGTCCTTCGGAGAACACTGTAAGGTCCTCCAGAGATGACTGTACGGTCCTACGGAGAATGCTGTAAGGGCCTGCGGAGAATATTGATAAGGGGGCTACGGAGAATTACCACAAGCTGTTTACAGAATTTTCCGTAGCTTTTTGCCACAGTGGAGTTACTAGGCTCAATGGGGTATTTACACGAATGCTACCTGGACCCGAAGCCAGAGAACAAAAGCAGGAACGAAACCGCTCAAACGCAGACGTGCGGACGAACCCCCTCCACTCTGCGTTGGCGTATGTTTTCGGAAGTGGACTTAAGGGGGCTCATACATGTTAAAAGCACTTAGTAAAAAATTTCTTTTGATGTAGACGGATCAAGATTTTACAATTTCTGTGTTAAAACCCTTTTAGATAATTGAGTAAGCTTCATTTTGGCTTAAAGGAAAGTGACTTTGGACATTTTTTGGAGATTTAGTCGAAACGTTTAAAATTTTGGTTCTCGTAAGATTTTGTTCGCATACTTGCTCAGATCTGTGGGGAAAAAATCAGGGAGACTCATCCCTAGTAGTGTCATAGAATTGACTACAATGGGCTTTATATCTACAATAGTTTTCAAGAAAAAAAATAAAAACAATTTTTTTAACGATTTTTTGAACAAATTTTTTAACAAAAAATTGTTTTTATTTTTTTTTCTTGAAAACTATTGCAGATATAAAGCCCATTGTAGTCAATTCTATGACACTACTAGGGATGAGTCTCCCTGATTTTTTCCCCACAGATCTGAGCAAGTATGCGAACAAAATCTTACGAGAACCAAAATTTTAAACGTTTCGACTAAATCTCCAAAAAATGTCCAAAGTCACTTTCCTTTAAGCCAAAATGAAGCTTACTCAATTATCTAAAAGGGTTTTAACACAGAAATTGTAAAATCTTAATCCATCTACATCAAAAAAATTTTTTTTACAAAGTGTGTTTAACATGTATGAGCCCCCTTAAAACTTCATGTTACATGATCGTTGAGTCAAATCCTCCATCCGGGGCGGGCAAACCACTTATCCCCTCTGCCAGATTCCATAAACGCCTCCCGCAATACGTATATCACAAAATGCACCCAGAAAAGCTTGCAAAGAAAAGTACTTTGCAGTACAAAGCATTCTCCGGCATTGTATTACGAACTCCCTTGCGAACTTTTTTCTTCGCATTGCAAAGTAATAGTTCGTAAGTTGCGAAGAAAAAAGTTTGCAACGCTGCGAAGCATTAGTTCGTAACGTTGCAAAGAAATACTTCGCAATGCAAAGAAAATAGTTTGTAAGAGAGTTTGCAATACAATGCCGGAGAATACTTTGCAAGGTGTTTTGAGTGTGCTATATCCAGTAGACCTGAGTTTCAAAATTTGTATCAGCTCAATGTTCACCCTCAACTCACCTCATGCAGAGTGAGCAACATGCGCCTCTTCCGTTTGTCATTTTGTCTCATTTTGTCAGTACTTATGGTAGTAGTTTGTGCAACTATAATGCGTACTTTTCCTTTGTTGAAGAACTACTTAGGACATTTTAAATAATGTACTGGCAATTTGGTTTTGCACATAATTTTACATAGGAAATTAGTCATACGTACTTTGAAAATACCAAGTATTATTGTTGCTTATACGAATACGTAATTAATTACGTATTCGTACAAGCAACAATAATACTTTAAAGAGAGTAAAAAGTCAGTAACGTGCTGAGAGGAAGTGGTTCCAAAGGCTTTATTTTATTTTTTAACGGAGCCGTCGGGGCGTTTGCACCTCACACTTCTGTTCAAAGTAAAGGAAAGAAAAAAAACACTGTAGGAGCGTGAAATCCCCCGTCGCGATCGTGGTATCGGTAGAATTGCTCGACGTGTGTGCGCTGATTGTTGGAGGGGGAGGGGGCAGGCTGGCTTATCACCTTTTCCTCGTCGAGCAAGTGCCGCGGCGCGCTGCCCTGCGCAGTGCGCGCCGTGCAAGCGCCCTGCTGGCGTCGCGGAAAATGCGGCGAGGCGCTTCGGCCGGCCTCTGCCTTGCAGGTGGACTGTAAGTGTCGAGTCGTGAGCGTCTAACGCGTCAGTCTGCGAACGCTGAAAATTTTCCGTTGTCACTGGATGGCAATTTCAGGGCTTATTTTCCTTACAAGTGTGACACCAAACTAGCTGACGACGTTGTTGTCAAGCAAAGGAGCGTCAATAAACGGGTCATCAATTTAATGTGATAAAAAATGTCATCTGCGATTTAGCCACAAGTGACAGCAAATTTTCACAGTGAAGGTGTGGCGCTACAAGTCGTGAGGCGATAAGTTCAGCGTGAAAGTTGAGGACGGATGCACACGATCTGGTTCTCACCGAGCGAACGTGGCGTATTGCCCGATCGGGGGCACACCAGTCCGACAAGACACCGGCACCCATGCACACACGTCGAAAGGAGGGGCCTCATCTGTCAGTTACCAATGTAAGTATTTTTTACTGCTGCATCTAAGTTGAAAACTTGTTACGGTCATTGATAGAAGAAAAGTAAAGGTGTACTTTGCAGCCAAGAGAGAGACATTGTTATATTCTCGAGGCTTACACACTATTCGTTCCATTTTTGTCTGCGTCAGCTGACTTTCCCAAACTCGCCTTCTGACCGCTGGACTAAATGAGGTGCAATTGAATGGGCTTTTCGCTGAGATACTTCTTGCGAAACCCCATGGGAGCTTTACTCCCACATATTTCACCAGTATCGATTTAAAGAAATTGATGTAGTATTACGGTAAATCTGAGCATCCATGTTGGTAACGATGTAAATATACCCGCACGCCAGGCTCGAGCCCCTGTTGATAGGGCGAGGGCAACGCGGAAGCCTGCGAGTGAGACAGGCTGCGAGCCGAACGACACGCAAGCACTGCCGAATGCCGAGTGCAGTCGACCGATGCGGTAAAGGCGAGCCGCGACCTCCAGCCCAGCCAGTCCAGGCACCTCGTTGCTAAACTAAGGCCATAGTGTTACTATTTGCCCCCCCCTCCCCCCCCTTTTCCACCACCACCACCAATGTCCGCCGTCTGCCTTACAGACGTTCGTGGTCTTAAAAAGACAATCAAAACATATCAGCACATGCCACAGGTTAAAATGAAAAACGAAATAGTTATTCAACTTCAGAAGTGTTTCATCTTCAATTTTTCATTTGTCGTATTCAGACGAACCTAAGTCTCTGTTCCCTGCAAGAAACAGTGTAACAAAAGTACAACGAGGATTGTAGAAATTACAACGAGAATTGAACGAAGTGCAACTAGGCCTGGGGTGCACTGTACCCGTCGTGTCGGATAAATATAAAAACTCTATAAAATTGTTGTACTTTGAAAGTTCCCAAAATATAGTTAGAAAGGTTGTCAGTGCGCCTGAGTACATGAGATAAAATTTTAGCCACGTTTGCTCTCACTCACCTGCAAGAGCTACCTATACAACTTCTGTTTTCTTGAAACTACCTCGTGTTTTATATCTCTTGTCAAGCAGGCGCGTGGCTTAAACCAGGATACCGTTGAAGTGTACGGTCTGTCAGCACTCGCGGCGTGGTGACGGTCGACATTGCCTCTACGTAAGCACCTCGTCCGCGCTAGCGATAAGAGGCTCATAGGTGAGGGTGCGCCCGTGTGCAGGTGGAGTTCATTGAAGCACTTACATCTCTCAAGAAAAGGCTTCAAATTTCAATTCAATTCAATGATAAGAAGGCATAAAAACTACGCCCTTTAGGGCACAAACACTGAGAATGAAAGAGTCACCACCATCGCCCTTTCATTGGGTAACGCACGCACCGTTGCCCAAATTTGGGTGACGAGCCCGTGGTGACCCAATTTTGGGCAGTCATAAAATCGTCGCCCAAATTTGGGTAACGCCGTCGGCGACGCCGGAAGGTCCCCGATGACGCTCTTCCGGGGCCACCACGATGACCCAATGTGGCGTTGAGACCTACGGTCATCGTGGTGGCCCCGGAAGCTGACGTCATCGGGAACCTCACGGCGTCGTCGACGGCGTTACCCAAATTTGGGCGACCAAACGCCCGTTACCCAATTTCGGGTGATGAATTTTCCATCACCAAAATTTGGGCAACGAAGTTGCATCACCCATTTAAAGGGTGATGGTGGTGACCAATTCATTCTCAGTGAAGTCTTTTACTCCCTTGGCGCATGAATGGTATAGGACCTCTAGGCGAAATTTTGATTCCCTTTCAAACACTGGTAGGTGAAACAGTGGCGTTGAAATTATGCCCTTTAAGGGCGTAAACGATTTACTCCCCTGGAGCAGCGTTAATCGTTAATGCCTTTTGCAAGGGCATTAAAAGTTTGCTTGAAAGTCCTATACCATTCACGCTCTTCCTAAGGGTATGTAACGATTTACGCCTTAAGAACGTTTGAACGAAGTCAAATGGGGTATTGTCAGATAGGTGAATTTCTCATCTTTCATTAAATAGTTTGTACCATGCCTCGGGAAAAATCATCCCGGAATAGTGACTTGAAAATTCTGGAAAAACCCGTCCTGGTGCTGTGTCAGAAAGTGACTTTCAGATTGATTTTTCTCAACATTTCACCAACGCACTTGAAAAAACCCTCAGGGCTTGTCGAATGACGATGATGAGAGCTTTCAGAATTGCATAAAAAGTAGTGTGTGCGAGTTGTACTTTTGATGATGGACCATGTCAGGCAGAAAAGGCAGTGAGCACAACACTCGTTTTATGGACATTACTGAACGTATCGTGTGCATTATTGCTGAAAACTAGGCGATACGCGTCTATTTTGGTTCGCAATCGGCACGCTTCGGGAGCACTCGAAGACGCTCCGAAAAGGGATTACCTCGCCGAAGAACAGTAGTAAAACGGGACTTTGCAACAGTCCTCCCACACTGCAAGAAAAAGTGTGGATAGTACAACAAAAGTACAACAAAAACTGTACAATAAAAGTACAACAGGGATTGTAGAAAGTACAACGAGAACTGTACAAACCACAACCAGCCCAGGACTGCCCAGCACTCGTCATGCCGGTTCCGTTGTACTTTGTACAACAATTGTTGTACTTGAAAAGTACACTAAATTCCTGATAAAAAAATTTGCCAGAAATTTGTGCACTTTAGTTGTGGTTATTTTCTGCAGTGCACCCTGAACTCCCGAAAATGATGATTTTCAGTCGTGACTCAATCGGGACTTCACTTCGGGACTGAAACGGGACTCTCGGAAAAGGGATCCACACTCAGCAAGTTACTGACTTTTCTCATTAATTGCGTAGTCGTGTAATAAGCAAAAATAATACTTTTTATTTTCTAAGAATGACTAATTTCCTTTGTAAAATCTGTACAAAACTAAATTGTCACTACATTTATTAATATTTCCTAAGTAGTTCTTTAAAAGATGAAAAGTAGGTATTATAATTGCACAAATTACTTGTGTAAGTACTGACAAAATGAGCAAAACGTCAGTAACGTGCTGAGAGTGGATGTACCCCTTTGGTTTCTATTAGTCGGCCAAATGACTATCTTAAAAGATTATGAGAAAATCAGTTCCGTCTGGTTCTGTTTCCGATCGAAGGCTAATCTCATTTGTCTTCTTTCTTCAGACGTCTGCTATGTCTAGATGACAACTTGCAAGTCTTTTAATGGACGGAGATCCTCTCATCACATCAAAAGCGGTGAGCGCAATTAACGCTGGAGCTATTTGGCAAAATCCTGGTCTTCAATGGCAAAACAACACTGTGGGAAAAAAATCACAGTAAATCCTGTAGTGATTAGTACAGCTGTCACTGTAGTTCAGAGTACAGGATTTACTGTACTTTTTAACAGGATCTACTGTGCTTTGTACGGGATTTACTGTACCACAGGAGTGGAGTACGGAATATCCTGTACCAGGTACAGTAGATACTGTAGCCAGGCACGGTATATCCTGTGTTCTGAACTACAGTAAATCCCGGCAAAAAAAATTAACGGGATTCACTGTGGTTTTTTCGCACAGTGAAAGACACAGACACTTCCCCTTCACACTCATTCCAGGAACGTGACAAAAAATGTAACAATTTGTCACGTTTCTTTCAGCATTGTGTCGCATTCGTTGGAATGTGGATAAGGTAAGGGGCTGTCCATAAAATGCGTCACGCGTTTTAGGGGGTGGGGGTATCGGCGAGGTGTGATGAGTTGTGACGCTGGGGGGGGGGGGGGGGGGGGTCGGGTCTTGTGACCTATATTTTCAAAAATACCGGTTTAATACGACATTTTCGGGTGGGTAAGCAATGAAAACGCCCTCCCGCGAAGTTAATTCATTGTTTTTTAACGTACTGAAGCGTTTATTTTACTCGATTGTGTAAAGACTTAGAAAAATGAAATTAACTAATGCATATTGCGCGATTTCTCGCTCCACTCGTGTAAATGTTATCACCATGTCAGAAACCTGTCTGAAAACCTGATCAAAATTCGCGCACCTCTGAAAGCTGAAAACATCTCCTGACATTCTGTAGAACTCACACCATCAATATCAGAGTAAGTTTTCAGAATTTCAGCTTTCAGAGGTGCGCAAATTTTGATCAGGATTTCAGACATGTTTCTGACATTCTGACAAAATTTACACGAGTGTCATTCTCAAAACGTAAGTCATAAGTGGGTGGGGGGAGGTAGGGTCAGCCGAATGTGCCGAAGTTGTGATGAGGGAGGGGTGGGGGGGTCAAAAATGACCCCAAAACGCGTGACGTATTTTATGGACAGCCCCTAATTCATTGGCTGAGCGATAGCGAAGCCTGTTACTCCAGTGGGGTTGAAAAGTTTTGTCTGTCTGTCTGTCTGTCGGTCTGTCTGTCGGTCTGTCGGTCTGTCTGTCGGTCTGTCTGTCCGCACTACTCCTCCTGAACGGCTCGGCCGATCTCGGTGAGATTTTGCACACTTCTTGGGTATGTCCTTGGCTCGGCACACGCGAAATTTCACCATCCTAGCTCAACTGGTTCAGTTTTTATAGGCGAAAAACACCTAAAAAACGGCGAAAAATAGAGATTTCTGCAGATAGACCACTTCTGTCTTGGATAAAGGGGGGTCTGGGGGGCTCCGCCCCCCAGCCTCGACAAGTTAAAAAGTGACAATGGTCAAGATCGTGTTATCTGTAGATAAAACAACTCTATTTAGAATGTAGGGGGGTCTGGGGGGCGGAGCCCCCCAGCATTCAACAAGTTAAAAAATAACCGACAACGGACAAGCCATTGCCTGCCGCAGGCAGGCTAGCGCCGCAGGCCAAGGTAGGTACGCCAGGCGTGGATTGGAGGAACAGGCAGCGAGACATCGCGAAGCCTGTTACGACAAGACGCGGTCTGGCGTAAACCTACCTTGTAGCTGATTTACAGATGTACATTCAAACGAATGTGACACAATGTTCAAAGGAGCGTGACACTTTGTCACATTAGTTTCTACGTGATGCCACGTTCCTGAAATCAGAGTTTTAAGCACTGACCTTTAAGGGCGTAACGAGTTGATACCTTCAGAAGGGCATTACAATTTTACTTGTAAGTTCACGCCTCAAGTCACGCCTCTTGAAAGGGCATAAACCGATTCACTTCGTTACAGAAGCGTAAATCGATTACACGGCATAATTTGTATGCATTCTGTTTCACCGGTGCTTTCCCTATCGCATTCCGGATTTTTTTTTCAATAACAGAACGGGCGGCGCGATTCTGCGAGGCCGCGGCTCCTGTGCCCGCACAACTTGCTCAGCCTCACGAGCTGCCTTCGCCGCCGCTGCTTTATCGGCTTCTTCTTCGGCATATGCATCCTGTACGGCCTTTTCCTGCTGCAGGGCAGATTCTTCTCCCAAATTCCAAATGGTGAGTCCAAATTCACTACTACAAAGTTGGAGTGCCCAGAAACTGGGCGCCTTTGTCGCCCGCTTCACGTTTTAGGGTGCCAAATGCCGCCCAGTTTCTGGGCACCTTTGTCGCCCAGTCTCGGGGTGAACAAATTATTAAGGAACCTGTCTTCAGCAGCGCCTTAGGTGCCAATGGTACCCAAAATCAGGCACCTTAGTCGCCCAGGCTGTGCAGGCTGTGCATGCGAGGGGGTAAACACTCCACGAAATCATGTACAGAGTACTCGGTATTACGCGGTATTACGGTGTATTACGGGGATATTACACGTGTATTACGGCATGAAAATGCCAAAAGTTGGCATATTTGGCCCAAAAATGGTATTACAACTACGTGTATTACGCGTAATACACGGTTTTTGTGTACAGGGTATTACGCGAGTGTTTACCCCCTCGTGTGCATGCCACCCTAAAAAGTGGGGCGGGCAGCAAAGGCGCCCAGTTTCTAGGCACTCCATATTAAGAGTGCACCTGAAGAGTGAGGAGTCGAGGATGGGTCGAAAATAAGGACTGACTGAGCCGACGAACATAACTAACAACGCGCGTTGGCCTGCCGTTTTCCCCGACCGCCAATCATCCCCACCGACCAGTTGTCCCGGAGTACAACTTACCGTGCACGATGGAAGTTTGAACCCTCGTTTGAACCGGTAAAACTAAAGCTTAACTCCATGCTTGAGTCAAGCATAAAGTTAGTTACGCTTGAAGACGTTACGCTTGAAATGATGCATAGACTAGAAATGCATCCATGCGTTCATAGAGATAGATGATTTCTTGGCGGATTAGCCTGTTGATACGAGTGTTTTCAAGCATAAACTGATTACCTTTGAAAACAGAGGGTAATTCTGCGCTTCAGTTTGACCAGTGTGTCCAGATAGAAGAACATCCAGGAACAGTTAACAGTAAAAGTCTTTGAGCATTGTATGACGGTCGTTTGGATCTGAATCAGCCATGCGAGTGTGGCACAATGCTCTAAGAACCGTGACAGTGTAATTCTACAGGAGTGTGTTGCCAATCCAAGTGAAGGACAAGTCGCTGGTCCCTGTTTGAAAGATCATATCCCTTCGTTTCCTGGAAAAAGACCTTATCTGTGGACACACGTAAAAACGCGCCCTATCTCAGAGTTAGAGGAATTCCACAAAGTGTGGTCCCTTGGCATTGGCACAGATAAGGCCTGCTTTCCCGTGAACGCAGATAATACGTTTTTTTCTGATCTTGTTCGGAAGCAAGCCTGCATCAAGTATCAATAGCACACTGCAAATCCAAGTGGACACACGCTCAGCACGTTACTGACTTTTTCCTCATTAATTACGTATTCGTATACACAGCAATAATACTCAGTATTTTCTAAGTAAGTATGACTAATTTCCTTTGTTAAATTATGTACAAAACAAAATTCTCAGTATATTATTCAATATTTCCTAAGTAGTTGTATAAAAAAGGCAAAGTACGTAGTATGGTTGCACAAATTACCTCCATAAGTGCTGACAAAATGAGCAAAAAGTCAACAACGTGCTGAGAGTGCACGGATTTGTCCCACGCTTACAAACGTGTGACACGGTTTGTCCCACGCTTGCAAGTGTGGGACACTTTGTCCCACGTTACCTAGTGCATGCCTGTCCCACCTTATCTAGTGCATGCCTGTCCCACTTTTAAATTTGCAGTGCAGTCCCACGTTACCTAGTGCATGCCTGTCCCACTTTTAAATTTGCAGTGCAACTCTACGAGCATTGTGTTTCGGGTCTGGAAATATCGAAGTAGTATTTCTACCTGCATTGTGTGCTAACAAGAAAGAGTCTATTTTTATTAGGTGAGGGATGTAGCTTCCCTTTTTTAAGACCGTTCCGATATCACAGAGAATAAATACGTCATGACCAACACTTAAATGTTGGGTGCCGTACACAGCAACTATATCACCCGAATTAGGGTCAGGATTATCTTATCACCCAAATTTGATTGAGAAACATTTTCTTGCCCAAATTTAGGTGATGTAATGTTATCCAGCTTCATGGTAGCATGCACTAGGAGAAATGATGAAAGTTGTGGCTGTTAATTCTGATGCCGCTCTGCCCTGTTCATCGAAAGGAGGTGTTTACCGTGCCCTGGGGGGACATTCCATGTGAAGTCAACCAGGCCTTAGCCACCATGGGCTCCGATCCGGTTCTCGTTTTCGGGGTTTATTACCCCTATGGCCCCATGAAATAATCGGTACTTGGTTTGGGGTCCGGCCCCCCAGGGGCTGGGGTATGGCCAATTTCCTTTTTTGCTATATATTGGAACAACGCAACTTTGGAGGGCAATATCTCAGCAACCATTCGTCGTAGGTCAAATCCGAGACCAGATTTGGAAAGAGGATGAAAAATTGAATCTTTTTTGTCTTTGAAGTTTTTATGTCCAAAAACTTTTTATAACTTTAAAACTTTAGTGAAGTTTTCAAATTAGCGCCATTTCCTAGATCCTCAACCGATTTTGACCAATCTGGGCTTAAAAGATAGCTTAAACCCTTCCCTAAACGAAAATGTTAACCAAAAAATGTGTTCGGCTTCGTTCCCGAGAACGAGCCATTTTCGTGAACCCCTGCAACCACGTATTTCACCAAATTGTAGTGACGGCCGCACTCGATACCACACTGGACGCTCTCTTGGGTGTTTTCGGCTCAAAGCAAGTTTCCGGGTAGCTTTTCTAAGGTCAGGGGACCCAAGCGCCTGTCAGGTAGGCCAACAAACAGCAGACCTGCAACGCACTAGTGACGACAGGGCGGCCTACACTATAAAATCAAATGTGTGCTTAGTACAAAGCTGTGGGAGTATGCTTGGAAGCATACATCTATAGGAGTGTGCTTGTCAAGCATACACTCTTAAAACCTTACGAAGTATTTTAAGCATACGTATAACAAACTTAAATACTTTGTTATACGAAGAAATAGTTCGTAAATTACGAAGTAATTTCTTTGAAAGCTTATGTATGCTCAAAATACTTTGTTATACAAACTACATTTCTTTGTAAGGCCCAAAATAGTTTGGAAGGTTTTCTCAGTGTACATCCATAGAAGTGTACTTGGGCAAGCATGCATCTATAGATGTGTACTCAGGGAAGAATGCACCTCTAGCTGTGTACTTGGGCAAGCATGCATTCATCTCACCAAAAGCACACAGCCATAAATGCATGCTTGCCCAAGTAGCTATAGGTGCACATCTATAGACGTATGCTTGTCAAGCAGTTTTCTATAGATGCATGCTTACCCAAGCATACTCCTATAGCTGTGTGCTTACAAAGCAAGTTTCCGGGTTGCTTTTCTAAGGTCAGGGGACCCAAGCGCCTGTTAGGTAGGCCAACAACCAGCAGACCTGCAACGCACTAGTGACAACAGGGTGGCCTACACTACAAAATCAAATGTGTGCTTAGTACACAGCTGTAGGAGTATGCTTGGAAGTTTACATCTATAGGACTGTGCTTGTCAAGCATACATCTATAGAAGTGTGATTGGGCAAGCACGCATCTATAGATGTGTACTTGGGCAAGCATGCATTCATCTCACCCATTTAAAAGCACACAGCCATAGATGCATGCTTGCCCAAGTACACAGCTATAGGTGCACATCTATAGATGTATGCTTGTCAAGAACTTTTGTATGGATGTGTGCTTGACAAGCACACTCCTACAGACGTATGCTTCCAAGCATACTCCCACAGCTTTGTACTAAGCACACATTTGATTTTATAGTGTAGGCCAACCTGTCGTCACTAGTGCGTTGCAGGTCTGCTGTTTGTTGGCCTACCTGACAGGCGCTTGGGTCCCCTGACCTTAGAAAAGCTACCCGGAAACTTGCTTTGAGCCGAAAACACCCAAGAGAGCGTCCAGTGTGGTATCGAGTGCGGCCGTCACTACAATTTGGTGAAATACGTGGTTGCAGGGGTTCACGAAAATGGCTCGTTCTCGGGAACGAAGCCGAACACATTTTTTGGTTAACATTTTCGTTTAGGGAAGGGTTTAAGCTATCTTTTAAGCCCAGATTGGTCAAAATCGGTTGAGGATCTAGGAAATGGCGCTAATTTGAAAACTTCACTGAAGTTTTAAAGTTATAAAAAGTTTTTGGACATAAAAACTTCAAAGACAAAAAAGATTTAGTTTTTCATCCTCTTTCCAAATCTGGTCTCGGATTTGACCTACGACGAATGGTTGCTGAGATATCGCCCTCCAAAGTTGCGTTGTTCCAATATATAGCAAAAAAGGAAATTGGCCATACCCCAGCCCCTGGGGGGCCGGACCCCAAACCAAGTACCGATTATTTCATGGGACCATAGGGGTAACAAACCCTGAATACGAGAACCGGATCGGAGCCTATGGTGGCTAAGGCCTGGTTGACTTCACATGGAATGTCCCTGGGATACAGTAGACACTGTGCCTGAAGGAACGGCGTTCACTGTTCCCTGGGAACCCGCAGCCACTTTTCCTTGGAAACTGTTCAGACTCTGCATTTGGTATAACTGTAAAATAAAGGCAAAATTTCAAAATCTCGATAGGAACGATTCAATGACGAAAAGTGATAAGCAAAGCATGATATGGGTTCAGACTCGTAATTCCACGGAAATCGGGGACAGAAGTATAAGAAAGTTGGATTTTGGACTCCAAGACATCAGACTCATCAAATTACGGTCCAAAATCCTCCTTTTTGGAGTATTGCACTTGAACTATAACACTTCGCCTGAAATATGGAACTTTTCAATTAATTTTCCTAAGCATTGTCAGCCCGTATTGCAAAAAAAAAAAAAAAAAAAACCACTTTGCAAATCTGTAGGATTCCATGCATGTATCTGAATAGTATTAGTTTTTCCTCACACTGAATTCTTGTGGACTTCGTTTGCACAATGATGCATGCACATATACGTACGTAAGATGTCGCATTCATAAAAGTGCATACACTCTAAATGTAGGGTCCCCAGAAACTGGGCGCCTTTGTCGCCCACCCCACTTTTTAGGGTGCCAAATGTCGTCCAGTTTCTGGGCACCTTTGTCGCCCAGTCTCGGGGTGGACAAACCATTAAGGAACCTGCCTTCACCCATGGCTCAGCAGCGACTAAGGTGCCAAAGGTGCCCAGAATCTGGGCACCTCAGTCGCCCAGGAACTAGAAACCTGTGCATGCTCTACCATGGGAGAGGGCCGGTTACATATGATATGTCCACCCCGAGACTGGGCGACAAAGGTGCCCAGAAACTGAGCGACATTTGGCACCCTAAGAAGTGGGGCGGGCGACAAAGGCGCCCAGTTTCTGGGCACCCTACATTACATTTAGAGTGTAGTTATGCATTTAAGAAGTCCACCAGAGTTTAGTGCAGCGGTTCCCAACCTTTTTCAACCCGGGGTTCCAACGGGTTCCAAAATTTTTCGCGACCCCAGGAACAACATTACTCGACCCCACGGGACCCCATCTTTTTTAAGGGGGGAAGAATTTTTCGAAAATTAACTGTTAAATTTTGAATTTTGACCCAATTTAGAGGATTTGAGTGTATATAAAATAGAGGGCCGCAATTTGTAATGAGACATTCTATTTTTCAAATGATAGCTGCCTTGCTGTTTCAAGTGAGACACCCGAGCTTGGAACTCTTACGTGCCGCCCGCGCGGTGCCTTTCAAAAACATTGGCGCCTACGGCGATTCCCTCCACTTGGGCCGCATGAACATAAAGCATTTGAGGATTCGCAGGAAGGAAATAAAATAGAATGGTGGGCAACGATCAATCCAGGTTCCAGGTATCGGTAGACTAAGGGGACGAATTAATCCCCTCCCCTCCGCAGGGTTTTACATGAACCTGAATTCTAGGCGTCTGCTTTGGCCTGGAAGCGCCAAAAACACCAAACATCCGTCGGTTTTTCCGTATTTCCGCACTGGCAGTTTCCCCATAGACCGACCCTCAGGAGCCAACTCGCGACCCCACGCGACCCCAGGTAGCTTGCCGCGACCCCACAAAATTTTTCCGCGACCCCAAATGGGGTCGCGACCCCGGTGTAACGGGTATGGTGTACCCCCCTCGGATGTGTACCCCCGGTACACCAAACCTAGGCATGGTGTACCCCCCGGTACACCATTCCTAGGAATGATGTACCCCCCACCCTCGAGGCCAGGGGGTACACCAGTCCTAGGAATGGTGTACCGGGGGGTACACCATGCCTAAGGAATAGTGTACCCCCCGGTACACCATGCCTAAGGACTGGTGTACCCCCTCCCTTGAGGACAGGGGGTACACCAGTCCTTAGGCATGGTGTACCGGGGGGTACACTATTCCTTAGGCATGGTGTACCCCCACCCTCGAGGACAGGGGGTACACCATGCCTAAGGAATAGTGTACCCCCGGTACACCATACCTAAGGAACGGTGTACCCCCCCGGTACACCATACCTAAGGAATGGTGTACCCCACTCGGCGTCAAGGCCTTTATTTCCAGACATTTTTTGGAAAAAATTATTTCCAGATATTATCTGGAAATGCCTTTTGATTTCCAGATATTTATCTGGGATTTAACATTTTCCAGATACTCTCTGGAAAAGGTAGACATTTCCAGACAAAATCTGAAAAAAATAACGGCATTTCCAGATAATACCTGGAAATGCAAAAAAAATATCTGGAAATTGCCAGACATCAAATTGACCGTGTGTCCTCAAGGGAGGGGGTACACCATACCTAAGGAATGGTGTACCGGGGGGTACACCATGGGGGGTACACCATGCCTAAGGAATGGTGTACCCCCCGGTACACCATTCCTAAGGACTGGTGTACCCCCTGTCCTCAAGGGAGGGGGTACACCATGCCTAAGGAATGAATGGTGTACCCCCCGGTACACCATTCCTAAGGACTGGTGTACCCCCTGTCCTCAAGGGAGGGGGTACACCATGCCTAAGGAATGGTGTACCCCCCGGTACACCATTCCTAAGGACTGGTTGGTGTACCCCCTGTCCTCGAGGGTGGGGGGTACACCATGCCTAGGAATGGTGTACCCCCCGGTACACCATACCTAGGTTTGGTGTAACCCCGGTACACGATGCCTTGGGTATGGTGTACCGGGGGTACAGGCCAGCCGGGGGGTACAACAACCCGGAGACACCGGCGTTGGGAACCACTGGTTTAGTGTGCTGCACATGCATAGAAATTTTGCTAGACCACTATGGTGAAATCGAATCGCTTTTAACAGTGAAGACTCATTCATTCTAAGTGCGATTTCTTCAATTCCAGAGAACACTGCGTTCCATGTGCGGGTTCAGCCCACTGCCCGGCCGTTCCCGGCTTGCGTCCGCCCCCCAGCGTCCGCCGCTCGCCTGCTGGACTCGCCGGGCTGCCGCATCCCGGCGCACGAGCCCTTCAGCGCGGAAGTCAAGGGCTTCGTCTCGGACTTCCCCAGCGTGCGGTGCGCCGATCCGCCGCCGCTGGTGCGCTCCAACGACACGCACTTGATGCTGGAGAAGGTTGTTAACGTTAATTTCCAAATGAATTGCACTCTAAACGTCTTACGAAGAAATTTCCCACATTACGAAGGAAATGGCGCAAGCATAACATGAAGGTGTAAAAACCTTCGTATTACGAAGGTTTTTCTTTGTATCTTACAATAAAAAATCTAAAAAGATTTGTGTATTACGAAGGAATATTGCTTCGTATTATGCTTGCGCCGAATTCACTGTAACATACGAATAACATAGGTCAAATTTCTTTGTAAGACATTTAGAGTGTGTGCACATTGTGTTCAAAAATTTTAATCATTATTTTGAGGTTTTTTGTTGTTGTTGTTGTTGTTGGGCTGGACTAAGAAAGGTTCAAATCAGGGATCCTTAACTTAACATTTAACTCGCACTGCTTTCATAACGTAACACAAGACAATGTTGACTAAAGGTTAAGGGTACGGACTTTTGCAAGTACCGCCAGAAGTATCTCCACACAAATTCGAGACACAAGAAAAATAACTTATCCTTTCGAAAATAAGCCAGAAGTTGAGGGTTATGACTTCACCCCGTACGATAACGTTATGATGCCCTTTTAAAGTATGTTAAGGGTCCCTGGTTCAAATATTCCAAGAAAATTTTCAGTTCGATGACTGATCCAGGAAGCGGAAGAAGGGGTTAAGTCGAGTTGATTCAGTGACCTCTTATCAGTCTATCAAGTAAACATGAGCGAAAATTTGGTCCAGAAAGGAGTGTGGTGAGACAAGTCCCATCCCCTTGCATCTATTTTTACACGACATTCCCCACCTGTTCTCCCACCTGCTAGGTTTAGGCCTTGCAAAAGTGCACGGATTCAATTCGACTTATACCCTTCTTCCGCTTCCTGGATCAATTTGTGATGCTATTGCTTTCAGAAGGACGAGAAGTCAAAAGTTTTGACTTTTCGTCCTCCTCTGGCCAACAGCCTCACATACTTCATCGAACTGGAAATTTTCCTAGAATATGTGAACCTTCTGAGTCTATTCCAACAAAAAAGAATGAAAAATAATAAAAATTAATGATAACAAAATAAAAAAACAAAAAAAAAACGCAATTTACTGTAAATTAACAACCCTGATGCTGGAGAAGGGCCTGGCCGCGGCCTACAATGTGTCGTCCGTCACCTGCTGCTACACTGCCATGTGGCGCTTCCAAGGACCGCGCTGGCAGGAAGACCCCGAGGTGCTCCGCGACGGCCTGAGGCACGGCAATGACATTCGGTACGCAAAATGCCTTTGAAAGGTTTAAGTTGCTTTCAGATGTTTTAATCGATAGAGACAGAAAACTTAAAAAAAAAAAACACGTTTTTTATTGAAGATCAGGTTCTAAACAAAGGGTGAAAAAGAATGGAGCTCGAAACCGTTTCTCGTGAATAGTTTGAGCTACAGCTCTGGGCTAGGTCCAATTCGATTGAGTGCGCCATTTTCTTCAAGCTTCCATTAATAGTTTCAATTGTGACGTAATCCCAGTGTGTCTTTGTGAAGTAAAATCAAAATTGGAATGTACTTTTGCCTGATGCATTGTTTGACGCTAGTGGTTGAGAAATGCGTCACGGCAGGGGCGGAGGGTGACGAAGTTGTTACAAGGGGGGAGGGAGTGGGGAAGTCAAAATGGCCTGTAAAGGCGTGACGTATTCAATTTTAGGCTCCTATTTCGAGCCCTAAGCGCTCAATCAGTATGAACTGAAGTTCAGTGTGCTCTCTTTCCCCGACACCAGCTTCGCGAAGGACTGCGTGGCCTTCGAGGAGCCCGTGGCCGTGCCGCACGAGTTCGTCCGCGTGACGTGCACGGGCAGGCGGCTCTCCAACAAGACGGTCGACAACAAGCTGTACACGGACTACCACGCGTTCGTGCCGCTGCGCCGCCCGCGCGGCCATCCCGGGGGCATCACGCCGCGCGAGCACGTGTCCGAGGACGCACTCAGCGTGCTCATCGTGGGCATCGACTCCCTGTCCAGGTAGAGGTCGCGTACACTCTCAGCACGTTACCGACTTTTTCCTCATTAATTACGTATCTGTATATATAAACAGCAATAATACTTCGTATTTTCTAAGTATGTCTAATTTCTTTTGTAAAAGTGTGTACAAAACAAAATTATCAGTACATTATTTTATATTTCCTCAGTAGTTCTTTAGAAAAGGAAAAGCACGTATTATGGTTGCACAGGGATTACTTGCAGTAGTACTGACAAAATGAGCAAAAAGTCAATAACGTGCTGAGAGTGTACGAGCGAGGTCATCGAGCTCCTAAAGTCGCAAAGCGCTGGTGTCGGCACCAGCCCAGGCTGGCTAAAATGGGGCGTTAGGGGCTGCTTCAGTGCCTAAAATTGACCAAAAGAATACAATTATTTGGAAACTACGGAATGGTTCGAGTTCTACGCACTTTAGCGGCTTCTAACGCCTTATTTCACCCGACCGACACCAGCGCTCCGGTGGGAGTTCCCAGCTTGCTAATCTCACTCCACAACATTTTTTTCCTAACTGTGAAGAAGCTGCGAAGGATTTTCCCCATTGTTGGCTGAGCGATAGCGAAGCCTGTTACTCCAGTGGGGTTGAAAAATTTTTCCTGTCTGTCTGTGTGTCTGTCTGTGTGTCTGTGTGTGTGTGTACACTACTCCTCCTGAACGGCTCGGCCGATCCGGCTGAGATTTTGCAGGCTTATTAGGTATGTCCTTGGCTCGGCACACGCGAAGTTTCACCATCCTAGCTCAACTGGTTTGGTTTTTAAAGCCGGCGAAAAATCGAGTTTTCTGTAGGCAAATTGCCTCTGTCTTGAAGAAAGGGGGTCTGCGGGGCGGAGCCCCCCAGCCAGGACAAGTGAAAAAGCTACAAGGGTCAAGATCGCGTTATCTGCAGATGAAGCAACTCCATCTAGAATGAAGGGGGGTCTGGGGGGGTGGAGACCCCCAGCATGCAACAAGTTAGGAAAACCGACTATGGACGAGCCATTGCCTGCCGAAGGCAGGCTAGCGCCGCAGGCCAAGGTAGGTACGCCAGGCGCGGATTGGAGAAACAGGCAGCGAGACATCGCGAAGCCTGTTACGACAAGACGTGGTCTGGCGTAAACCTACCTTGTATAACAAATAAAAAGTTTGCATGACAAATGTCTAATGCAAACCAAATTTGTTTGCGATAAATTCTTTGCAAGAACAATGCTGCTGAATTCTTCGCAAGGTTTCAGCCGTGCACTGAGGGTGAGAGTGCTGGCGACAGATGAAACTCCGCTGCTTCGCCTTCAGGCTCAACATGATCCGGAAGATGCCCAAGACGCGCGCCTTTCTGGAGGAGCACCTCGGCGCCAGGAGCATGATGGCCTACAACAAGGTGGAGGACAACACGTTCCCGAACCTGGTGCCGCTGCTGACCGGCATGAACATCCCCGAGCTGCGCAACTCGTGCTGGCCCGAGGACTCGGCGCACTTCGACGCCTGCCCCTGGGTGTGGAAGCGCTTCAACGCCGAGGGCTACGTCAACATGTTCGCCGAGGACACCGCCTGGATGGGGCTGTTCCACTACCTCAAGCGCGGCTTCGCCGTGCAGCCCACGGACTACGACCCGCGGCCCCTGCTGTACCTCGGCGAGAAGAACCTCGGCCGCGGTGGCGGATTCAACGCCAAGTACTGCATCGGCCAGCGCCACCAGATCGAGGTAGTGAGAGAGGAGAGAGAGAGAGAGAGAGAGAGAGAGAGGAGAGGAGAGGAGAGGGAGGAGAGATAGACAGAGAGGAGAGATAGACAGAAGAGAGAGAGAGGGAAGAGAGATAGAGAGACAGGAGAGAGAGAGAGAGAGAGGAGAGAAAGATGAGAAAGAGAGGAAAGAGAGAGGAGAGCGAAGGAGAGAGAGAGAGAGAGAGAGAGAGAGAGAGAGAGAGAGAGAGAGAGAGAGAGAGAGAGAGAGAGAGAGAGAGAGAGGCGGGGAGGATGGGGAGGTCCCTGCACTGTGGGAAAAAATCACTGTAAATCCTGTAGTGATAAGTACAGCTGTCACTGTAGTTCAGAGTACAGGATTTACTGTACTTTTTTAACAGGATCTACTGTACTTTGTACGGGATTTACTGTACCACAGGAGTGGAGTACGGAATATCCTGTACCAGGTACAGTAGATACTGTAGCCAGGCACGGTAAATCCTGTGTTCTGAACTACAGTAAATCCCGGCAAAAAAATTAACGGGATTCACTGTGGTTTTTTCACACAGTGTGTGTGGCGGAATTTGACTGACAATCAAAGAGTATAGCATTAGGATCATAGACTTTAGAGTAGAGAATGGGACCAAGTTGAAAGTGTGTACTTGTAGGTATGCAGTCCGTGGACAATAAGATTTGCAGTGTAGGGATGAATAGGCTCGGGAAGTTTAAAACCCCGGATAACTTTTCATTTTCTATGGAATAATCTTTGCTACATCAAATAATCGAATAGTCGATATGAATCCTTGGTGATTATTGGGTTTCAGTAGATTTAAACAAAAGATTTAAACAAAAGAAAAACGAAAAAAACTTTTGTTGTTTACCTTCCTGCCTTTGAAAAACAGAAAGATTCGTCCTCTAAAATAGTCAAAACTGATTTTTTGTTTAAAATTTGAGTGATTGTTTTGACACTTTAAAGTTTTTGGAAAAAATGCTAGGTGCTGTTTGACTACGGGCTCAAGTTCGTGCGCGGCATGGCGGTGCTGCGCAGGAAGTTCTTCGGCCTGGTGTGGGGCACCTCGCTGTCGCACGACATGCTCAACCAGCCCGACGAGGCCGACGACATGTACGCGCGCTTCCTCGGCGACCTCGAGGCGACGGGGCTGTTCAACAGCACGGCTGTCATCTTCATGAGCGACCACGGGCTGCGATTCGGCAGCATCCTCAGCACCTATCAGGTGAGCTTTCGGAGACGGCGCTTCGCGGAGCTTTGCTCCGGAGGCATCCTGGAGTCCTTAACTTATAACAAAGGTGCATTGCAAATTTCTTACGGTGAAAGGCTGCACCAACATACTATGGTGGAGATTTTCTCCATAATACCGACAAATTATCTAAAAGGTACAATGAATTCTCAATGGTATGTTATGAAGTCAGCTGCACCACCATAATATGGAACATTTTCACCATAATATGGAGAATCTTCACTGTACAACATTTAGAGTGTGCCTTTTACGCACGATGTAGAGCGTTTCTACATCGTGCTTTTACGTTAGTTTGCACGTTTAAGTTGTAACTTTAACTTTTGCCTTGTTTATGAGACCTTGAGAATTGAGTTGTATGTGCGGAAGGTGAAATCCATAGTTTTGATCTAACCAATTGTTTTTTCATCAGCCAACTGGTTTTTTACCAGCCAACTGGTTTTTCATCAGCCAACTGTTTTTTTTATCAGCCAACTGGTTTTTTATCAGCCAACTTTCAAATTAAGACACGTGGATGCATCCCCTGTAACGGCCAACGTGACCATATGGCTACAACTCGTGTTTTCGTCGTCAATGGTGTCAGGGCTGGCTAATTGGTGAAAAAACACATACTTGTATTTTTACATGAAATGGCCAATCCCGGGACAGCCAATGTGACCGTATGGTCACAGTCAATAATTATTGCTTTTGCGGGCAATCCAATACAAGTTTTGACTTCAAAAGTGTTTTTAGGGCTTCTTCTTGTTCTGCTTTATCATCCTGCCAACAAATTTTCTTTTCTAAAACCGCGGGGGAGGACCAAAAAACTGTTCGCAGCGAAAACTAATACTAAACGAATGAATGGTTGGGTCACTCTGCAGAGGATTTATCACATTCTGTTAAAATAGAAAATAGTCATCTCAACTGGGGTAAAGTGCCAAACATGAATCGGGGTACCAATCATTTCAGAGATTTCTGATAAAAACGTAGGGTAAGAAGGTTAACTCTAACTACCCCGGAAAGGTTGTTTCATCTTTCTCGAACACACTCTTAAAACCTTAAGAAGTATTTTTAGCTTACATTAAGTACAAACTAATTTACTTTGTTATAACAAACTACTTTTCTTAGTGAGGCCTGAAATAGTTCGCAGGGTTTTCTAGTGCAGCACAAATAATTAAGATACTTCTTCGGACGCGTCGAGGACCGTTTCTTCTTTCACAAGTCAAAATGTCTCATCGCAGGGCCACCTCGAGAACATGTTACCCCCGATGTACGTTGTGCTGCCGGAGTGGGTGCGGCGCCGCTACCCGCTGGCTATCCACAACCTGGAGTGCAACCGCCACAGCTTGGTGACGGTGTTCGACCTGCACCGCACGCTGCACAACCTGATGGACCTGACGTCGCTGGAGCAGGCCAAGGTCGAGGCGGACGGGGCGCGGGTGGCTGCGGCGTTCGCCGCCAAGGGAGGCACCCCGCCGCGCGGCATCAGTCTGTTCACGCCCATCCCCGCGGCCAGGACGTGCTCGGACGCCGGCATCCCCACCAACTACTGCGCCTGCCAGCACCTGAGCCAGGCCGACCCGCAGGCGCCAGAGTAAGCACTGGGGGCGCACTGTAAATGTGTGGCATTCGTCCATGACAGCGTGTCTACAATGGGATTCCCTATAAAGTTACGATGATCTGTCAGATGATCACTCAAATGTCCTACGCATTCTTAAAAAGGCTAAGAATTTGCTTCTTAGCCACAAAGAAAATGAAGACATTGTAGAATTGCTTCGTACATTATGAAGAAATGCTTCGTATTAAGGAAGGATTCCGCTTCAGAATACGTAGCATTTCTTCGTAGATTTTCCTTCATTTTCTTCGCATTGCGAAGCGATTCTTCGTAGACGTCTTACTGTGAATGGGATTCCCTATGAAGATACGTTGTCCTGTCAGATGATCACTCAAATGTCCCACGGTGAAAGGCGTGCACCATGGTATATGGTGGCGATTTTCTCCTCAGACAAAATCCGTCAAAATATCTCAGAGACGGACTCAAGATTCTGAATTGATCCTCGTTTCTTTACGAATCTCCAGCGTACAGAAATCAGCCAACTTCGTGGTGAGCCACATCAACTCGATCGTGACCTTGGCGTGCTCCACGTTGCGTTTGGACTCCGTGCTTGAGGCGCGGAAAGGCACGCCACTGCACACGCGTGATCTGAAAAAGGAGGCGGACGAGAACGAATTTCAGGTAAGCTCCCACCTTTAAACTTACCCAATTTCAGGGTTACGAAATTTTTCGCGGATTTCCCTCAGTCAAAATTGCAACGATTTATTATGTCATAGAATATTTGAAAAGACGTGTATCTCTTTGATTGTTTTATATAGATCAAACGTATATTTTTCAATGACTTTATGGTGAATTCCTTGAAATATCCTTAATTTTACTGATACACCCCCGTCCCCTTCATATAACAAGGTCATTTTGTTTGTTCTTTGTATGCTCAAAATTCTTCATAAGGCTTAAAGCGAGCTGCAATCAAAGTCGAAGTATCCGAAGTACTTTGAGCATATGTGAGGTGCAAACTGTGTATTCAGTTGAACAGTTCATAAATTCCGAAGTATTTTCTTTGTGAGCTTCTGTATGCTCAAAATACTTTGTTAGGTCACGCAACTTTACTTCGTACACTCTCAGCATGTTACTGACTTTTTCCTCATTAATTACGTATTCGTATAAGCAACAATAATACTCAGTATTTCCTAAGTAAGTATGGCAAATTTCCTTTGTAAAATTATGTATAAAGCCAAATTGTTAGTACATGATTTAATATTTCCTAAGTAGTGCTTTAATAAAGGAAAAGTACGTATCGAGCCAGGAAGCGGAAGAAGGGGTAAGTCGAGTTGATATAGTGACCTCTTATCAGTCCATCAAGTAAACATGAGCGAAAATTCGGTCCAAAAGTAAGTGTGGTGAGACAAGTCCCATCCTCTTGCATCTATTTTTAGATGACACTCCCCACCTGGTCTCCCACCTGCAAGGATTAGGCTTTGCAAAAGTGCACGGTTTCAACTCGACTTATCCCCTTTTTTTCCGCTTCCTGGATCAGGGCTGCACAAATTACTTGAATAAGCACTGACAAAATGAGGGACAAGTCAGTGCAGTAACGTGCTGAGAGTGTAGTTCTCAGGCTTTGAGAGTGCCCTTGCCGCAGGTGACTCTTCGCACGCAGCCGGGGGACGCCCTGTTCTCCGCCACGGTGCGGCACCACATCAAGTCGGACCGCATGCAGCTGGCGGGCTCCATCAGCCGCCTCAACGCGTACGGCAACTCGAGCTGGTGCGCCGAGTCCACCGCCCTGCGGCCGCTGTGCCACTGCAAGCGCCCCGCGCCCGACAAGGCCCCGCGGGGCAAGGCGGCCGCTCGCTCCGACGGCGACGACGGACGGCCGTCGGCTGCTCCGAAGTGACGAGGACCTCTCTGTGAAACTAACACTAACGCATTCGTTAGAACGTGAACTTCGTCACGATCACCTTCAAAAGAGTCAACGAACAGGGTGGCCACAAACTATGGAAAACAAAATTCCCTGACAACTCTCTGACCTTAAATCAACTTTCCCTGACCAAACGTGCACAATAAATACAGAGATAAAGTAGTGAAAAGGATATATCATGTACGTTGCTTGTAGCCTCTTTAAGTTATTTTTGACGCTAGCAAAGCGAGCCAAAAGACATCGCATTATATTGGCGAAAATTCGATTCCGAGGGTTTCTAGTCAGCCTATAGATACGTTTTCTGCTCACACTGAAAAATCAGTGTCAGACAATTGTGATTTTCCCCGACAGCTTGCCATTTTCCCTGACAATTCCCCGACTTCCCTGACAGACTTTTATTTCCCTGACTTCCCTGACACGTGGCCACCCTGAACGAAGCATCTGCGTTGTAATAACGAAGAGAAGGCAACAATTTCTTCGTATCGTATTATGAAGAAATGATTCGTATCATGAAGAAATACTTCGTATTGCGAAGGATTTTGCTTCATTCTCGTAGATTTTACAATGCCTTCGTTTTCTTCGCACATTACAAAACGATGCTTCGTAGACTTTTTTCTGGGCGTTTGAACGATGTATCATTGATTGGAATGGGGACGGCTTTTCAATAAGGATCTGTCACATATTCCTTTGAACGTGGGTCAACCTTTTAACGAAGTAAATCGTGACAAAAATTCACGTTTTAACGAATGTGACGTCACAGTCGTTGAATGACAGTGTAATGTGAAGAAGCCGACACTTAAAATGCACGAGTGTGGAATTTGCACTTCCACACTTCAATAGTGGATTTCCACACGCTTGAACCATGTCAAGAGATACGGGCTCTGCGAGCTACTCCATACCACACTTGAAGTGTTGGAGTACTCTTAGACTCGTTCTGAGTTTTTTTTTTTAAATAACATATTGAGGTTTGTGCGCATCCATAAGCGTATTAACTCTTTTATTTGTTTACGAAACATTATTATCAATTTCGTCTGTTAAGCTTCTTAACGGAATTCTGTTAATGCGCACAAACATCAATGAATATCAATAAAATGTCGATTGAAGTGTGTGACTGCAAACTACACTCGTCCAAGTGCAGAGATTTACTCCGCTCCAAGAAGTTTGAGTTCTTATCACTTGGTTTGACAACGCTTGCAATCAAGTACCTGAGGCCAAAGTTGGTTGTTGGAACATCCATAGCCAGACGATTTCCAGTATTTCTTATGGTATACTCATTTAGGACAATAGCGGTTAATAGCTGCACTGCCTAAATTGATCCAGGAAGCGGAAGAAGGGGATAACTCAATTTTGGTCATTTTTCAGGAGAAACAAAAAACTGTTAGCAGGGAAAACTAAAACAAAACAAATGAATGTTGCAGATGTTAATAATTTCAAAAAGCATTAGTAAAATTTTGGAAAAAAATAAAAAGTGTAAGGTCACTCCGTAGAGGATTTCTGCGACTTATCACTTTCCGCTGAAATGGAAAACAGAGTCAGCTCACCTTATATTTCCTAAACCAAGAGGAATTTTGAGACAAGTCAAGTGGAACAATAGTCTGCATAAAGTGTATGTTACTCTGGTGTATTTTTTGGACTTAGCTCTTTTTTCCAAATTGAAATTTAAAATTAAGGGGGGGGTTAAGTTGAGTTGATTCTTTTTACACTAGATCCATAAAAACACAAGTTGAGTTATATCCTTTTGCCAATTTGTCAAACGGACTCATGTAGACTAAGGTTGAGTTATCTCCATTTTCCAACGAAATTTAGACCGTAAAAGGGGTTAAGTTGAGTTATACCCTTTTTCCATGTGGATTTTCTCCTAAACTGCTTGGAATTCAGTCAAATAATTTGGTGTAATGATGTAAACCATTCTAAGGTACAATAATAAAATAAAAACTCAATTTGGGGATAAGTCAAGTTATTCCCTTCTTCCGCTTCCTGGATCAATTTCTGACTGAAATTCCGACTGATTTGTAATTGTAACTTGTAGTCAGATGAATGGGTCACCCATTTTCACATCCCGCGATGTAGCCATGAAAAGGATTTGTTTATCGGGAGACTAATCTTTTATACTTGAAAAGCTCAAAATTTATAAACAGCTCGTTCTAAATATTTGCGCGGGTGCTCTACTCGTTGAGTCTTTCCTACTTTATCCCAGCATTGAGGGTAACAAAGTCAAGTTTTCAATAGTCTAGGAACAAATAAAATTCTATGGCCAATTTTAAGTGTTGTCTTTGGACTGGTGCAAGTCCTAGTTTGGGACACAACAACAGAAACCAGAAAGGAAAACCATCGATTTTCGATCTTCACATAAATATACTTTTTGGCAAGACCTGGCACACAAAGATAAGATAAAGGACGGCTATTCGTAAACACGGCCCCAGCCTCGACCCTTGCCGCTGAAGCACAGGCGGATCGTATTGGCGGGCTCCGACGTGATGGTGTTGGGGGCCAGCAGGATCTCGTTCGGCGTGTCCGGCGGTGGTGCACCTTAGCCTGGGAGAGGATGGACAGCTGCGCAGGGCGCGCGGTCTTAACATGCACCATAGCCATGCGCATTCCTGACAGACAAAATTCAGAAGAAAGTAAGAAGCTAAGCTCCGGTCAATGCATGATCGAGGTATGAAAAATTCTCCTTATAGTGAGCCGGATACTACCCTAGGATGAGAAACTGTGGATATCACAGTTTTCAATAGAGTACTTAGGGCGGGGTAAGTCCAAAAATAGGTGCGTATTTTTAATTGATGTAAGTTCCGTCATCCCCGTTCACTACCAAACGAGAAATGTTGAAAGCTTGCACTACGCGTGAAAACTTTAGGGCAAGGAGCGGCCGAAACACGGGGAATGTCGGATAGGTAGTTTTTGCACAGGGACCGAAACATGAAATTTCCGTCATCTCTGATCTGTAAGATCCGTCATTATTTTGGTGTGTTTTTAAAGGGGTGAAAAATGAACTTGACGCCGCACCTAAGCTTGGAGGGTCATCTTGGAGTACTCAAGATTGCTCTTCGGACCAAAATTGGCCCCGTAATGAAAGTTTCACTTTTCAAATTTGTGGCACTCAGAATTCGCCCACACACACGTAATCACCCACACAGAATAGATCTACTTATGTCGTTTCCGATCTTTCGTTAACAGTCTCAACCACGTGTTTCGAGTGTCTGTAGACTCACGGAAAATCCAAGAGCGGTAAAATTACCAGTTTTGGGGGCGGTAATATTGCTACGGGCGGGATCCATTTATTACCGCCTTTCCAAAGGTGGTACAAAAATCACCGCCCTTTAAAGGCAGTAAATTAACTACCTTTCACAGTTGTATCGTCAAGACCCACAACTGGTTCCAAAAAATAAATTGTGAGCCAAAGACTAGTTTTAAAACAGTCGCAGCTTAGTAAATAAGATAGACAGGGCTACTATGCTGCAGAACTTAGTCCAAGGACCATAGCTAAAGGCTACACAGATACTTTCGTCACCAAGTTTTTAAAGGCTACACAGGCACTTTCGTCACCAAGTTTAATTTGGAATTTCCGAAAAAGTTACCAAGAATTGATTTTTTACCTTGCGATGAAACAATGAAAACCATGAAATCTACATCACCACCAATGGAGAAGTATGTCTCCCATATGAAACATACCACAATGATCCAAAATGGAGAAAGACCATGGTCAAGGATGAGGAGGACGCAATTGTAAAAAATACGATTTCAAGATATCCCAGGAGTCACGAACCGTCAATTTGGTTTTGGTTATTGTGCAAGAGTGTGGAGAAAGAAAAGAAGTTGTGTAAAGGGATAGGTGGCTCAGGGGAGACTACCAATGGCAGTGGTACCAATGTGGTCGATGTGTCACCCGTCATAATTTAAACATGACAATAAATGGAAATCAAAATGCAGGGAAATTCGAAAAATTCCAATGGTAATGTATTCCGCAGTGTTCTGACAATGGAACATCTTTGGAGTCCATCATTATTAAAATGTTCGTAGCAGAAAGAAGGCAGTAGATTAATTTGCACGGGTTGGCAACTATTTTCACGGCGTCTGCGCCCTTGCGAAAATCGGGAAGATGAAAACACCAGCACTGTAGTCGCGCATTAAAACTGCCCCTGTTGCTGACGTTGAATTGTTTAGCTTGTTACAAAAGGCTATGGTTTTCTAGTCATGTTTTCTTCAATTCTGTGTAACAGTTCTCACTCACAACGTAACAACACCACGACGGTTGGTTTGACAAACTTTATCTTGAAAATAGAAGAAAATAAAATAGGATGTTTAAAGCTAGATTGATCGCAAGAGGATGTGAGCGAAAATACCTAGAATTTTAACAAACCACAGTCCCGTTGTTGACACAACCAACCTCCGGGTTCTGCTAGCCATGGCAGCAAATGAGAATATGACCATAAAACTTTTAATGTGAAGACTGCTTTTTTAAACGGTGTGCTTGATACTGAAATCTACATGAAAATACTAGAAGGCTTCGAACACGAAGGAAAAATCTGCCGCGTCAACAAAGCACTACGGTCTCAAACAAGCTCCTATGAGATGGTCAAAAAGGCAGACAGCATACCTCTTATTATTATTTATTTAGCCTTCGTTATTCATGTACATGAGGAATGTTGTCATACATTAGTAAAATGATAGGAAAAATCACACGGTAAATTGAGGGCACCATTTACATAAAAAGAGTACTTAAATACATAAAAGAATACTTAGATACACTAAAAAAAATGCTTAGATATACTATGGGTTGGCAAATCACAGCTGCGAAAGGTCAAAGAATTCCTCCAGATCATAACACTCATGCTCAATTAGCGACTTTTTAAGTACATTCTTAAATCTCTGATCAGATAAGTTTCTCCATTCTGATGGAATTTTATTATAAATTTTTACTATAATTTGTTCTTGAGGGGTGTTGTCGTTCGCTAGGTGTAAATTTCCTTTCTGCCTGGTGTTATGATTGTGAACTTTTTCATTGGTATGGTCTTTAAGTTGTTTCCTAGCTACGAATGCGGCTTGTAAGATGAAGATCGAAATAAATGTTAAAATATTCAGTTTCCTGAATATTCCTCTGCAGGATACGGCTTTCCTGTTACCATTCTCTATTAACCTAATTGCTGTCTTTTGATATCTAAAAATTTCTCCAAAATCTGCCTTGCTAAGATTGTATGACCATAGTGTAATACCGTAGGAGAGATGGGAATGAAACATAGCGAAGTAAGTTTTTCTCAGTTCAGTTATATCGATACTCTGGGACTCCATCAATATGACACAGCTCATAACGGATAAATGTATCTACAAAAACAACTTGTTCAAGGCGCTCGTCAACGAGAGCGCCGCGGAGCTCGTGGAGGAGCTACGAGGCGATTTTTGGAGACCTACAGAGAAGTGCTGCGAGCCAATCACAGCGTCCTGGAGATGATGACCAACATTCGCGCAAATGGCGAGCGCCGCGGCAACTGACTCTAGTTGCCGACCGCGACGATGCAACTGCACGTGAAGTCCGCAAATATTTGCGGGAATTGGTGAAGGCGGAGGCCCGCGCCGAGGCTGCAGAAGCCTCGAACCGCGCCCTGCAGCTGCGCCTCGCGGAGCAGCAGGTCCGCGCCGACGCGTTGCAGGTCCGCGTCGACGAGGAGCGGCAGCGCGCCGACGCCGCCGATGCCGGGCGGCGCGAGGACGTGCAGCACGCTCGACAGCTGCAAGCCCGCCTTGTTCTTGGCTGTGCATGTTGACGATGATATCATAATGAGCAGGAGCCAGAACAAAATTGACCACACCCTTAATCTAAAAAAATCGAAGAACAACCAAAAACATGCCTGGGAATTGAATTTAAAATAACAGGCATCCTCATTTGTCAGAACAATTATCTTAACAAGGGTCTGCATTGCAAAGGTTCCGAATGAGTCAGTGTAAGCCCGTTAACACTACCATTGAAACCATCAAAAGAAGAAAATGAAAAGGAGAGAGATGCTAGACTGCCCTCTATCTTAAATGCACTCAAACCATGTAAATTGGATCAAAATTCAAACTGTAACAAGTTTTTTTTTCTTTTTTCGAAAAAATCTCCCCCCCCCAAAA